TCCTTTCAAAACTCTTGGAGATTATAGCCCATATTCTATAAAAAAAAACACTTGCTTCTTACATTTGTTTAGTTGTAATAAATTGTTTACACAATTTGATAGTCTAGTATGAGCATCATGACGCTATGTTTCGTGACCTGTCCACGCCACTTTCGCAATTTTTGTAAACATCCCTGAGGTTTGCGACTTTTATCCCACTGATCATTTTTGCTAACTTATTAGATGACTCACTTCTATCACTAATTGAGAGACCTATACCATATTAACGTCATTTGTTTTTCTCGAGACTAAATTCTGCTGAGCTCTTTAGTTATGCGTCTCTAAAGACGCCCCGGTATGAGTTGTACCATTTGGTCGATCTCGGGAAGTTCTTGATTTTTTACGATGGAAATGCTCTTTCTTAGAATATATTGCAATTTTACTATATAGCATTAATAGATAAACACATACCTTCGGTCGTTTCATCGCAACGTCTCGACTTTTACCTCTTGAAACCACGAAACAATTTCGCTCGCTGAATCCATTTAAAGTTCCCGGGATAAATTTCTCGTGACGTCACGATGGCCAAGATCATCCGCCGCGCGATCCCTATAGGAGCGATTGACGAGTTCATCACCCCCCCCTGCCGCAAACCGACCCGAGGAACCGACTATCTGGGAGCCTGGAACAGGCTGGATGTCCACTTTCAAGTTAAAAAAAGATCGTATATGCCTTGGACACCTAGCTAGTAATACCCAGGCATCACAAGAAAATAATTCCCGCTTAGCAGCTAATCAGAGCATGCATACTATTGTAGCCATATCATAATGTTTTTTAATTAAGCTGAACAACGTCATAATAAATCAAATCTATTTCAATACAAACCAAAGGGGGGCTTATATCTAGTAAGGGGCCTTATAATCAGTTGCAGTCTGCTTTTCCTGTTAATATCCGTCTAGTTGTTATCCTTGCAGTGATTGATAGGGGTTTGGTAAACTGGGGGGGAGCTTATAAGTTGGTGAGGGGTGGGGTAGCTTATAAGCAGTAGTTTAGCAGTTTACAGTACGCTGAGTACTGCAAATTGTTCCTTGACCTTGATATGCCCAAAATTGCAAAATAATAATAATAATACAATTTCTGAGAAAAAGGTCTGGGGTTGGTCTTCCTGGGCCTCACAGAGATGTAGTTTGGAAAGGTCTTTAGAAAAGCGCTCAAGACACATATCGTTTACTGCCTTCAGACAGGAGCCTATAACCTGCTTCAGACTAGTTTTATAAAGTGTTATGTTGTCAAAGTGAGGCACTAAAAGGCAATGGCACAAGTTTAGACTATTAAAACCTGGCGAGAAATTATGATGCCAGCACGGTATAAGATTTGCATAGCAGTCAAATACTCTCGTCATCACCGATCTCCACACCGAGGCGTTCGGAATTCAAAAAACACTTCGATTCCAAACGTCCCCTATTCCCTGTTCCCCGTTCTTGATATTTCCATCATTTGCACTGTTCTATGATCTTCCATTCGCTGCAAGGTTACGGTTGTTATTTTTATGATATTGTAAATTATAAATATCTTATTATCCACTCCCCTCAGGGCTTTTCAAGGATAATTTACAACACTGGTTGCGGGACTTTGCCACACTGCTTAGGTGCAGTTTACAAGTAACGAAGGAATGAGTAATGATGCCCCCATAGATGAGTGTGAAAGTCAGATAGACCACTACACCAGGGACTAAGTGCACTACTCTTCACGAGGAGTTTGTGGGTTCTTGAACATCTCATTTTAAGAATTATAAGTTAAAAGATCAAACGTAAGATTCTTGGAATAAACAACCTAAACTAAAACATATGCGGCCTTACAAATTCGCCAGACCTAAGATCGCCGATTTAGATTGTTCGTTATCGCAAAATGCCCCTTGAACGAGGCATTTTAGAAAATATTCGAAGTAAGAATCCTTAATCTTACCTTCTGAGATAAAGCTTGATTGTCGTTTCTTGGCTTGTGACTTGTGGGTGAATTCCTTGGCGAGATGACTTGAAGTGAACTGGTGAATGTCACGGCCGGCTGGCCACTGCAGTTTATAAACCAATATTTGTAATATCGCGTTGAGCCGAGAACGAAGCCTAGAGAAGAAGTCTTTATGGTCGGCACAAGAAAACGAAATGAGAGTTTATCAGGCTATAAAATTCTAACAGAGAGGACAAGGCACGTTAAATCTGTGCATTCGACATCTTGAATGAGCAGCCTCGGCGGGTGGTTATTGCATCGTGTTTGAAATAAATTATCTGTGGATGGACTTCTGGACGTGGAGTTGGATCGGTCTGTTAACCTCTTCAATGACTGCGACCGAAAAGTAGTGTTTGCAAGGCAACGATATAACGAGAAATGAAAAATCAAGCAGCGACTTTATTATTAAATAATGATTTACTTACAGGAGAAATACTCAAGATGTATTTTGACAGCTTTTTAAGTTTCTATTTTTGAAATGGAGTTTTATAAGTTAACCCGTCAACCTTTTCTGGCAGCTGGAGAAATTCAGTTATCAAACATTTCTGGTTTGATTATGGTATTCTTGGCAGCTATGAAGCGCACGAAGATGAAACTTGGTTCAATCATTAGAAATTCGATCATCAACACTTCCGTACAGACTTTCTTGTGGATCAGTTTTAGTGTGGCTGGTAGTCCTATCACATCCGTTTTTTTATGTTGGCTACTGTGCTGCACTGCACTAGCTGGAATAGGCTATTCCCAGTCGTGAATTGATTAGAATAAACTTCTGCGTAACTTTCTAGAATCACTTCCGCTCGTAGAACAGTGTATGGCAGATATCTTCAGCAATGACAGCAATGGGTCTGAAAGTGAAAAGTGCAGGGGCTGACTAATTCTCAGTTTGAATTACGACAAGAATCTTAATTTTTTTTAAAAAATCTATCGAGCGCTTTAAAAATTATTCATTAATTTGTTAAAGTAGTCCAAAATGTTTGCAAACCGCTAACAAGAGCGCCATGATACATACTAATCACATCCTTCTTTGTTCAGTAGCAATTGGCCAGAGCTATCTCCATGACCTTTCACACCTTTTTTAAAAAGATTGAAACTACTATCAGGTGAAATTGCGTGTCAAAAGCGGTTCGTTTTCTTCAGATAACGGCCAAACATCAAGATTTTCCTTTTTTTACCGTATTTCTAACGATAAAAACTTCATCCCAAAATATCTCGATAACGTACTTACAGATTCCGTTTTAACTTCACGAACATCGAGGCGACTATTGGACGAAAAACCTCCCGTGAACTATTTTGTTAGAACAGTTTCCAGTGAGAAAAATATGCTGCAAGTATAATAGGTAAGGGCGTCATTTTGTTGCTATGACAACTCCAATGTCATTGCAACCCTGATCATAACAAAATTTCATCTTTATCTGACACAACTGTGGTGGCAATTTTTCCAAATGTTTGTTTATGGCGACGTAGTTTATGCTCAAACTTGGCAGGTATTGACCCTGAAAAACTGTATCGAGCCCCTTTCATATGCCAGTACGGCCTATGTTGCTGCATCATATGGCCCTCGTTTCTTTTCGACTGTTTTGTAAAAATTTGGGCAACTTGCAAGAATTTTTTGAGCAAATGGTTTACCGCCCCCCCTGGCAAAAAATTGCCCGTACGCCTACGTCCATGGATGTTAAGTTCACCTTCGATAGTGCACGCTTAGGGTTTATTCGGCTCCGCAAACATTCTCCAAATAGCCGATGTCGCCCTTCGAGTTGTCTTCTAGCTGTTCTTACCATGTTTTTAGCTATTATTTCGCCTAGTTCTTACTCTTGAAACGGGCGAAATGTCCTTCATTTTTGTTTTCACAACCAAAACAACTCAACCTCGTCCCCAGGTCTTCTCGGTTAACAGTGCATTAACCCGCAAGGAAGCTGCACTTTTGACATCATCGTTTCGTTAATCGCAAAATTCTTCCAAATTTGGTCATCAGTAACTGGTTATGGTAAATTATGAGTGTGCTTTTAGCCCATCAGAATCGGGGAATATTTTGAATGGATAATAAGAAGAATTCTGCAGATCTCGGAGGGTGTTCATATTATCCACCACGGCCAATAACACCCTCCTCGATCTGTGGAATTCTTCATATCCTACTCAGCCTCATTCAGTCATTGCTAAATGTATAAGCCGTCTCAGATTTTTCAGTTTATACGCGAACGCGTGCGTAAAAATCGCTACCTGCGTGTCGCCTTGCTCGCATGTAGAGATTTTCATGCTGTTTCAAAAGCGAATGAGGGACTTCTCGGGGTCCAAATGTTACCGATTTCGTGTAGGAAGAGGAGCCATTATAAATGACTGGAAAAGACCCCTTCGCAGTGACGAGTGTATGAGCGATATTATCGTCAGACATCAGATCTTAGAAAAGTAAAACGTTTCATTTATTTCAGTTTTCAGTAGGCCTGACAATGGATTCTTATTTCAATTGTTTGAATTTCTTAAACAACACGTGCAATTGTAGTTTGATTTTTCGTTCCTCTTTCATTTACTTTTTGAACCGCTACAAAGAGATCAGAGAGATTCATAAATAGGAGAGTATAAAGAAATGTACAGTACTAGTCTAGTAGTAATGATGATATGAGTGTATAATTTTGAAGCCTTGACTGTGTCTAAATTTGGACCCTCCGTCAGCCATTAGCGACATAACGCTACGTCCACTCCAATCCGGATATTTTTGTTTTTTTTTTATTTTTTCTGTCGGAAAAGGGGTGTTTCTTGGTGTTGCGGAAACTATTGTTTGTTAGCTTTTGTGTTGTGGTGTGGGTATTGTTCAGTGTCTTTTCAATCTTTTGTATTACGTCATTGGTGTCCGCAACACCAAGAAACCACCCGGAAAAGAGATAGGTAATTATTTTGTGATTAAATATTAATTAGAAATCGACATTTGTAGCGCAAAGAAGTTAGATTTCGTGCCATAAGATTTCACAATAACGCAGACAATAGTCCGAGTACATATATGTTACAAAATGATGTAACTGCATGCATTTTCTCAGGCTAAATATGGTGCGATTTTGTAATAGTCACTTATTTAGATACATTATAATGGGAACTTTTACTGTACATGTGATTAATGTAAAAATACTGCCTTGTGCAAGGAATCCTTGCGTTTTCAAAAATGCGTTTTCAAAAATTTTCCGGATTCGTAAAGTCATCGCCTAAGATTTACCGCAGAGGGGACAGCGGTTACTCTCGCTAAACAGTCACCTTACTTTGTCTAACTATTTAAAATACTCTTTGAAAACTTATATTATATGTTAGTTTACATCTACACAATGTTTTATCAAAACTAATCATCCCTTTCAATTTAAATACAATTTGCTTGGTGCGCGCGTGTTAAAAATATAGGTGAGGATGACAAGAAATCTGTTTAGACGACTATAAAATGCTTCACTGTCATGAAATTAAGTCACCCTTAATTCTTTTGCGTTGTAAACGGCAACCAGTCACCTTTTACCTCTAAGATTGTGGGGCGGGCAGAAATACTCCTTGTTCTAATTGTTTTCAACATTTTACAAAAAAAAAATTTCTAAATAATTGTCTCTGCCCAATTTTGGCAGAGTAACCCTGCGGCCAAATTTTATTATTGTGAACAATTTTAAGAATACAAATCTAAAAGACAACAAGTTTTAACAACTTGCGTGGGGGAAAGAGACGGATCCTATTATTACCATCTCTTGATGCCGCTAACTGAAGAGCTGAGCCCCTGTATGGGTGTTTCCGACGAAATAGAAGTCACGACGATCGCCACTGATGAAGCGACGATCGCCGTGGTCTTTTCAATCAAGTTTGAAAACGTAAGTCAGTGCAATGACGGCAAAGAAACTTGCTAAAATGTGTGCTGCACGTTTAGAGTTTTTGTTTTGCTTATTTTCTCGTTTCCATCGTTGCTATAGTTGCCACAGAGCTCGCAAAGCAATTCTTGATAAGCGCCGATCTCGCCTGAAACATAGACGATTTTATGGAAAAAGCGCGATGAAATCGACGTCCGTCGTACAGAGGCTAAGAGCTTAAGCCTCGTCCACACTAATGTGTTTTATTAAAACGCATACATTTCGATGCGTTTAGGCCTTCTGTCCACACTAATACGCTGAGCGTTTTCATCAGAAGCGCATCAATTTGAAAACACTCTTGAAAGGGGATCAAAACGAAAACGCGTTCATATCGTATTAGTGTCAACTGTCGAAAACCAGGTCGAAAACTGTCGAGAAAGCATCAAAATGAAAAAGATGACGTCATATGTATCAGGTGGGTTGTAAAATATCGCAGGCGCGTGTGTTTCTAGCGTGCGCATAGAGTTCAACTTGCGTCACAACGTGCGATTCTATGCCTCTTAGTGTGGACAGTCGAAAACGCATCAAAACGGTGGTGTCGACGCGAATCGATCGACGTGTTTTCGATGACAACGAAAACGCATTAGTGTGAACAGAGCCTTCGGTAAATTCGCCCTCACGTGACTCATGAGGTCATAGCCTCAATTCCTTGTGAATGAGGTTATCAGGAAGCAATTACACAATCATTTCTTTCGCTGGATGAAGAGCAGTCTTTGCTGGATCGTTTTACTTTAATTACCGCCTTGATGTACTGAATTAAAGCTTTATCCATCCAACTAAGAGGTGAAACGTCAAGAACCCCGCCCTCGTAAAATCCAAGATGGCCGCCATGATAGGTCACGACGAAAAGCGCTGATTCGTTGCATTCTAAAAAAATACAAACATGACGAACAGATTTTTACCACAGTGAAAGCGCTAAGGCTCAGTTCAAACATCGATCTGTTCATGTACCGAACTTAATATCGAATAGGCCATTTCCGAGTTCCAAAAAATCTCACTTTCAAAACGAGGCTAAGTGCGAAACCTTTGTTGTGAAAATGAGTTTTATTTGCATCATAATTAAAACTCATTTTCACAACAAGAGATTTTGGAACTCGGAAATGGCCTATTAGGTCGACCCAAATGACACAAGTTCGGCGGTTGATTCAGACGTCGAACCTAATTAGTCGGACTCAATTCATTTTCACGATGTTCAATGGTCTAAAATGCTTACAAGTGAAAATAAATTTTAGTAATTTATGCATTAGGTTCGGCACATGAGAAGTTCGACGTTTGAAACGAAGTCGTTCCGCAGTCGAAATTCCCATGTGGGCCACTCGATCTTAATTCATTGTCGAAGCAAATTAGACATGTCGGACTTAATTGATTCAAACGCCGATCTCTTCATGTACTTAATTGAAGGAATTAGGTTCGGCACATGAAAACTTCGAGGTTTTAACTGCGTCTAAGAATACACATTTTCACTTATAAAATATTGAGTCTTACCGACAGGGGCAAATACTTTCTCCGCATTTGAGACGCCACCTGGTCAGAGCACATTTGACCAACGGAGACGTAAGCTTTCCTAACAGCGCTTCAGTCATTTAGTCAGTCAGTCAGTCAGTCAGTCAGTCAGTTGGTCAGTTGGTCAATCGGACTGTCAGTCAGTCAGACAGTCAGTCCGACAGTCATTCATTCAGTCAGTCATTGCAAACAGTTGCAGTGAATGAGAATGTCTATCCAGGGCACTACACTTGCTCGCATATTTACATATTGTAAATTAACTTTCTGTTGCTCACTTTTAACATGAGTATGAACATCATTGAGAGCTCTACCTTGTCTCCTACCTAACGATACTTACTGACGTGATTATGTGGAGTAACAAATAGTTCTTCTGGTACCAAAGGATCATCTAAGGCATTTAACAAAAGCACTGGAATCTTTATCTGCCGAGAAATGAATCAATGAGGTCGAAAAAGAAAACGATCTACGGTCGTTTCACTTACGAGTCGTTTAGCCAACGTCCTCTTCGCCAACTTCTGAAGTCCTTTCGCGTACTTGTTGGCTCAGTTCCCTAACTCTGCTAACTGTTATCGCCTGATCAAGGCTGAGAGAACGAAGCATATACAGGCGCAGCGCTCGTTTCTCCTCTTAGCGGAACGACATAAGACGTTAGCGAAACGACTCATAGGCGAAATGACCGGTCACCAAGAAAACAACTGTAACCATCAAGAGTTTCGCCCCATGTAAGGGAATGCGGATTCCAGAATCCTGGAAATTTTTGCTTGTGGAATCCGGAATCCTGGGTTTTGGAAACCGGAATCCCATCCAAGGAATCCACATGATCCCACTAACGATTGGAATCCGGAATCCAAGTTCTAGCGTCAAAAACTGGAATCTCCCGGAATCTACAGTATGCAATCCAGAATCCAAGACTGTCTTGGATTCCCTTAAGGTACGGAAAAACGGGCAACAAAAAACGTGCAACTTGTCTTGCAACATTGCTGCAAAACGATTTGAATAGCGAAGTGCGCATTTACCGCCCACATCAAACCCGTCTTGCAAAAAATCAGGGTGTTAACAGGTTTGAACGTGGGTGGTAAAACGCGCAACATCGCTATTCAACTCGTTTTGCGGCAATGTTGCAAGACAAGTTGCACATTTTTTGCTGACCGTTTTTCCGTACCTTTGGATGGGACGAAAGAGTTTATCTTAGAACGAACGTTAGGCGGAATGTCATGCTCACACAGTTGAAGTTAGGTCAGCTTGCAAACGCGCAAGTTCCAAAGTTTAGTCACTTGAAGAAACTTATTTACGATAAGCTCACGCAGTTTGACGTTACCTGGTTGATATAGTTGCATGAACTGTTCACTGCATAAAACTCGTCCAAATGGTTAAATCCTGCCATTTTTCTGGATCATAATAAAAGCAACTGGATTAGAACAATGTTTGCTGTAACAAAATAACTGATCTATGAGATGAGGCCTGAAGACTTGCTTCTACGTAGCCTGTTTCAGGCGCTCAAAGAGAAGAAAGCGGCGTGGCGCCATAGAGAGCTTGCTAGCACGCTAAAAACGGCGCGAAGTAGAGAATTCGAGGGAAAACAGAGAGGGGACTGGGGACAGCGGCGATCAAGGGTTCCCTCACTCTTCTTTCATTCTTTCCACATTTCCATTTTTTCGCTCCAATCCTCATTTCGCGCCACTCCCTACGATAGGAACGCCTGAGGCCTTCTACCTTCTCTACAAAGGGCGTTGGCGTTGAGAATCTACTGAGAAGTGACCATAGGCGTAGAAGTACGTGAGGCATTTTTTAAAATCTTCTTCATTTTTTCCTAAAATCTTCTTTTTTCCGCGGATACTCCTCTGAGCCCGGTCTCATGGAGGTTCAGAAGAGGGGAGGGTTACTAAGCTCTTACATTCGTATATTCAAATTCACTTTTTAAAAGAAACTTAAAAGTTGTCTCATTGGGTTTATTACGAACACACAGTTTTTTTCCCTCTCTCCAATAAGATCAGTGAGGCAGCGTGGCTGAGCGGGTTACAGCGTTGGACTTGTAGTTCAAGTCCTGCCCTAACCGCTAGCTGGATTTGTTCTCAGTAGCCCTGATTTCAAATCCTCGACGACGCTTGTAAATAGCCAAGTGCTTTGCACCCGGCCAGGTGGGATTCTGAACTTTATCAAGTTTGATTTTAGTAACTTGTTTCAGGCATTTTCTCGGCCCCACTAGCATCAGTGCTGTAAAGACTTCCGAGGGTAAATAAAGGACATCGTTATTAGACCATAGCAAAGCTCGGAGTTCAAATTCCGGTCAATCCTGAATTACATACAGATTTTTTTTCGACCGCCTAGGTTCATCACATAATGGCAACGTTTATATTCACATTCCTCTGGAAGATTTCAAAAAGATCTTTTTAAGCTAGTTCTGGTAGTTTTCTGATTTGTTGATTTTTCAAGAAAAAAAAAAGCAAGCAAACCACGTACTTAATAAAGACATCATCAAGTTCATCAAGGGAAGACGATGACCGCACATGATGAATGGATGACTTGTGCATAGGGGAAGTGAAGTTAGGGCCATGGAACAACACCTTCACATGCCGATCAATAACTTTCTTCATAGTCTGTGTCATTCCCCAGTTGTAAAATCGGCGAAGCCCACCCCAGTCTTGAAGAAGACTCTTTGCCCTGAACAGAAAAAAACAAACAAACAAATGCGGTGAAACCTTCTTTATATGAAAACTAAAAGGACAGATCCAAGCGTCCACTTTACAGTGGTGTCTGTGTTGTAGAGGTAGGGATTGTATTAGGTTTAGTAATACAGTCTAATCTCTCCTTACGGACACCTCTGTATTACGGACAGTTCGTCTGGTCCCAGAAATGCTAAAAATCATACATTCCCTACCTCTATAATACGGACACCTTTGTAAAGTGGACACTTGGTTCTGTCCCTTTGGTGTCTGTGTTAAAGAGGTTTGACAGTATTGGGATCAAAGAGCTGTGCTTGGGAAGTGTTCATATTATGGAAAGGGAGATACACCTAGGTGTCCACATCACAGAATTAGGTGTCTGCATTATAGAGGTAGGGACTGTATGAAGTTCAGTATCTTTGGGATGAAAAGAACTGTCTGGGTGGGGCCTGTATTATAAGTGGGGAGCCATGCTAAAGTGTCTACATCCTGAAGGTGTCTGCATTATAGTGGTGGAGATTGTATGAAGTTTAGTATCTTTAGGATAAAAAGAACTGTCCAGTATAGGGAAGTGTCTGTACTACCGATGGGGAGACTTGCTCAAGTGTCCACATTATGGAGGTGTCTGCATTATAGAGGCAAGAATTGTATGTATCTTTGGGACCAAAAAACTGTCATCATAGCGAGGTGTCTGTATTACAGAAAGGGAGACACACCCAAGAGTCTATGTCATTAAGTTGTCTGCATTATAGAGGCAGGAATTGCATGTATCTTTTTGATCGAAAAAATGTTCAAGTAAGGAAGTCAGTCACTGTCAACAACAACAGTCCTATTCAGGACTACGTTCACCCGGACGATCAAACTCAACCTTTTTTTTAAGGATGTGTCTGTATTATAGAAGGGGGAAACACCCAAGAGTCCATATCATTGAGGTGTCTGCATTATAGAAGTAGGAATTGTCTGTATCTTTGGGACTGAAAAACTATCCATATACGGAGGTTTCTGTATTATGGAATTGGAGACACACCCACGTGTCCACATCATTAAGGTGTCTACATTATAGAGGTAGGGATTGTATAAAGTTTGGCATGTTAAAGATCAAGTGAGAACTGTCCACGATAGAGAGGTGTCTGTATTACAGAGATGTCCATAAGAAGAGGTTTGACTGTAGTTAAGTAGCAAATGGATTTACTTTTACCGTGCTGCTTCTCAGTTATAAATATAAGAGGATGGCATCAAAATTTATGTAATAAGGAGGATAAAAGGGCTAATGAGCCACATGCAAGTTTAGTCACCAGTTATCCACCACGGAGAAACCTACCTTACAATGATATTTTTAAGTAACTTACTTATCCATAAATTATAAATCTGTAAATATACATTAATTCCTAGCTTCACACAGTTTGATAAAAAGGCTGTACAGTAAGGAAGAATGCCATCTGGTACCTTAAAATATCATATCCTTGGCAAACAGAGATTCCACACTCAAAACACTCCTGCCTGGGTGCCTCCTCACCAAGGTATTTAATAAGAATATTGGCACCCATGGAAAATCCAACACCAATGAGTCGTTTGTGATTGAGAACAGTGGTAAGATGGTTCACTACAGCAGCAAGCTCTTCAGTTCCACCTGAAGGGAAAGAGTCTTGTTAATTTTTGATAACTTTAGTTGCATGGTGGTGGAGTGGGATACTACTAATAATTGGATTAGAGGGTGATGTAGTTTGGTCAGGTAAGAAGGGTAGGGCAAGTAGATGAGAGGGGTGGGGTAATGATAACTTAAGTTGCATGGGGGTGGAGTGGGGTACTACTTATAATCGGATTAGAGGGTACTGTAGAATGGTCAGGTAAGAAGGGTAGGGTAAGTGGATGAGAGGGGTGGGGTAATGATATCTTTAGTTGCATGGGGGTACTGCTAATAATTGGATTAGAGATTAGATTTTTTTGTTATAGAGCCACCTTTTAGGACTCTATCGATGACTTACTCTGCAAGTGAAAGGGTTGATTTTAGTGTTATAAGAAGAAGAGCAAAGCAAGGCATAAATGCCTTTCAATTACCATAAGTAAAAATCCTGGGCGTTGACAAGCTTTCCTTCTTCTTGGCTCCAAGATGATTCAAGACTGCTACTTTAAAACCATGTTGCATGGCATAGCCAGTAAAAGTACGGACATATTTCGTCTCAGTGCAGTTAGCAATCCCAGGCACTACTACAATAGTAAGCTGTTCATCCTGTATAAAGACATAATTGCCATGAATTTTTGTTTTTTTTTTCCATTTTAATAAAGGCTCAATTTCACCAGCAATGGAGTTGCAAGCAGAGTTGCAAGAGAGTTTATGACCTCATGAAAAATCAGAGTAATTTATAAACAGAGGTAAAGGCATGACAGAATGGCTGTACAAAGAATCAAAAAGTCTCAAATTTCTTCTGACCCCGCTTATGACTCAATTCTTTAAGATTTAGTGAAAATCAGATTGTCAGAGTTAGAAGCACAAGCACAAGCAGAAGAAGGATAAACCAGTCACAAGGCATGTTCCCACACTTGATTGGCTCTGTTCTTCTGCTTCTGTTTTCTACTCCGACAACCTAGTTTTTTTTTGCTTGATGGTAAGTGACATGGTCGCAGTGGAATAATCAGTGCAACTGATTACAACCCTGACTCTGACAGTGCTACTAGTGAAAACCAGCCTTAACTTGCCTTTACTTACTATGGGCCATAGTGCTTATGGTGGAATGAATAGACATTATTCATGATACCTGCCATCTTTGCATGCACTTAAGGACTGATGAGATAAAAGCGATATCACGTGGTTTCTCAGGGGCAAACAAGTTAAAGAAATTGCCAATGCAAGAAATCAAGGTTGAGTTTGTTTATCCTAGACAACAGGCAATGACAACCTTGTCATCTTAAAGAGAATAATGTCAAAATATGGGTGACAGTGATCATTGTTACTTTTTTGCATGCAAAAAAGGAGTGGTAGATGTCCTCATGGCAAACAGTGAATATGACGTAAATCTTGCGAAAACTCGATATGTACATTTTGCATGACAATGAAATCATTGTCTTGTTTTGTTAGAATAAACAAACTCAACCGCAATTACTCATACTGCCAAATTTTATCACTTGTTTGCCCTCTGAAATACCACACGACATTGCTTTTATCCCACGGATTATAGAATACGTGCAAAGATGGCAGGTATCGATTGGCGGGTATAGATTGTAAAGTTAAAGTTAAGTCCATTTTTAAATATAAAAACAATACATGAAGTAAGACACAGACCAAGTTGCTGACTGATGATGGACTCATGTCAGGTTCAAAAATCTCATAGGTAACAATGGTTCTATCTGCCAGTTGTGTTCGGTGTAAAGTTCCAGTCAGTATCGGACATGATTTGCGACCAAACAATGCTGACATAAGGGTCTGCAAGTGTCCATTTTTACCCCAGAGAACAGGTGGTTGATATCTGGAAAAATTTCAGCGCAAACATAAGTTATAGTCTGATCTCACACTTTCACTGACAAAAAGTGGCCCAAACAAATTTCATTTTTTAAAATAAATGAGAACTCGTATAAACACATTATCCAGAAAGAATAATTTTATGTTATAGATTAGGGCTAAGGTTTCTTTTACCTATTGCCTGGTTAACTGAGGAGTAGTACCAACCCCCACCCTCTAAGACCCCGGGGTCTTGAAGGGCTCAAGGTATGACAAGGTGTCTAAACCGTCTTATATATATTCCAGTTTTCCAAAAACAATTTTGCTTTGCGATTGATAATAAGTTAACTCGCTACGACTATTAAGGTTATTTCATTGAAATTTAATAAATACAAATTGGTAGTGAGCTCAAGCTTACTGCAATATTGCGATCGCTTTTGTAAGCATTTTACCTTACCTTTCAAAGAGGATCGGACATGACAGCAAAACTTCATTTATAAATGCACTTTTAGGAGCGAAAAGTTTGGGTACACGAGGAGAATCTATCAGATTTAAGATTCGACAGAAAATAAACAAAAGCACAGCGGCAAAAGCCAAAACAACAAGGTTCGCCATGTTGTGTTACAAAATGGAGCCTTCGGTAATGCGGAATTGCTTTAGAATACATGCGCGGGATGCGTCACGCAATATACTCGTTTTTGTAACGCACTTCTCCATTTCAGGCGACGGGCGTCCTCCACCGATTGATTTGATTTATTTTTTATCTTTTATTAACTTACTTATTTACATATTTAGTGGCCAGATTTTCGTGTCCAGCTCATTGTCCAACAGCTATCTACAGAAAAATCCTTTCGACTAAGAACCTGTTAGGCCGGGCCCCCTCTATACAAAACCGGTTTAGCCTGATATTTGAAACAGGTTCTTATTGTCTAAAATCAATAATAATAAAAAAATCTCTACGCTTGAGCGAATAAGATAGGTCAGCAAGTCCAGAATCCACTTTAGAGAGATAGGTGTCTTGTCCAGCGGTATTTTTAATTTTGGGGTTATGTGCAATCTCGTTCCCAGAGTATCCTGATTTTTGGTCAGCGGGGCAACGCCAGCTCATTACATGCAAAAAGCTAAAACGTCGGTAATGAGGACAATTATTATGGGTTCGTCTCATTTATTACCTAGTATGGCTTCTCTGATAATCTTATTTGTGACAAATGTTTGTTAACATGCCACACTTTTTGTCGGTAAATGATGCTCTTGATACGTGTCACAAGTTTTGATTCTTTGGGTCTGCGGTTTCCAAACTTGAACTCAGGTTAATCCGTTTGGAACGAGATTACGCAATAATGGTCGCCAATAGTTTCCTCCCTGTTTCTTCCTTTCATTCAGTCATCCGGCTAAAAGTCACGACTTTCGTTCATTTTCTTAATTTATTTCGGATGTAAAGCCATAACGCAACATTTGTCTAACGCAACTGTCGCATGTTTTCAATCCATTATAGCCTGCGAAAACGTCCGTTTCTCCCCGCTCTTCACCGCTGGGGACGTTTCGTTTCGTTTCGTTTTTTTTCGTTCCTCCGCGCGAAACGTACCCAGCGGCGAAGAGCGAGGAGAAACGGATGTTTTTGCAGGCTAAATCTATTAGGTCTGATTAGGTCACATACTAATATAATCCCAATAGTCCTCGGATACTGAAAAGGCGAAAACAAATTAAGAGATTTCACTAGCCGGTTATCAATCAAAGCCGCCGTATCTCTGATCTCCCCTACTGGCTAATACTCTTAACTACTTAATAACGATTATAACGAGGGGTTCGATCTATATCATCTCATATTCTGGTAAGCAGACTATATGTTAGCCAAACCTGCCGATTCTTGAAACTCCGACCCAACTTAATTTTTAATCAGTTGCTTTTAGACTGATCAAGATCAGTTGAATTTGGCTGTCTCCGAAGACAATACACGATATATTTGACCACGAATAAAAACCAAAGCCCGTCTTTGTTTCCTGATAAAGCTCAGTTATATGTAGGCCTTATATATAGATATTTATGGCTGACTTGTCTTATGAGCACTAGCTAGAAGGCTTATCACAATGAAAAATATATATCTTCTAAATAACTGAATTGCTAAAAAGTTCGTAATGGTCACAGATATAGAGTTTCGACCCTTAAAACTTAAAAGGATAACCTTTAATTTGCCGCGGAGGAAGTCATAAATTGTGCCTTAGTTAAAATGCCAAAATAGTGTGAAATAGTTTTAGTTCTTTAGTATGCAAAATTTCATGCATGGGAACTTAATGGTTCTAAATTAATCAATCAGTAGCAAAGTGTAGCTTTAATTTGTAACGGACGAAGCTAAAAAATTGGCACTCTTGCGATGAAAGATTCGCGCAAATTCCTGCATTTACAATCTTAAAAAACACGCGAACTTTAAACCCCTAAATTTAAGAAACTGGATTTAAGTCGTTGACATATGGTACATTTGTCGACTAAATGATACGGCACTTCTGTCATTAAAAAGGACATAATTTGTGTGCATTTTCAGCCTAATCTATTCTGTTTAATGAGGGTTGATGTACGGTGGAAACTAATGGAACTGTAATGTTATTTGCATGTGCGGTTGCCATTCCTGAACTTGCACAATCGATTTTAATGATGACCCTATAAGCTCTTACTGTGTACTAAGATAATCGAAGCGTTAACATTTAATTGACCAAGACTGTTTGTTGGATACCAGGGCAAAATGTCATGATTGTACGTGACTACATTAGCTCTCAGTGAAGATGAACAAATTCTCGGATTTTCACATGAACTGAAAACGTGGATTGAAATCGAAACTTAAGCAAGCTGGGAAAAAACATAAATATGACAAGTGCATCTTTATCGGCACCGGCGGCATCAAGCGAGTTGGCATTAACTACGATCATACCAACATTCACGACGGATTCACCACAAGGCGAGTCGCCGGAATTCAAGACTTTAAAAGTGTTTCTTTATTGTACCATTCTTGCCTTCAGTTCACTGGGTAACGGACTCGTTTTCCTCTTGATTTCTTGCAACCGTCGTCTCCGTCAAGGGTCCTCAAACAGATTGTTACTTAACTTGAGTGCGTGTGATTTCCTCACTCCGTTATTGGGTATACCGTTTGACTTGGTGCTCGAAGAACGTGGTTACGTTTGGCCCTACGGCGAGTTCATGTGCCATGCACTGTGGCCAGCGTCTACATTCACGGCTACAGCATCTGCTCTTACTTTGGCGGCCATTTCGTTGGACAGGCAAGTCATTAACCTCCTTCAATTAACCCCTCAGTTGACTTACTATTAGTGGAAGCAAAAAGCAAAACGGCTGAAGACAACAGATAGCAAATGTTATCTTAGATAATTATGAAAAAAAAAACAACGTTTAAAAGTGCATCTGAAGAGATTTCATTTGAATGATCTTGAGTGGTCATGCCATAAGATTTCGTCACAAACTAGTTTAAAAGATTTTTACACTGGAAACTTCCCGATTTCATTGTTTACTCTCTACGGAACGTAGGAAGGGAAAGTCCAAAAAGTGCAAGTTATTGATAACAGTATGAGAAAGTGCTACTGTACAACTTTCATTCAATATGAAATCAGTACTCATTAACTTCTCAACGGAGATCTTCATTATCCATAGACTTATGACAACATTTACAGCTAAAAATCTCACAAAACTGCCCTTGTTTGAGGGGCTCTGTAACACTAAACCCACTTAAATTCTAGGCTCAGTAACATTAACAACCGGCACTATATATTAAAAAATACACCATAACTTTATTGAATCTACCTAGAAAGGGCTTTTAAGGTCCTGCTCAGTGACAGTAGGTTAATACTTGTTTGCGACCCATGTCAATTGCTAACACATGGTTACCATTAGTTGAAAAAAATGCTCCAAGGTACCTCAGTCTTTTCGTCCGGCCTGGGCATTACATAATCAGATTTTGATGTCAGTAATGTTTCGAAGGCAAACGTTAGAGAAGCTATCTGGTTTTTTCTTCTTAAAAAGCTTGAGACAATTTTTGTGTTGGAAATTAAATTTACACCCAGTTTAAACCCGCAAATCGTCGTTGAAATCATCGCTACGAACACACTTTTTGCCAAGTTCTAATTGCATAAAAAAATGTTTTTATTTTTATTTCTCAGGGAAGATTGACAAATATTTCTGGCATTGTAATAATGTAACAAAATCATTATCACCTATTTTAGAGATCTTGGATGCTTAAATCATTAATGATCACATTCTAAGCACAGTTTTCAACAAGCGAGTAATTAACTGATACGTTTGTCACATTTTGACGCCTTCTATTAATTTTTGATATTTTTAAAGAGCAGTCCACTCGATGCCGAAGGAATTGCCTTTGTTTTAGAAAATAACAGAGGAAAAAAGCTGTAGCTTCAAAATTTGCTTAAAAAGAAATCTCTCTGTACTTACACTTGGACAGATCTAAGTCCACCCCGAAAGGGACTCCTATAAGAAGTGACAGGGATGGTCGTCTCGCTTGGGGGTATAAATTGCAGATTTTGTTCTCAATTAGGGTGTTTCGGACGAAAAATTACTGTATTTGTCCATTCAGGTATCGCTTAGGGCTGTGCAAAAAGAAATCTACAAAAAATGCCTTAACACTGACCACACAAAGAACACGCTCTTAGAGATGTCTGTTTTAGGGGTCAGCCACATTGATCTCCCTTAGGCGGCTTAATTTTAATTTTCCGAAGACCATATTCCCGTCCCCTTTATATGGGAGTAGCCCCCTGGGGTCCACCTTAGGTTAGCCTGTGAACAGGCTCTCTGTTTGGGGAAAGGATGAAAAATTCGTGTGGAGAGGGAAGGGAAAGGGTGATTTTTTTTTTCGCGATTTTTTCACCCTTTCCCCAAACAGAGAGCCTGTTCACAGGCTAGCCTTAGGTTATCTCTGACAATCAAATCAGAGTGTCATTAAGTATAATCAATGACATCTATCATGGAAATTTTAGTAGACCCCGCGCGGATCAATCGGCTCATTGCATGAATATTTCTGTGGGAAAACTAAACTGGTTTTGACGGTGTCCTCTCGGCTTGACTCGCTTTTATCTACACCGATGCTTTTTTAATTGACTTTTCTACGCGTTTTGGTCTTACTCGTCCACGCCTAAGCGATTACATTGAAACAGAGGTTTTTGAAAAAAGACTGTCGCAAAAAGAAAATTTCAAAAACGCTAACGTGACAGCTACTCACACATTACTTGGCGAAAATAAACGAGAGCATCATTACACGGTGTCCGTGAATAGCCTGAGCACAAGAGCGTATTGCAAGATTTGTGGACGGCTTAGTTTGGACTGTTGCAAAAACAAATGTGCAAACGCTGGGATATTGAGTCTAATTTCTATTCGCTTTTGTCAATGCTCAACCCCCCTGGGGTTTTCTCAAAAAAGGTTCTATACGGGGAGACTCCTCCCGAGGTCTAACCCCATCACCCTTTACTCTACACTTTTGACAGAAAAGGTACCTGGCCCTCTCGTATACCTTCTTAATTGATAAATAGTACCCCTTTCACTGGTATAACTAGTTCAGAACTTTTTATCCCTCAAATTATAAGTTAACTGCATGCTGTAAATGCACGCACTGTCACTTTAAATTAAGAATAAACCACAAAACATGAACGTTTTCTCGACTTTTTCACAGCTATAATAAAATACTTCTGTAAGCCCCTTTGGGCCCCTTTACATACGGAAATGACAGATTTTCCTACCGTTTAAGATACTTCAACTAGTGAAATCTTTGCACTTTAGTATGACCGAACAGTGGTGGATCCAGCAGAGGAGCCGGGGGGGGGGCCGGCCCCCCTCCTTCTTTTTTATAGACCAAAGTGAGGCCCAAAGGGCCGAAAAAAATTCTTTGGAGACCATCTTCCCCCCCCACCCCTTATCTTAAAGCCTGGATCCGGCACTGCCGAAAACCTATCAAAGGTTCCCCTTTGAGGGCGGAGACCTACGTTACCCCGTATTGTTGGTTTTCACATGACGTCACTAAAATTCAAACTACAAAACTATCGATCCTGTACTGAGATTTTTCTTTTATGATGTATTAGAGCAGCTGAAATCTAACTTTCATTCAAATTTTCGCTTCAAAAGGGTTCTTAGTTTTGTGATAGAATACGCTTGAATTTCTAAGCTTTTGCGTGACGTGGCATTCACATGACGGCCGAGAGAGCTGTCATGTATGTTAAAAAAGGGACGTTTTTCGGGGACTTTTGTTATCTTAACAGTTCATGTATTAGAAAAAGTATTACTTTAATGTTTATGAATTCCTCGAGGAATAAATTTACGCTTTTGCACCAAAACCCGGTAACAGATGTTTTTGTAGGTTTCCGTCCGCCATGTTGGTGCCCATCCAGGTGGGCACCAGCATGGCGTCTCCATACAAATCCCTATAAATTTGGGTAAAACATTTCTTCGGATATCTCGTATACGGAATATTCTTCTGACCTGAATCTTGGCGAGAATCTTTGTACATTTACCTCCTTTCATTTCCCAGAAAAAAAAAACGCATCAGTACTGGAAAGAATAAAATGCTGGTTTTATCTAATTTCTGATACAAAGTTTGTTTCTTTAACAGATTTCGCCTCCTAATGCATCCCTTCATTCCGCGACTCACCAAAAAGCAAATCAAGTTCGTCATTATCAGCGTTCACGTGTTATCTCTAGTCATAATTATACCTTATGTCAGCTTTTTAAAACTGGAGGATCACGAATGCATCGAACAATGGCCTCAGCTTGGATACAGACAAGCTTACACCGTTGTACTATTCTTGGCCCAGTACGCTATACCTCTTGTCTTCATGACAACAATGTACACAGTTGCCCTGGTCAAACTTTACAACGTCACAAGCAACACGAGTCAGATGCGCATGGAATCTCAACACCCTCGTAGGGTTTCGGCAAATCGTCGGAAAATTTCTGGTAGTTCTCAATTCTCCGAGACAAATAACAACGCAGCGGGAAATGGTAAGAAGAACCCGATTCGAAAACTCAGTTCGCGCGTTGCTTACACGATGTCCCGCGGGTTCGACCTCGAATCCAATGTCCGCGTGACGATGATGTTTATCGTTATAGTTGCAATCTTTGCTATCTTTATGCTTCCCAACCAAATAGTATGGCTCTGGATGGATTTTGGAGCAGGAAATGATCATATCCGGTTAAATCTGATAAAAATAGTCTGTTGGCTATTCACTTATACCAACTGTGTGTGCAATCCTGTGATCTTTGTCATATTTTGCAAAGAATTCCGCACAGAGATTTTGATATTTCCTAGAAGACTTTTGAGGAAGCGCAGGCAGCGGTTAAGTATATCAAGATCTTCCGTTCCTGCCGCCGACCTGGAAATACGGCGTTGCGAGCTTCGTCGCCTGTCTCCGCCTGCCAGCCTATAGATTTTAAATGAAAACGAGTAACGCCTTTGGGAGACAGCAGCTAGCGTACCTGGAATTTAGAATTGCATGCACAGTTTTGGGTTTACGTAGTACATTTCTTTTAAACATTCATTTACATTAAGAGCGCATGACAAGGCTGGAAATCAAAAATAAGACAAACCATAGTTCAAAAACACTAATGTAGGATGATTTTTCACGGTTACTACGAGCGCTGTTCATAACGATGGATGTTGCTCTAGGACAGCTCTTGCATGAGCTTGGCTCCCTTCGCTGTGTCATTACCAATCTTTCTGTTTTTCTGCGAGGCGTTGTTACCGTAGTCGGGGCATTATAAAGAAAGTTTTTACAGAAAGGATTATAATTGTCGAATAAAACATCCATGTAATAAGTGCGAGAGTTTGCGTGGTCTGGACACTCCTTTTCAAGAAGTTCTTGTGCACAATTCTTTGCCTTGGAGTACTCCCTGGAAAGAATAATAAAAAAAAATGTCACCCTTGTAATCGACTTACTCGCAGAGGAACCATATTTATTACTTGCGCTTGATTTACTGAAATTGTCATGAAATCTAATGGCCTGCAAAAATGCTCTTTTCGATTTTTTTTTACAGCTTTTCTTTTCAATATGTTGCTCTCTGTATAATCTGTACCAGACGTGGTTAATCGATAAAAATCGATATCGGAAATCAATCGATATCATCGATATTAATCTTTCTAATCCGCCGATTAATATCGATTGATATTGGAAATCGATCGAAATCGAAGTCACAGAATAAATAATTTATCGATAATTATCGATAAACAAAATCGATAACAATGGATAAGAGCGATAGTAATCGATAAAAAATCATTATCGATTTCTATCGGAAAATGATAAATATTAATCGAGGTCAAATTTTTTATCGATTTCTGTTGATCGATATCAGAAATCGAAATTCATCGATGATTGATATCGATTAGTATCGATTATTATCGATTATCGGTTTTTCGATTAACTACGTGTGGAATCTATATCAAGCGAAAAACCAGTTCCCCTAAAATGCAGAGTATCTGGGCGCAAAAACGCTAATGATCAAGCTATGTCGTCTCCGTGAAATTTCGACTGTACAACCAGGCACCAGGCTCAAGTTTTCAGACAGCTTATTCGACTTTCACCTTACAGCCATTTTAATAGTTTGTTCAGAGAATGGTGAGCATGGCGATAAGCTAAATTTTGAACTGTCAGTAACAAGACTGTGTGGTTCATTTTTAATGGCGCGCGTCTTGCCGAAGGAAACTCAATTAAAGTGATCGTCATCAGCTGTACTTACTCGCAAAGTGTGGTGTCAGATATGTTGTTACGAAATTTCGCGTGGAAATTACGCAGACATTGCTTGCCTCCCTTGTTTTGTCCACAGAGAACTAAAGGCACAGGTATCACTAAAGCGCCATTGTGACAATAAAACTGTTTTCTGAACTTCAGCCTTACGTCTAGGTCAATCCAAGCATCTCGTCGCCAGCTATATTCACAAACTCGTGTCACGTTTTTGATGCAGCTGATAAGTGTCTCAAAATTATCACTGCAAAATTGAAAATATAAAGTAATGAAAGATTTTGAGGCTTATTAAGTTTGTTGTCAGCTCAACACAGCAATCTGGAAGACAAGGGCGCTATTTTACTTAACCTCTTTCCTGCAGACTAGTGCGCCATGGTTGAAACTGCCACACTGCCACCTGTGATCTGACTCAGTGATTTGCATCCCCCGAAACGCAGGCCGGGACAGCCAATAAGCGCGGGAAAATGGCGCGAGACAGCATTGAAAACTTTCCTCGCGCTGTTTTTTTTCCCGCCTCTTGAATGCCCCTTGGTTTCCAAGGATGGGCAAGCTCTTATTCATTATAATCCTTTATCTGTCTACGCGCTTATAGCTGCAGGATAGTAGTGCTGACTAATCAACTATCGTGAGCCCACAGCTCAACTCTCTGTTAATGGGCACTATAAGACGGACACTTCGCTAAAACGTCACGGACACCTATTGTTGGTTCCTGCCAGTTCCTTTACTCCTTTTCGTTACCTCTCTATGCGACGGACATCCCTCTAAGGTAAGGTATACCAGGAGCCCATAACCCTGAGTGGGCAACTTCCATGCGCTCGTGTCAGGGATCAGTTTATTTTTAGAACGGTTTTGGCGCGAATTTTGAATATCTTTTCAATTCCACAAACCATTCAGCAAAACCTACAGACCTAGAAATGATATTTTTTGCCTTTTATTAACGTTTAGTTTTCCTTTTTGATATCTTATACTTCGAATGCGCTCAAAGACATGGTGGAGATTCTTATTTCGTGGGAAAAAGTGACCTAAAATGTGTCTTTTAAAAAAACTGCACTGTAAAAACGACGTGTCATAGGCCTAGTATGAGATTTGCTCGCTCCGGGTTATGGGCTTAGTACCGGTGCCGAGGTGTTTGTCTTAGAGAGAGAGGACTGTAATCGACTTCTGCAAATATTAAATAATACGTGCTGAACATGCTGGAAAGTGAATCAAAGGCTTCATGGAACTCAATCCTGGCTAAGGACGTTGCATTATGTAAGAGCCCTTTAGTTCTCATTTATCTCTGGAAAAGAGTTAAGGAGAAATTACTCGTATGATGCAAGCCAGATGTTAAGGTCAGCTGCTGTAATTTTTTATGTCTATTGATGGCCAGAAGAGGTCTGGAAAAATAAGAGTAACAAACAAAAAAAGAGAAAACGTTTGGCAGGATAGCCTTTATTCCCCTTTCGGGACTTAAGGTGCAAAAAATTGGAAGAGCAAAGATTTCCATGCAGAAACCAATATATCTTCTCTTTTCAGGTGCAAGACAGCTTTTTTTTGTTTAATTGTTATAGAGCGCGCGAGGGAAACATGCTTGAAGAGGAGAAGAGCCTCCTCTCCTTTTCTCCCCGCGTGCGCGCGCGCGCGCGTCCTCGAAACTTCCCCCTTAGCTTTGCCCTAAAAACCGGCACCTGCTAGCTACGCAAGCTGTAAAAGATGTGACGTTTTAACATCGTGTAGAGAATTGCATACGTACCTACAGTTTTTCATGAGACCCATTCTCAGACCTTGAAAGAAAGGCACTTCACAAAACATACGCGTTTTGTATAAATACATCGGAAAACTGCATAAGCCCACACTGACGGTGCTGTGATAAAAGAGGACCGATAAGGCTGCGAAAGAACATGACAATTAAAAAATACGTTATGGAATAAACTTCTTCTTTTGCTGATTGGGTGATGAATGGTTCCTTAGACTGCAAAACAGTTGGGTTTCTTTCTCCAAATCAATTTTGCAAGGCGTGAAGCGCCAGCGTGATATTTCCGCGCGAAGGGCGGTGAACTCACACGCGCGTAGGATCAGACGGGTTACTCCCCGTTTTTACCCTCACTCCAGACTTTTCTTTTGACCGCTTGCGCGCGCGTGTTTTAACCTGTTTTGCAGTCTACTGGTTGCTATACGTTAATCATGATATAATACCAATGACGGAGTAAGGGGAGGGAGAGTCGCCCCTGCCCCCCTTTGTTTTCAGACCAAGCCGAGACAGGGTCAAGAAAACATTTTTCAAAGCATCCTCCCCCTCCCCCCCTTCCCTGACAAGGTTTTTCCTGACTGTGCCACTGGATAGTATGTTACTTCTGGCTGAAATGCGGGCTTTTCAGACGGGGTAGGGGCGGGGCTTATTCAGTAGCGGCTGTGGTTATGCAAATTTTCCCCTTTTTGCTGTTATTCATATCCAGTAGGAAAAATATGGGCATCTGGAGGCAAATGAATTTTGCAGAGTTGGCGACTCTTGAATGCTTTCTTCACTTTGATAAAAAAACCCTGCTTCACTGAAGCAAGCTAAGCCCCTCAGGGCGTAGTCGTATTGATAAAATCATGGATAAAGGCATATATAATTTCTTGGCCACTAAAATAGACCTGGGGGGTTATTGGGGAAAGACGGGTTTAAACTGCTGGGCTTAAATGAAAGAAATCAAAGGTAACCTGCAACTTGATTGAGTTAGCCGTGAGGAGCGTGTTACCAGACAAGAGTCAAACAAAGGAGTTAAACAGTCATGGTCACCAATTTCTGCCGGTACTTCAAAATCAAAACAAAGATTTAATTACAGCCTGCTGTTGTTCCTAGCTTGTGGATTAGAATCAGGAAATCATATACTATTAGCTATATCTGTGACATGTATAAGTGGTCGATTTCAAGAAAATTGTCCTTTGTGCCGGAGGAAACATCGAGGATGTGGAAATTCATGTGAGGAGGATAATGTGAAGAGGTGAAGTATTGAAAATCTCCTTTAAATTCTAAAACAGAACGTAAAACATCATCCGCCGGCTTTCATTTTCATGAGACGACATTTGATTTTTTTAGCAGTTATTTCTTGGTGAAACAAATGATATTGTTTTCTTCTTGGGAGCGCTGAACCTTCCCAATGCCAGCCAAGAATTTCACACTTTTGTACTTTTTAGAACCGTATGCATCATTCCTCAATAACCCTTAACGGGAGTTTTCAATTAGCGAACGGTGTCCCCTCCCCGAGGGTGGACGCTTCACGGGTCTGTCTGATTACAGGCCCAAAGAAGGGGGGGTGATGGGGTGGGAGGAACTCCTTATAATAACCTATACGGGGAGACTCCGCCCGAAATGGGTACATTTTTCGGGCTTCAGGTATATGAAAGGGTAGGGATTTCACTTGTTGAAGTATGTGAAAGGGTAGAAAAATCTGTCAGTTCGGTCGGTAAAAAAGTCCAGAAGAGCTACCAGATGCATTTTATGCATGGCTGCGGAAAAAGTCGAGAAAACAGTGTGTTTTCTGATTTTCTTTGTTTCATATTTAAAAACAGTGCATTTAGGGATGCAAAGATCTAAACAAGGTATGTGAAAATAGGTAATTTGTCAAAAGAGGGTAAACGAAAGGATTTCTGTCAAAAATGGTATATAAAAGGGTAAGTGGTTGGACTTAGGGGCGGAGCCCCTCGTATAAAACTTTGTTGATCGTGAGTTTCCCCCCGGATTACAGGTAACACCTGCGCACATGATTTTGCCTGTAACAATTATCGTCTATCCTCCGCCGAATTCTCTCCACGAAATGTTACTAAGTAAATGATTACATTTAATTAGTTGCTATCTCACCCAAGATGATACGGTTTTTTCTATTGAATGCCTCGTAATAAGTTTTGAGTGGTTTTTATTTTTTCATTTGGAAGAATCTAGTTCCTCCACTGACCATAATGGGGGATTGTTCGTCTGAAAGGGAGTTATGTTTCGTTATGAGCGGGTGATATTGGATTTAACGGATAACAAACTAATATATTTTTACAACAGACAGAGGCTTGTATACAGACACTTTGTCGTTGAATGACAAACAAAAAAGTGAAGCTATGGATGAGGAGTTGTAGAAACGTCAGTTACTGTCAAGTAACTTTGTGAAAACAAATTATTGCCGGTTTTCGAAAACCACTACCCTTAAGAATTATGTCCAAAATTTATTAAAGGGCACAAAGCAGATTAACTGACTTTAAGTAACAGGAAATATATAATGTTCTTTTAGACTCTGAATCAGTCTGAATCCTATGGCTTCTGCTAGATTTTCAAGAAATATTAAAGGTATTTCAAAAACGAAAATCACTCGGACTACATGTAGCACTTTTTGAGCAATTTATGAAGTTTATAACAAATTTTCTTCGATATTTGGTGCGTTTAACATTCATGGTATGATATATATCCACCTGAAATATTTTAGAATCTGCCGGTTCAAACATCACTGGAAGATAAACTTTTCAAATTATTTTTCTGACCGCTCTGAAACGTTGTGAAAGAGCTTAATAAAAAGAAAACGTCGCCGGAACGCGACCATCATATACAGCTGAACTTTCGCAATATACTGCCAAATGAAAAAAAATCAGCTGTTATGGAAAATACCAAATTGTAAAATTGCAATTACCGTGAACTGATATAAAACTCGTCAATAATAACTCATTTTTCCAATTCCTTTTCGTTTTCGCACACTTAGCGACTTCAATTATAGATATAATTCCAAGAAACTTTCAATAATATATATTGCTGTAAAATATCTTGCTCTCTTTAGTTGCTTCGTGTACAGAAGGAAACATCGTAAAACAATTCATATCGGACACAGACAGAAAGTTCAGTTTAATTTTTGCATTTTTCAGCGGGTATGAGTGCAGTCTTGCTGGTACCAGCATTTTTGCGATCGTTCACGATCTTGTACTTTGTTCAATTTTTATCGTGTTCTAGTTTCTCTACTAATTTTAAATATGTATTGTGTTTGATTTTCTGTCTCGGGCCACAATCATGCAAAGCCCAAGTATTGTCTTTATCATGTTAGTGTGGTGTAAAACTTACCTATGGTAAGACCCAGTAGTGAAAATGCTTTGCGATGATTCGGGTTCATTGTAACAGCAAGCGACCCTAACCTGCGTTGGTAAAACTAATTTCAAGTTCATTTTTCAACAGAAGACAAGTTAATAATGTGGTAGGACATTAACTGATCTTCCCATGAGATTACGCAGAAAATAATGGTATCACTACTTTCAACTAAGATCGAAATAATTTGTTACTTCGTTGTAAACGGGTTAATTCAATGCAACTTATCAATATTGTAAGATTATTGGGAAACCGCGTTAACCAAGCCGCTTCTTCGTGTACAGAAACATAAACAAAAGAGATCACCGTGACCATTAAAACCTCTGTCCTTAAATTTTAGAGCGATTTTCTTTTGACCTTGGAATGAAAACGGGCGAACAAAATAGAAACAACAAACGAACGGAAATAAAGCGATTTGATTGGTTTATCGAACGGATACAAACGCACCTGGCTTTTGGTTGGTTAAGCGAACGTTCGGATGGAAAAACTTCATGCCCGAAGAACTTTCTAGAAATCGCTTTGACGTCACACTGCAACACAATTGGTCAATCGAACAATGCCTTCTCCATATTAGGGTTTTCTTTGGCGGGAAAACGAAGAGTCCATGGGCGCTTTCCATTTAGTCAAAATTTCCGGAATTTCCGGTTCAGCGGTAAATGGAACACGTTTCGTCGGTTCGTCCCACTGGAACATTCCCAGAAAAAGTGGAAAATCTAAAAAGGTGGGTCCGTTTTCCCGGTTGGAATTTCCGAACGGAATCTCGTGTTCCATTTACGTTTCTCGTAGTTTGTACCAGTTCCAGGTCCACGGTCGGGCACCGCGACGTACCGGGGTTTACGTCCAAATGGAACAACTTTTTACCAATCGGAAATTCCACTTTTGCTCCCACCGAAATTTCCGGGTTTTTTTTCCTAAATGGAAAGCGCCCCATGTTTTGTTCTTTTCGAACCATTTTTCAAGGACATACGAAAATCGCTCTATTTCTAAGAGCTCGACTTGAGCGTACCAACCTGCATTTCTTATCTAGAGCTAAAGAGGTTAAAAAAGAAAAAAGAAGAAGAAGAAGAAGAAAAAGCGTCTGGTCCTCTTTCCAAGTTCGTTCCCAGTGTCTCCCTTCGCGTTCGTTGCTCCGGTGATAAAAATAAGCGGAGAGGCCCTGGAAAAAAGGACAAAGAGAATAGGACAATTGCACGATGACGATATTTGACTACAACTACCAGAATTCATTTCGTTGTTGCTTTGTTATTTAAATTTGTCAATCCCGCTGAGGATTAAAGAACAATAGCCTTAATTTGCACAAGAAAACAACAAACTCAAGGATTCTGGTAGTTGTAGTAAAATGACGTCATCGTGCAATTGTCCTATTGGCAACGACGACGGAGACATCAGCAAGAACGGCAAAAAAGCAACTGGTAAAGCCTGGTTTTCATATGTCGGGAAAATCCCAGACGATCGGGGATTTTACTTTTTGCCGACCATCCCAGATTTTGCCGATATATCGGATAATCGCCAGAGGCCTGTCCCAGATTCTCCCGATTATGAATTAGGCGGGAAATGGAAAGTGCGCCAAAAATCGAAACTTGAACACAAATGTATCAGCATTTCAGCAACATGGATGCACACGAACTTATGCTGCGTCGTTCTCAATACATATGTGTTCTTGCACTCGTCAATGCAAGGTTTTCCATCCTGAAAAAACAGAAGCCAACTAAACGAAGAACGAAGAGGTTTTGGATCAGAGAATATTTGACAAAAAGAGAGAAATATGGTCAGTTCCACACACTGTTTTCCGAGTTGCGCCTATCAGACAGAGAGTACTTCTTTCGATATATCAGGATGAGTCCAGAACGCTTTGAACATTTGCTAACCCTAGTTGCTCCTTACATTCAAAAGAAAGCATGTAGAAGTCGTGATCCAATATCACCAGCTGAACGATTAGTTGTGACATTGAGATACCTTGCAACCGGCGATTCTCAACAATCCCAGTCTTTTAACTTCCGCATAGGGAAGAGCACCATTTGTCACATTATCCAGGAGACCTGCATTGGCATTTGGAATGCACTTAGTGACGTGTATTTAAAGTCTCCAAGCAGCTCATCTGACTGGGAAGGTATTGCGAATGAAATGTTTGCGGAATGGAATTTTCCACATTGTATTGGGGCACTTGACGGCAAGCATGTGATGATTGAATGTCCTCCTAATGGAGGATCTGAATATTTCAACTACAAAGGATATCACAGTATCGTTCTATTGGCAATGTGTGATGCCAATTACTGCTTTACAATGGTAGATGTAGGCAGCTATGGTAAAGACAATGATGCTAGTATCTTCAATGAGTCTGACATTGGAAAGGGCCTTGCTAATGGCCTTTTTGACATTCCTAATCCTAGTGAAGTTGATGGCCACATGTTACCTTATGTTATAGTGGGCGATGACATATTTGGTCTTAAACCCTACTTAATGAAACCATATCCTGGCCGAGGACTTACAGAATCACGCCAGGTGTTCAACTATCGGTTGAGTAGATGTAGAAGAATCATTGAAAATACATTTGGTATATACACTGTCAGATGGTTAATTTTCCGTAGGCCTATTAAAGCAAAACCAGAGCACGTGGACATTATCATCAAGGCATGCTTATGTCTACATAATTATCTAATGTTGACTGATAATGCCTATTATGCTCCACAAGGTTTTGTTGATTCCAAGGACAACACTGGAGCAATTATTGAAGGTGACTGGAGAGCAGAAGCCACTGAGCTAGGAGGAGGGATCTGTCCTATTCAGGCTAGAATCAACAGGTACAGTGGGGATGCTAACGAGGTCAGAGAGAAGTTTGAAAGCTATTTCAACAGCGAGGAAGGTTCTGTACCTTGGCAACTGGCACATGTGCGAAACTGTGGAAACAGTTACACAGAAGCTCTTTATCAGAGTCAAATTAACCATTAAAGTTCTGAACAGTACTACTGCACGAAGATACTCTGGTGAAATTTGCAAAAATGGGATTCAAACAAAATCGAAAACAATCAGTTTAAACACAAAGATAATTTACTTTAATATTGACATGAATATTACAAAACCAGGCGTTTTTAAAACCAGAACCAGTGTTTGAAAAGCCAAAATGTTAAATGAATGCAATCTAAAAGGCATTTTCAAACTAAGTCTACTCATTTGTAACTTTGTAGCTTTTTGTAAACAAACATTCTTGTTGATATTAGAACTTATAATTAAGAGTCATACCATTGACATTACAAAAGGTAAAAAAAGAAAGGATTCAGGTCCTTTGAAATGTAGTCAGTAAATAATACTTGTGCTCAAACATTCCTGTTAGTATTGTAACTTATTATCATAAATCATTTTCAATAGAGATATGCCATTTGAAACCTACATACATGTAGTCAGTAAACACTAACGAGTATAAACACAACATTTCGATTTACAAAAGATGGCCTGTTTGATGTTGGTATCTAATAAAGTCACAGATTATTAGAGGTAAATGATTCAATGGGGCTCTTTGTTCGATACTCACAGAAAGAAAATGTCAACATACATGAAGCATTAATATTAATGCAATTTACTCAATTAAATGGTGGCTGAGGTCTTGAGAAAAACTTGGACTTGGTTGCCCCAGATGGAACTGACCACTATTAAAATAGGGTGTTGCATGGTACTGGGTTGCTGGAACCACTGTAGCATATGCACCTGACTCTATATCAAAGAACAACTTCTCAATTGAGTGCCGCACATAGGCTTTAGTTTTGTTGTCCAAACCAGACATTCTCTCAGCCAAACTTAAGCAATAATGAGTATCAGAATTATGATCTGTCTTTAGAGGTGTTTGTGCTTTGTAGCTAGCATCTAGTGACTTTTGGAAACTATGCATCACTTTGCATAGTTCCAAATTTGGGTCTGGGGCACTTACAGCAGGAGACCAAGATCGCTTTTTTGGTAATGTCTTCTTTAATTTTTTTTCACTTGGTTTCTTCCATTCAGGCTCAGCTGAATCTCTTTGTTCACTACAAAAAAAAATTAAAGTGATAAAATAAGGGTTCTGTCATCAATCTGACATCAAAAGGATGAAAAAGGAACACTAATGATAATGCATGCTTCTGTCAGATAAGGAACTCTAGCTTTCTATCACAGAGCCTCAGACAAAATGCCAAATAAGGTTCAGGAGACAGCAGGGCTGAGTAGTCAGAGTACTGAGCTTGTAATCTGGAAATTCAGGACTTGAGTCCAACTACAGTATGAACACTAACTAACTTTGTAGTTCCATCTTCACCTGTAACGAAAGGTTTTGTTCCTCTTCCCCTTAGGGTTAGTAACCTTTTCAAGTTAATTTGATTTACCAATGTCTGCAGCTTTAGAATGTTGGAAAACTCACCTCTGCAACTATAGAATTTCAAAATTTTCCGAGGGAGCATGCCCCAGATCCCCCCTGCTCGGAGGGCCTTGCCAATTCTTTGCCCGGGTTTCAAACTCAGTTGCCCTCCTGTTCAAAACTTTAAAGAAACCCCTGATCAACCAGTTTTAAAACATTTACATTAATCACTCAGTAACAGAAAAATTAGCCTCCTCTAATGATAAATTGTTTATTATCAGCAGAATCATCAAAATGTTGACAACAAGCCAACACTACTATGACTCTTACTAACAGACTTGTGTATTAAACACAAACACACACCCATGCAAATTAAATAAACAATATTTACCTGGACGGAGAAGTTTCTTGTGATGGAAACTTGTCTTCTTCCTCTTCGGATTCCCCATTGTCTGAGTTTGATTGCTCTTCAGCTTCACGCACTAATTGCACATTGCCAGATGTAGGTCTTGTTTTAATGAAGGTTGCAAGCCACCTCAAGTGTTCATACTTCGGATCTAACTGAATGTCATCTCTGCCAGCGCCACTTTTCCCAAGTGCCTTCCGTACGTACCTTGAAAAAGTTGTCCTAATGCTTTCGTATCTTTGCTTACACTTGGATTCTTGTAAATCAAGCAACTCTGAAATCTTTCGCCAGGCGTTGTTCTTTATGTTCCGATCTTTAAAATCTGCACAGGCACGGTTGTAAATTACGGGAAACTCTTTTATGATGTCCATAAACGCCACATCATTCTTCTTTGCCTCTTTGGCAAGAGATTCGAGATAGCTATCACTCGTGTTTTCGAGAGACGCCATCTTTATTTGTGATAGGGAGACTGGAGCCCAGCAATTTAGGGGGATTGGTAACGAGCGAAATCCATCGCCGACGTCCCCGAAGTACAAATTTTGAGTTTTCATTTATCGGGAATGATCGCCGACCATCGCAAAAATCTGGGACGCGTCGGGAAAATAGAAACGCTCCCGATTTTCCAGATTTGTCCCCGTCCATCCCAGACGATCGGGGATATCTACGATTTCGAGTTTTCATTAGTCGGCAAAATCTGGGACAGTCGGGAAACAGCAAAATCCCCGATCGTCTGGGATTTTCCCGACATATGAAAACCAGGCTTTAGATTGGCAGAAAAACAACTTTGCACGTGCATCACGCCTTTTTGTATATTTCTTTGCCGTCACTGCGCGACTACCACGTGAAAATGCCCATTTTCACGTTTTGTGGAGGACGTCAACGCAAGACTACGACTTTCTTTTTCTTTTCCTGAACTTCGATACAGTCTTGTAGAATTCAACTTCAGAAAAAATGCCAACATTTGAAGAACTTGAACGAGATGGAATAAGCGCGATAAAGTTTGAAGCAGAGCGAATTGACTTTTATAGTGTCGTTTTCGTAGCCGTGGCTGTCGTCGTTGCTTAAGCTTTTTCTCTCTCCCCACCGCGTGTCGCCTTTTCCCGCGAGGGGTGATTTTCACGCGCGCTCGCGTTTCGCACGCTCTACTATCCCTGAGGAAAAATGGGGGACTACTCGTAGTCTACCTATTTGTAGCATTGCGACGTCTCCTATATTTCCCTTGTTGCTCAAGTTAAAGTCACTTCTCCTTGATCAACAAAGGAAGTAGAAAACGTCTGCATGCAAAGTTAGCTGATTTCTTCACGTAATAAAAAACTAGAAATATGTATCTTGCAAGGACCACTGTAAGAACTGTTCATGTTTTAAAATGGCGCCAAAATAGGCACGAGCGCTGTTTAATTGAATTTGTTTATTTCACTTTTTTTGTACATAATATTTGCATTCCGCATAATTTTTATGCCATCCACAAGTCACGCCAACTCATACGTAACTCATTCCGTCTTTGGCTGTCGAAACCAGATGCAAATTAACGATGGCAAGTCTGCATAGCAAGCATTTAAATTTCCTGTTCGTGACCACTGCGGCTTCCAGTGTTTTCTTGTCCGAGGTTATGCTTCAGATCCTTTGTTAATGTTTTCTTTTTTTATTTAACCCAAGCACAGAAATCAATCAAGCACGAAGTATTCCAAATAACGTCACGGCGTATGGACACACGGCTGAGACGGTCAATCGAAAATCGGAAACGTTTTGGGACTCCCAGCAACTCCAACGAAGACGAAAATGCAGCCGTTATCGGAGAAAACGACAAGCTGGATGAACGTGTTGTGTTTTTATATGTTTGGGACGCTTAGTTTCTTCAACCAGGAGTTGTTATTTATCGCATCGCAGGACATTCTTAGCGGCCGAAAACTTCCAACAGCTACTATACTTGTGTGTTTTGTAACCCCATTGATGATTACCAAAATACTTGCTCCCTGGTTTGTACAGAGAATACCTTATGTGGTAAAGACTTGTGTTATCGCGCTCGACATGGCCCTTGGGCTAACGTTGATCGTTTTTGTTGAAAACATGGAAGTGAAGTTATTGGGAATTTGTCTGAATGCAATGGCTACTGGAAGTGCCGAAGTTGTTTTCCTTGGACTTAGTTCGTTTTATCAGCCGGTTTGTATCAGTTCGTACGTAGCAGGAACAGGCATGGCTTCGCTCTTCTCGCCTCTATATTACAATGGTAAGAAAATTTTATTCGCTTACATTCTCAATATACTCATGCAAATACTGGGAAACCGACGCGCTTGAAAACAAATCAAGTGTGAAAGGAGAGTGCAGTGTCACTTAGGGTGGGCATGGGGGCAGGAGATTCATGATATTTTAAGAGCGCAAATAGTCATTATTCCTGAAGAAAAGAAATTTTTTACTCCCTTAGATATTTGACTTTTCGGTGACAGTAAAAAGGGAAATCAGTTGGCGGAATGGTCTGAATAATGCAGAATGTAATTTATGCAAAACGTCTCAAAGCGGAAAACATTTTTTCGGCGCCGGGTGAGGGGGTTGGGGGGATGGGGGATGGAGAGAGGGTGGCACTTCCTAGATCCTATGATAGCCCACACGGGAAGGCTCCGTCTGAAAGGGGTACCTTTTTGAAGCTTCAGTTTTATCAAAAGGTCGGTAATTCTCGAGTTGAAAAATACGATTGCGTGGGAAAATCAGTCATTTAAGTATTCAAAAGGTCCTTTAATCAAAGTGTTTCGAAAAGGCGGACTTATGGCTTTGTCATTTTGATTTATTAAGCGACACTGTAAGACTTCCTATTTGAACTATTCATTCTTGGTAAGTTGGTAAGTTAGAGAGGTACCATTTTTCAATGGAAGGTATACGAAAGGGCCGGTCCCTTTTCTGCCAAAAATCGTATATAAAAGGGCAAGGGATTGGACTTTGGGGGGGAGCCCCCCGTATTGAATTCGCTGAGTAGTCCCCCCGGGTTTCGACAGCACATTATATAAGCCTGCGTGCAGACGTTTCTTATCATAGTTTCCTTTGCTGTAAATAGAAGACGTCAGCAGGCACGCTTTTAAGGAACGACCAGGCTTTTTAAAAGTTTATTCGAGCACAAGGATTCAAACAGACGCAGTTTACCTAAAGTTTAATATAATCATAGAAAATGACCGAAGTACGGGCTCAAACGAGAATGTTAGGTAACTAAAGACTATTTTTGAAAAACTGGGGCCTCGAGTCAAGCAAGCGGGTATTGAAAGGAGTTATTGAACGTGTATGAGGACGACTCAAAACTTAAGTTCAATACAGACGACGCCAAAATTATGGTATTCTAAATAATCTTGCCTGCGGCTACGGATAACTTGATGAGATTGTTATGTCGCCGGGTACTCAAAATCATAATAGGCTCCTGTGTGAGAATGAATAATTACGTACTTGATAAGGTAACCTTTGACAAAAGAGGAATGATCTAGATGAAAGAGAGCTGTTCCTCTGTAGATTGGCTTTTTCCATGGGAATCGTCGTTTGTATTTGAATTTTATAACAGAATGTATAGTGGAACCTCGATATAACGAAGGGCCAAGGGACTGGCAAAATATGTTCGCAATAACGAGGTTTCATTTTATGGAGGTTCTTTTCCATATATTTTACTATTTTGGGGATAATTAATTCGAGGTTTCACGTTTTAAAAAAAATGACTTTGAAATGGCTCGAGAAGCGAACGGCAGGCTGTCTACTAAACAAAAAAAACACAAGGTAGTCATTTTTATTTCGAATCTTTTCAAAACGAGGAATTTACTACGTATTTTATTTACTCCTGTCTATTCTCTTATAGAAATTCAAATTCGAACGACTCTCATCTTGGCCAAACTGTAATCACTGGTCTCTCCCCGTAGTCTCTTCTTCCGTTTGTTTTACAGATTGTATCTTTTTTTCTTTTTCTGTAGCTCTCACAACATGGAGCTGTGTCTCACCTAAGACCGCTATAATGATCACAATTCCTTTCCCTGCATTATGGTTGGTATTTTACGCTATTTTAGACAAGAGCTACATTTCGAATGGGCCACAAAGCGCTCAAAAGCGCACGGAAATAAAGTACACGTCCCTGAAAAACTCACCTGACGAGTCAGCGAACCGGCCAACTACGATAGGCGGAATATTCTCATGCACAGAACAGTTGCGCATCGCATTCAAAATTCTTCCTTTTATCCTCTCACTATTTCTAAGCTTCTTCGCGGAGTATTTGTCAAATTCGTCCGTTATCACCAGCGTCGCATTCCCTGACTCAAGGCTGCATCCAAGAGACCACTTTCTCATATACTTTCTATCATACATGCTGGGCAAGTTCGTGGGTAGAAGTCATCTTTTTATATTTTCTTTTCTGTCTCCCGAGGCAACGGAGTTCCTGATGTGTGACAAAACCTGGATATTTGCAGGTTGGTATTAATTATAAAATATTACAGGGTTGGGACGGATTGCAACACTGACCTCTACAGCTCCATGATATTAGGATTCATTAACTAGAACAATAAATCACACGGAATTTGGAACAATTCAAAAAATGAAGAAGTTGTTTAAGTGACGGGTCCATTAGGGCTTTACGTTGCAATAGTCCCCAAGGTTTTCTCCTTTTCCCGCCGCCATATTGGATAACGAGAAGAGCCTGGCGACCAGATTGGTCGCAATAGTTGAATTGCCGGCACTTTGTTCCATCCTTATATCAGTAGAATGCCCAAAAAGGGCCGAGTGAATAGGCCATGTCCGAGTTCCCCCGGGCTTCTGTTTCAAAATGAGGGTAGGTGCTCAGCCCTCGGATATGGATCATGGAAATCATTTTTCATTGTCATGCAAATAATTAACTCATTTTCACAGTAAAGGTTGCGCACCTAGCCTCATTTTGAAATCAATAGAGCAGTGCTAAAATTTGTTGAATGAAGGACATCTACTGCAAAGATGTTGTTTAGTCTCCACATGCGTTTATTATTAACCCACGAACGCGTTTCTGTTTTCCGGCTAATCTTGGTGCAGCCTGCGAATACAGCCGTTTCTCCTTGCTCCTCGTCGCTAAGGACGTTTCGTCCCTGGCGGCGAGGAGCTAGGAGAAACGGCTGTATTCGCAGGCTGATCTTGGTGGCGAAGCTTGCGTGGCAGGCGCGAAAAATGAAGGGGCTGGGAGGTAACTAGTGAAAAAAGTACTATTAGTGAGATGGAGTCAAACTTTATTTGCTACTTTTGGATCTCTTTTACTGTTTTTACATTAGAAGAGAGGGGACGGGGGCGGTGTCCATATCCCCCTTCTAACAACTGAAACTTTTTTTCCTCAATAAGGCCTAGTCTCTTCACATGTGCCGAATTAAGTAATAATGAGTAAAATCTGTAGTTCTCGCTTATTTGCATTAGATTCGGAACATGTGAAATGCGACGTTTTACCCGGGCCTTCGACCTCGAATTTAGGCTAAATTCGGTTCATATATCGTAAATATTTAAACCTTAGGATGTTCAAGAATTTTGCGCACATTTTAATATTTTCAAGAATTAACTTCCCGGTTATTGCTGTTTCAGCTTTGGAAATGGGACACCTGTTGTTTTTTCTGTTTGAGTCTTGGTACCACTTTCTTCCGTCTATTTGGATAATGGTTGTCCTGTGCTCTACCTTGGGCCTCGTCGCCGGAATTATAGTAGTACAGTCGCCCCATGCCGTCTCGCGAAATGTTTCGCCCGAGGAGAAAGAGTTTGCCCTGGGACTGCTAACTATTGGTAATGGTGTAGGAGGATTTTTGGCTGGTTTGGTTGGTTTGGCTGTGGAACCATACCTCACAAACGAATGCAAAGTGCATTTCTCCGCTACTAAAGAATTCTGCTTTACGAGGCTTCGGAATGCTACAGGATGGGAGAAAAACTTTCATTGTTAATTTTTTATCTTAACGTCTGGTTTCCCGAGTATCGTCCTGATCTGCCTTCATATAACGCGCACTGCGCGGGGTCTCGAGGGGAATGCTAGGGAGTGTTCCTGGGGCAGGAATGCGTGACGAACCCCAAAGAACGTCTGCGTGAGAGGCTACATGACGATTGGCCAGTTCCAGTATCCAAGAGAGTATCGCAGTCGTGCAATAAAACGTGATCGCGCGCGTCTTGTTTTCGCTTAGCTGTTTTATTTTCGCTGCGTCCCTACTCTCCGAGAGCCTGGTACAGGCTTACTGACGATGAACCACTATCTACCCCTGCGATGCCCCCCCCGGGGGGGGGGATACTCAACAAATGTTTCTACAGGGAGGCTCCTTCCCGAGGTTCCATCCCCTTACCCTTTTATATACCATTTTTCAACTAATGAAATCCGTACCCTTTCATATACCTGAGGCCTGAAAAAGGTACCCCTTTCGGGCTGAGCCTCCCCGTATAGGGAATCATAGGGAGTACTCCCCCCGGGCTGTGATTAACTTATTGAATAGATGAACATCAGTCTCTATTGCTTGTTACTGAGTAGTTTTGTAATAATTGGACCAAATGCTGTTAAGGAATAAAAGCATTACGGTCTCTGACTAGCATTTTTAATAAAAATATGGAGAAAAATGAAGGCAGCTTGTGTTGAAGGTTCCTACCGAGTATTTGTCTTATAATCATTCATTTTTCCCCGAACTCACACATAAAATCACATAAACCATTATCCCCCTGATCGAAAAGATCTCAATCTCGATCTAGTTTTCCTCTGAATCCCTAATCCCTACCGGCATCAGTCAAATAAGCCTAATCTACCCCAATCTCGATTCGATATAACGGAAAAAACTATTACGGATCTCCTCCCAGCAGCAATACCTAATAGCGGCTAGCATCAAATAACACAAAGATGAAATGAGGGGGTGATATGATCGATTCGGTTAAAACTCTTAAAGCAGGACTCACTAGTGGATTAAGATTATATTGTCAGTCTTTTATTGTGTACATAAACATCTTAAAAAATCTTAACTTTTTAACATCTTTTGAACATCATACATTTTCACCCTTCCGTATATGAATCGCGGTAGTGGATTGTCAACAACGAAACTTCTTTAGCTATTTACTGTTTCATTGAAATTCTATCCTTAAAATTAAACACAAAAATGAATACGTTAAAAATTGATCCGGTTCTTAGGCTAGAGAGTGCGGTCGACTAATTCTCGCGCTGAAAGCCACTGGCCAAAGTAACTGCAGCTAAATAATCATCGGGCGAGTAGCGATCCTTCAAACAAGAGGTCTGGAACTGTTCTTTGTAGCTGCACGGGGGCGAGGCACTGCAACTGAACGGCGGGATCACAGAAGCTGATACACGTGGACCAAGCATTACACTGACAGTTTGTGAACCTTGTGAAGCGACGGGCGCCATATTGTCATAGAACGGTATGAACGACGGGCTGGTGGTAAATGGCGGGAAAAATGGCTCACGTGAACTGAATGGCGTCTGGTGTATGGGCAGCTGGAAACTGGCAAGTGACGGCTGGAACATGGTTGAGATGCTGACGTCATTTCCAAGGTCTTTGGCTGGCTTATTTTTTAAGCTCTTGCGCCATCTTGAACGGCGGTTTTGGAACCAAACCTGGGAGTGAAAATAAAACTTTAGTAAAGGATCATACAAGATGCAACTAACCTCTTCAAACAATGAAATGCGCTGATAGGTCACCAAGCAAATAATGCTAAATTCCAAAATAATACTAGGTCGTAGAATATTGAAAACCAGTTTCTGCCGTGCAATAGCATAGTTGAACAGTTTCTATATGAATGGTCACACGATAGGATTTCATCCACAGACTCAAAAGTTAGAACTACATATTAAATAAATAGTACCTTGTGAAGTACCGCTTAAGAGGTTTCATTTAAATGGTCGCACCATAAGATTTCACCCAGAGACTGAAGAGTTAGAACTACAAACTAAATAAATACTACCATCATAGCTCATAGCATATCTGTGACGATTTTTAACGTTGCACAACGGCCTTACCTGGATTCTGTCCTCGCCGATGTTGAGCTCCCGCGCAAGTTTTTCTCGTATTTGGATTCCTGGGAATTTTTCTTCTTCAAAAGACTCCTCTAAACGATTAAGATGCTCATTTGAAAAAGCAGTTCTTCGGCGTCTTTTGCGCTGAGCGTCATCTGCAAATTAAAAGAGAAGTCGCGTTGAAGTTGTGATTATAACTAGCTCCTTGTAAAAGCGAGTGTAGTTATCGTCAACGTAGTCTCGGAAGATAAATGTAAGTCGAAATGTCTTGCAAAACGTCCAATTTACAACAAGATTCTTTCGCGTCAACAACGGGCTTAATTATAAGGTTAGAGGAGACTGATTTATCGTGGTTAAATTGTTTTTCTGGTGACTGTTATGATCTCTGCAATGTCTTTGGTCTTATGTTATGTTGCGCAAAATTTTATCAGAACGTAAAGTGTAGATAAAGCTTTACGAGGTGATTATTCACCAAGAAAATTTTGAAAACTTTTAACGAGAATATGCAGTTTAACAATAATACTATGATGCGCACGAGTGTCGCACGCCTTTTCGATTAAACCCCTAAGTCGTAAGTGTCTACTGATAAGCTGGCTTGGTAACTGCAAATTGAATTCCGAAGGTACGAATTTAGAAAATGAGATTCTATAACTTACGTTCTTTTTCTGGAGCTGGTCTTTTCAAGTTCGCTCTTGAAGCCATGGTTGTTCGTAAAACTTCGAACTGTAACTGAGGTGAATCTTCCAACAACAAGTGATCTTTACAAGTCAAAGAGATAGAGTGAATGATTGTTTGAAATTGACTTCTTTATATACCTGATGACGCTCGATGATGAATTGTGCATGGGCGGCAAAATAAACCATTTCAACAATAACCATTTTAGTGACTTGATTAGTAAATTACTTCTCACCTCTATTGTTTGATCACTTGGGAGCGTTAGCTTTTGTCTCCATTGTTGAAATAACATCATGTAACATGTCAAGTGACTTGTGAAAAAACGATGAAATCAAAGCTTTTTGAATAAATTTGTGAAACCCCGCCTTATTTTCACCTTCGATCCATGAAGTAAATTAACTTTAAAATAAAATTCTCTGGAGTAGATGTTTCACTGTTAACATACGCGTGCCACTTTATAAGGTCACGCTTATATAAATGATATGGATTGATTTATTTTTTGTCCGCGGCTCTCAGATAGTGGGGAATACGCAAAAGTGAAAGGCACGAGAAAAGTTGGCTGGGCGTTTTTTTTTTCGTGTTCGCGCTTTCTCAATTCAGCCGATCCGACTATCCTGGAACCTGGAGCGGCTAATTTATATTGCGCTGTATTCCGGTGCGACGCCTCTGGACTTTCAGAAAAATTTTTGCATACGTCTTTTCCTCAGACTTGGCCCACCCCAAGTATAAGTAACCATGCCGTGCCCTTGGCGACTTGAATTGTTTGCTATCTCGTTTCATCAAATATTTGGTGCTGTTGTTTAGCTTTCGTTCGTTCCCGTTCATGCTTGCACGCTCTCGTTAAAGCGCACTTAGTTTAATACCGTGCACACACTGTTAAAAGTCGTGTGTTATCTGTGATTCTCGCACGCTTTCGTTCAACTCGTGTGGTCTCATTCATTGCAATGTAATTTTTTAAAAACGCCTCACTGAAGCAAGGGTCTTATTTTCCAGTGAGTGGGCAAACAAACCTTCAAACTTGTCACTACTTCATTAGTATACATTGCCTCTCACCTCTTTTGTTTGCTTGTAGCTTGTGAACTCTGTATTAATTGCGTTTTAAAGCAATTAATTTATTTCCAGTTCAATCTGAAAAGATTGAATTAAAGCTATGAAGTGGCAGAATAATTCAATAACGAGACGCTGAGATTGAATTGGACTTATTTTCTTTTACTGTGAGTCTTTGGAGGTAAATAAATGAAAGTTGTTGATCAGCACCATTACTGAAAGCTCTCAAAATACATTTAGCATCGGTAACGTGCTAAAATCACTGCGAGTAATCGGCTCCTGCCTCTCTCCTCGGCAGAGGCTCCCGCTCGGAAACAAGTTTTCAGGCTTCTTCTTTCCAATTGCTTAAATTGGAAAATTTACTGCGATGATCATTCTTCACTTTCAAGTTATCAACTGTTAGAAGTTTCAGCAGGAGCTAGTTTCAGACATTTTGCGATCGGCAGAAGGCTTACCTCATTCAATAAAGATAAGATTTTTGGTGAAAGAAGGTACAATGAGACATTCCAGCGTGTCTTTTTTTTACTAATCTAATCTCGTACTCCCCCGTCCTCGAAACCTGAAAGGCAGCCTGCGTTCCGGGCATAACATATCCCGCCAGCTTCCTATCGCGTGGATGAAGGTCGCGCGAGTTGTTATCAGTCCCGCGAGTGTTTCCCAGAATGCGACAAGAAGGAATGGTTGCTAAGCATAATATTGGTCTGAATTTCGGCGGGGAAAACATGTCGGATAATGGACGAAAAAATTGGCGGAGGATTTTCGTTTCTCTTTAGCAAACTCTGCGAATTATCTTTCAACAATGAAGCGAACAAAGGCTGGGATGTTTACCGGCGACCACGCTACACAGATCGACGGCGAGAAGCCTTAAAACTATGCTTGTACGAGACACTGTTCGAGGAGCTACGAGCCCCTTGGGTTGGCGAGCTTCGTCGAACGCAAAACAAACTAAACCAGGACGAAAATTGTTCATTTGGTGTTTTTGATAAACTGTCTATAACAGCATTCAAATTCAGATTAGCACGGAGGTTTGATGATGCAGATCAGTTGGAACATCTTGTTTGCAAATGGAGGAATCTGGATGGTAGGTGAAAGTGGATAAACAAAAATGAAACAACTGAAATCAACTGGGAAATGTACGATTTTTATGCACCTACCAATGTAAAGCCGGCGGAGAGGGGGAGGCGAGGCATTGGGGGGATTTGACATTTTTCAAAAATTTTCCGTCAAATACCCTGCCCATGGGTAAATCATGCCATTCAAATGCGTAAAAATCTCCCCACCCCGGGCTGCACATGGTTGCCTTTGACTTAAGTTTTACCGGTTTATGGTGAAGTTGCCTGAAAGTCATCTTGCCCAAAGTAACATCGCCCAAAATTTTTAGTCAAGTCGCCCGAAATGTCAAGTTATGTGGCTCGAGTTAAAAAACAAGATACATTACGCATCAGTCAAATTATTCCAGATGCGCCCAGCCTCGCCCCCCTCCCCCCCCAGGCATTGGAAGCGGGGGCTGGGGCAGCTGGAATTGACTGATGCATTACTGATTTATCTTGCTTGTTTCGTTGTTCATCAAAGGTTAAAGAGCGAGAGATATTACACGTAAGCTTAATATACTGCCTGTTTCGTCTCATTGTCGCTTAAAGAATGAGTTATGTTACACAGTCATTCTGCTTGTTTTTCTTGTGATGGCGGGTTTAAAGAACAAGATATATTGCACACACTTTATTTAACAAAACCTATCTTGTTCCTCTGTGCACTTCACCTAATAAAATTCGCGTGACATGACTCAGCATTTGGGCGAATTAACTCTGCTTTCAGGCAACATAACTTCGGGCGAGATGACTTTCGGGTGACATGACCAGTTACCATGGTTTCTAGCAAAAGCAATAACTGACATCTGACAACAGTATCAAAACATTTTAGACCAGTACAGCATTGTAGTCATTTCAAAACTTAAGTATTAACCTTGTACTGAGCTCAATCTAAATTTTAAACTAGAGATTCTATATTGGAAGTGAAGTGTTCCCTTAAGCTTGTTTTTATCTACATTGATACATGAGTCTTTGAAAGGTGAAATAGCTTCAAATAAACAAAAACAGAGAACATATTGCAAACAATGAATGCCCAAAGATTTTAATCGCTATTATCATCAACAAGCATTTAAAATTACAATGGAGCTTACAATATACCTAAAAATTTATTGTCACCTGGTACATTTCTAAAACAAACACTGTACAATGATCTAAATGATGATTTAGGTTGTATATCTATAGAATACAAAATCATGGAACTGTGTTCAGCATTCTTATTGACAAAAGTCAAATACAAAACTAATATGGGCTTATTTGCAGTGAAATAAATGACTTATATACTTTTCTGTTGTATTCATTCAATCTTTTAGGTAATTCGCTTGACTGTTTCATTCACCTCGTTGAACAGAATTCAGTCTGTTCAACTTGTTGTTTCATTCCCCTCCTCAGGCAAATTATACTTCAATCTGTTTGCCTTGTAGCTTTATTCACCTTTTGAGGCAAGTAAAACCGATAAGAAAAAGTAGTGAACTAGATTGGGAAGGTCATCTTTGCAGTTGATATTTTAATGGCACATTGGAACATAAATTATCTTCAAAAGACAAAAGATGAAAATCGCCCCTTTGTCAAAAATAAGCTTGTTAGTGCAAGTTGGCAGGGAGATACAAGCATTGTTAAATTGTCATGACTCCACTCATAAATCTTTCTGAGATAGGCCTGGTTAGTAAATGTTAGGATCTCAGCCAATTTTAGAAGGATTTGCATGGAATCATAAGATTATAAAGGTGGTTATATCTCCCTGCCAATTTTCACTAACAAAGCTAATTTTTGGCATGGGCGCCTTTTCATCTTTTTCTTTCTAAATATCCCATAATTTTACTAATTTGAATTTCTGTGATGTCATTCTTTTCTGTTTGTTTTAAAATTTGAATCCAAATCCAAGTTTGTGAAAATTCTTCCATGTACTTCAGTATAGGTTGTAAGAATTCTTTTTTTCTTATCCTAGAACCCTGTAGTAGTAGCCTTGATTTCAACAACACCAATAAGAAAGCTGTAGTGGAGAAGGAAGCCATACTGAGATTTCTAGTTGCATTGTCTGGATCGGGAACCAGTGAATCACCGGCGGTGCTTGGTCATCACAATAACTTGTGGGTCAAAGAATCCACACAGGTGATCAATATTATGTCCTGCCACTTATTTTTCTTAGAATTTTGTATGGGATGGCTCCTTGCTAGGCATAAAATCAGGGAGTGGTAATCTGAGAAGGTTTTGTTACCACAGGAGATGAGCATTTTTTAGACAGATACATATATGCCAACTCTCCCAGATGTGGCACCAATCTCCTAGATTCCCATATGGGACACCGAATCACTAATTGAATACAATCAACTTTTAAGCTTTTCTGTGCTTTGGTGTCACTGTGAAACAATTGTAACCTCTCTTTTGAAATTCCAAAAGTGTGAATTTTTTTTTAGGTTCATACAGTGTAGTACAGTTTCTGGGTCATTTTTGCACATATTGAATAACTGACAAAGATATGTCAGCATTAGAGTATTATTAAAGTAAATTTGTATGACCTTCACATCATGTAGAATTTCATATCATGTCCCACGCAACCCCCATATTATAATAAGTGGAGAATAATAAGTGGGGACTGCTAAGTTGTTTTTTTTAGTGGGGAGGAAGCAGATAATCATGGCTATTGGAGGTGGGTGAAAGTCACCAGATTTTAAGTTTTGTTCTTAATTCATACCTTTTTCAGTGTTCTTGTTGCTGCGCTTTTCAAGTACATGCGAACTCTGAAGTCTAAAAGCCAACTGATGTTTGCATTTTTTGCTGCCATCAATCATCCTAGTGGACCTCTTAAGAAACAGAACTTTACTTAATTGGGTTCAAAAGGTCATGGTAATTGTGATCTGTGATTGGCGGGTCTCGATCCGTTTTGTGTGTTTATTATGATTGATGGCAGTGAAAAACACGATTGTGAAGGTGGCTTTTGAACTTTAGAGTTCGCCTGTTCGTGAAATGCACAGTAAATTCCCCATGTTATGTCAAAATGTATATTTTTTGTTCTTCTAACACCCTGTAGATTCACAAAACCTCTCTGCCAGAAGGACCTCTGCTGATTACAGACAGCCATCTTTTGAGACAACGGGCACTTGAATTTGATCACTATGTCCACTATTCAAGGTTTGATTTACTAGAGAGTAGATGTAACTTATTTTTCAATCATCAGTGACTGACTGTCGCCAAAGTTAGCCTAAACAGAGGTGCGGCCATATATGTATATTTTATTATAAAACTAGAAATTCTTCTATTTATTAAAATCCCCATATTGTTTGCTTTATAACAGAGAGCTGTTTGAATGTCCTCCAGTTCTTTCAGTTCCAGGAAATGACCCTTCAAAAAGGCTTTGTCAAACTCAACAGGTAATAATAATAAACCATTTTCAATATACCGGTATTAAAATTCATACTTGGCTCTGAGGCTAGGGGGAATAAAACAAAAGAAATGTATTATGCATTACTGAGCCTCAAGATGATTTCTTTTGTTTTATTCTCCCAAGCCTCGCAGCCAAGTATGAATTTTTGTATATTGGAATTGGCCTATTATACCAGACACATGGTTACAGTTTTAACTTGCATAGAAAATTATATGTGACATGTACCAATCTTGAGAAGAAAAATAATGTTAGGAGTACATGATCTGAGTGCAGTGCATTATTGAGGTACATAGGGAAAGGGTGTGTTTAATATGGCCTTGAGTTACTGCTGACCTAATTTCAAATTCTCCCTCTGGTATACAAAATTTAATAATTATATTCAAGTCAATTTGGAAGAAGAACCTTCACTTTTTCACAAATTCTTTCGGCGTCATTCCAGGCGCTCCTTTTAATGTTGTTACCTTTTACAGATTTTTGAAGAATTACCAGGGAGTTTCAGAGGAAAAGCAAGATTCTTTACCCGGCAGGTATGTATTTTATTAACTACTATGATATAGTTCAAGTAACAAGATTTGCTGAGGAATAGCTTGGTTTTGCATCACTGTAGTTCCCCCCTTTTTTTGTTTTTCGGCATTTGTATGAAAATGTGCATATTTTATTTTCCAGGATTTTAGTGAAGATGTTCATGGGAAGGATGGCCGTTCTGCCCTGTTCAGTGCATTGGTCCATAGCCGTACTGATAATATCCAAGTAACACTAGAGCTGCCACAGCTTCCAAGCACCTCTAAGTAAGCTCTAAGCAGTATTAATCATAGCGTTAATTTCCCGCTATTGTCAAGGAAATGCATGAGCCTGTGTGATAGGCTTGCAATGGACCCTACAAAAGTGTGCTTTTGATTCACCCATTTTCGGGTCTATGTTATAGGTAGCTTTTATCAACAGAAGTGCTGAGATACTTTAACTTCTGTGAATAGCCATTACTTTGGCAATAACTAGATGGCAATTTTCACCAGACACTGGAGCTTTTGGAGAAACCTGTTACTAAAGTTTTTTTGAGGGAGAGATAATACCTAAACATATTTGATTTTCTGTCTCTTTCCATCCACAGCACACTGCATTCTCTGGCTACAGAACAGAGAGAGGTATGTGTCCATGGGATAAACTTTCAAACTTGTGCTAAACATTCATGCTAAATTTTCATTTAACTTGTTGTTTTAAGTTATTACTCACTTTTTACTAAAGGTCCTGAAACCATTATTCATAACTCAAATGGTATTTTGTTAGACTACAGATGATGAAGGCTTTGAATCACTCGAGACAAGCTCCAACTCATCGACATCATCAGAGCAAGCTATGGCTCTGCAAGAAAAGACTGATATTTGGACAGCTGCATTAAATCTGCCACCTCACAGATATTTCACCTGGGAAATGGAAGGAAGGTAAAGTGAGGAATTTGCTACTACACACATATATATTTGCAAACCAAGTTCTTTTCAGCTGATTTTACCTTCTCAAAAACAAGCAATGAAGAAAAAGTAAAATTGTACCCACTTAATTTTATTACTGGTGTCCACTTAACACACTTTTACACGGTTTTAGCTGAATATAGAGTCAATTTATTAATTTTGATATAGGCTTTACCATGAACAGTGACTTACCAATAAGTAGTGCAATTTCAGACATAGTTTCTTGAGCAAATAGGAGAAAAACATGAGCATTTGGTAAAATGCTCCTGAAGGTATATATTATCTGATGCTCACCCGCTAGGTAGTTTTCTAAGAACCCTCCTCATGCTTGCTTGTTCTAAAACCTTTGAAAAAAGGCTGGCCTACTAATAATCAGTGCCTTTTTTTCTTTAATTTTTAGGCGAGAACTGCTAGATGAGAAACCCTTCCTCACGGAGGCGGGGCCAGTTGTATTCGATGCTCTGTATGACACTGTGATCCGCCAAGTATCATACATAGTTAAGCCTCCAATTTCAAGCCATAACATGGTCTCTATAAGTGTTCTGATCAAGGATTCAGTTAATGTTTTGATTGGTGTTCCTTCTAGAACATTTCATCTGGACAAGGTACTGTTCGTATTGGAATCCACTGAGGCAGCGCGTCAAATGAATGACAAGGAGACTATCCATCCTACATGAACCTCGATAACTTGAACTCAGATAACTCGAATTCCCTGCTAACTTGAACTAAATTTCCTTTCCCTTGATCAAAATTTCACTGAAATTCACCCTGATAACTCGAATTCCCTGCGAACCCGAACTCTTTTTTGTTTCCCTTCAGAGTTTGAGTTACCGGGTTCTACTGTATATAGAGCATTTTCACATTTTCCGTTTTAGCAGCTCAATTTTTTTACAATTAATGTGAGGATTCTGCTTTCAGTTTGTAACTCTCTTTCATGCATCAGCCAACAAAAGGGTTTTTCTTTTGGGTAAAGCAAGGACTACAACTGAGCTTTCAATATATGTGGTTTGGGTTAGGGTTATAATATTTGTGGTTCTCATGGAAGAACCCCTTAAATGTTGTGATCATTTTAGGGGGAGATGGATTTTCAACTCAATATTTTTGCTTATGTGTAAGAATGCCTAAAACACGTAAAAATGTCATGATTTTCTTTTGACTTGCAGGCTGCCCAGTGTTTCAATGTCAACGAACAGGTTCGCTTATCAGGCACATCACCAGAGATGATTCGTAGCGTCTTAACTCGGTTGGCAATGATGGGAACAGATTACATTCAGCTCAACAAGTTTGCAACTCATCAGAGAGGACAGACAGCCGGGCTTGTATTACAGGCCTTCTTAGGAGCACTTCAAAACTATTTGCAATGTTACAGGGCCACTCTGCTATCCGTGAACGGTAAATTTGAATTCTTCTTTGACTCTGATAACAACATGTAAATTCCGAAAACCTTGGTCCTTTTATACCACAGCATGACCAATGAATATTAGTTCTTTCAAACTTTCCTGTGGAACTTTGAAGTTTTTACATATGTACTTTCCTCATCTTTAATTTCATTTTTCTTTTATTATTCACAGTTTCTTCAGTGCAAAGCCCGCTTTTGTTAACATTTGCCTTTGATAATCTTGCAAAGCAGTTAAGGTTAGTTGTTCTCAAATTATCATAAATAAGAGATGTTTTAAAATGTTTGTTAATAAGTTGAACTATTTTTACAGGTTTCTGGCAAATGTATGCATGTGTTCACAGGCTTTCAAAAAGGCTCCTGATGATCCTAAACTCAGGTTCCCCACTGTAAGTAATTACCTGAAGCACAGTTTTAATTTGAAAACTAATCACCTTTCATAAAATACTCGTAAATAAGTAGAACGTGAACCATGTGAAAGTACTGCTGGAGAGGTTTCGTTTGAATGGTAACACCATAGGATTTCATCCACAGACTCAAAAGATAGAACTGCGTACTAAATTTTATAGCACCATGCGAAAGTGGTGAAGAGGTTTCATTTGAACGGTAATATCAAAGGATTTCATTATTATAACCGTAGGATTTTATATACACACTTAAAAGGTAAAACTACATACTAAATTAATAGACTAACTAAAATAACTGAGAAAGTCAAAAAAGTACTTCCTTTACACTCCCTGTAAACAGCTAGACCTTCGCATGGCCCCGGTTGACTACAAAAATGGCGGTCACATCTACGGAAAAGAACATAAGCATTGTTGTCAATTTGTATTTAAATTTCCTGTTAAAGATATTGGCATTTGATTAAAAGGCATTTTATTTTTATATTTTAAGGGCGTGAAGTTGTTGACCTACCTTTATCAGCTGTGTCTGGAACATTCAAGCTCCAATTTTTATCCGATCTTGTTGTCTCTCCTCAAACATAGCCTGATGCCTTACATTATGTAAGTAGGAAACCTACACAGAAAAAAAAAGTACGTTAACGCTCGACGTTTGAGATGCATTTTTGCCCTTCAAACTCGATGGAGACCACAAGACCGCAGCTTTCAACATGTTCAACTGGGAGCTTAACCATAGTCAACGACACCAACAGGTTGCAAAACAACAACTGTGTCGAAACTGTGCACGTGCATCACGCTTGTTTTACATTTCTTTGTCGTTGTTGCACGATCCCGACGTAAGACATTCCTAATTTCACGCTTTGTTGAGGCGGTGAACTCAAGACTTCGATTTTCTATTCTTTTTTAAACTTAAATACAGCCTTTAGAATTCAGCTGTAGAAAAACTCACCAACAACAGACAAATTGAACGACATGGAATAAAAGCGATGATTTTTTCAACAGCTTCAACTCATTTGTTTTAACAGACGTTTTCACCACCGTCGTCGTCGTCGTCGCTTAAGCTCCCAAAAAATCTTGGCATAAAACTCACTGCCGTAGGTCTCGCATTTTTGGCCGTTAGGGGGCTCATGTGCTGACCATTCCGGATTTTCTTGCTGTGTACTTGTTTTCAGCTGCAGCTGTGCCTCAGCTTGGTAAGCTCTGAACCGCCTTTCGTCAGGTCGCGCACGAAAGACTGGTCTGCTGCCAGGTTTTCCCAGGATTTATACAAGGATATTTTGAGCCGGGGTTCTCCTGGCCCCGGTTGTTCAAAAGATGGATAGCGTTATCCACCGGATAAATCTCTATCCAGTGGACAAGTCTTAGGAAAACCAATTGCGTTATCCAGTGGATAGATGATCCGCTACTCGAGCAACTGGGGCGTGGTGGTCAGTGGTCTACGGATTTTTATAATAAACAGGCTAAAAAACTTAGAACTGCCTTGCTTACATTGGTCCTAATTATGGGAACATTCTTTCCCAAGGCGCTTTGAATTAGACCAGTGTCAAAAAGCGTCACCATGCATCAACTCTGTAAACATTTTTTGTGCGTGCGTGTGTGTTTTTTTTAATGTTAGCAACGTTCTTCATCTTACGCAGGTTTGTTCAAACGTGGGTTTTCAAGGGTATTTGCAACGATATGTTTGGCGAGTTTATGATCGAAATGGACGAGCAATATCTGGCTTACAGAGGTAATTATAAAAAGTTCTAGCAGATTTACTGCTTTTTGTCTATTAACCTTTTTTTGGGACTTGAGGATTTTAGCCACAGACACTAACGTTTCAGTCATATCTATAAGGTTCATTCGCTAGAAGACCCTTTTGTTTCGTACTGTATTGAAACGAAACTTGCTCCTTTAATTTCTCAGATAAGCACTTCTGGACGCATGGCTATGTAATGGTCGGACGCGACAAGCTGGATTGCGTGCCGTTATTTTTGGGAGAACTAGCAGAGGATATATTTGTGTGTGGAAAAACGATAAACTTACTTAAGCTTTGCTGTCCTGAGGTACAATTCCTTTTTGTTATCGTAATGTGCCCTTCAGCTGATTGTGGAAAATGTTTTTGTACTTAACTTGTTATTTTTTTGTTTTGCCTCTAAGCTACCATACGTGATTAGCTACAACAATCTAGCGACGTTCTCTTTAAAAACAAAAGTCAACCATGACGTGTCCGCGCGTGTTTCTCGCGCTTTTTGTTTTGCCTCTTAGCTACCATACGTGATTAGCTAAAACAATCTCGCGACGTCCTTTTTAAGCCAATCAGAAGTGAAACAAAAGACAATCATGAGGTGTCCGCACGTGTTTCCCGCGCTTTTTCTCTTTCTTGACACGGTGTGCAGAATTCTACTATTTGTTCCTATTCGCTTTGATTAGCTAGCTGGAATGAATTTCATGTGTTCTGTAACAGTTTTTCTCCTTTGTGAGAGTCACCTGAAACCCCCTCTGTATCTTATTGCTAGATTTCTATTAACACTCATACGACCTTTCGCTCTCGAGGGAGTCTAACATTTATTGCAGGAACTAAACCTCATTGTATTTCCTGAAACACTTTTTAAAAAAATGTACGAGGCGAAAGCACTTGTCTTGCCGCAGGTTTTTCATTCACAGACTCCCAGGTTAGATTCACCTTTTTCATCGAAATAAGCATTTCTAAAGGAAAATACTGCTCAGTAGCTTGCACTTAAATAGTCATATTTCATCTTCAAACTGTAACAGTATATAAAGGCAACCTTACCAACGAGCACAGTTCTGTTTGGCTTGTTCCAGGCTCTCAGTTAGTAGGGATGGCGCGTAAGTGAAACGCACGTGAAAATATTAGCGCGTGATCTGGGAAAAGGGGGCGGTGGCGGTCTTCCTCTCGTTTTGTTTCGTTTTCGCGCTTTCTCACTTTCGCAGACCCGACCATCTCGGAGCCTGGAACAGGCAAAGTTTTCTTCTATAAGCCGGAAGGGAATGTGGTTTAGTCTGAGGCATGCTTGTGTGGTAATGACGGTCGTATTTAACCCTTTGAGCCCTAAGAGTGATCAGCATCAAATTTCTCTTTGTAATATCAATGCTTTGTTAAGCAGAGTGATCGTGAGAATTACAGACATGATCACACAAGATGAATTTGCTTGATATTTCATCAACTTCTCCCCACTACTTCTATGGGAAATGAATAGGGGCAACAAATGAGAATTCAAATGTTGATCTTAGGGTTTAAAGGCTTAAGAGGACCATATGTTTTAGTTTTGTTTTGTTCCACAGCATTTCTTGTGCGATCCTGGGATTCCCCTTCCTAGAATGGAAGTGACATTTTCCATGGCTCGGCTGAATAAACTTGAAGGAGAATGTAAGCAGTACATGGAAGCGGTACAAACGATGTACAACCAGCTACAAGAACAACGAGAAAAAGAGGTAGGGTTTTCTTTTTGACTACTTCAGTGAGCTTTGGTCCTTTTTTTGTTGCGTTTGCGGACGTTTGCGTAATTACTTCGGTGCTCAAGTAAAGTCATGTTCGCTCAGCGAAAAAGTGTACGTAAAAGAGGTACCGTAAAATTCCGAAAATAGGCCCCTCCAAATATAAGCCCCCCAAACTCGTAACGCAAAAAACCCTCCGTTAAATCGCCCCTCCACTTCGGGGGCTTGTACTTGGAAATTGCTCTCAAATACAAAGTAAAACAAAGAAAAACGGTAAATTTCCTTCCAGGAATAAGGCTAGCCCAATCGATTTTAAAACGCAAATTTCCCTCCGTAGATAAACCCCTCCAAAAAAAAAAGCCCCTTAAAAGGGCCTTTGAAAAATATAAGCCCCAGGGCTTATTTTCGGAATTTTACGGTATGACCCGGAAGTGGCGGAAAGGGAGAAGGAGGGGGATTGGGGAGCAGGGTTTGGGGAGTAGCAATTCATGATGATTTGGCATGCGCCTTAGATAGTTTCTATCCGTAGGTTTGTGCATAAAGTATGTCACACGTTTTTTAATCCTCTGCTGCATGACCTCCATCTTATTGTACTTTAGCTTTTCCACTTTGCATTCTAGTTCTTTATGGAGAACTGATACCATCTTGTTGGCTAAATTGAATAAGCCCGCCCTCTCAAATAAGCCCCCCCTCTCCTCAAAGGTGTTTGAAATAACTAAGCCCCCGGGGGGCTTAATAGAGGATTAACGGTACACAAGTTCTTTCTCTGACGCTCAACTCTTTGTCTGTCTCAACAGAGAAGAGCTATTGAGGACGAAAAGCAGCGGGTAATCCTTGAAGAACGTGAAAGAACTGAAAAAGCGTTGTCAGAAATAACAGGTCAGTATAAGACTAAGCTGTTTTAACTTTTCAAGTGAATGACGATTTTTTGTAACTCAAGTTATCTCATACAACAGATCTTGTACAGAAAGCCAAGGAAGCAGTGGAGCTGAAAAAGCGGGAGGACTTAAAAATGTTAAAGGAACAGATGGAAGACGCTTTGAAGGTGAGATTTACGAACTTATCGTTAATCTAATAACAATGATAATGATAATGAAAATGTCAATAATAATAATTATAATAATAATAATAATGATAATGATAATGATAATGATAATGATAATGATAATGATAATGATAATGATAATAATAATAATAATAATAATAATAATGATCTTCATCGTCATCACCATCATAATCATCACCTGAGTTCTTGTATATGGTCCATTGTATTCCGTAGCGTTCACTCTTGAAACTGTCCCATTTCATAAAAATCTGGATTGTTTAGCCATGGCCATGAATCTAGAGCAAGGGTATTGACTTTGCTTTTATTTTACAGAACAAAGCTTTGGAAAGAAAACAAGAACAAGAAGCCGATGCCCAGTATTTAGAAGAAGCACAGAAAAGAGAAGTCACAACAGCCACAATTGAGGACGAGATGAAAAACAAGGCCAGGTATGAGTTAGAAATTTATATATCCTGTGTAAGAGAGCAATGAAGGATTCATCAGAAATTGCTATGTTTGATTTCTTCATTATGTTTGTTTCTTTCTTGGTTTATTTCTATGCTCCTGAAACACTCTACTCATTTAACAGGGGTCCTTAAGCGACCCTCCGACCACCCCAAGGTAACCTTCTAACATTTCCCACGCCAGGTACGAAATTCGCGCCTATAATTCTTAAGTAAATTGATTGACATGTTATTTTCCGTTGTGCGCTTGCGTATTATTTACAAATTGACCAATTGGCTCAGTTGTGTTTTATCATGTTGTTGCATAACTTCTTTGGTCTCTGATTCGCTAATACGTCAAGTGTTTTTGTTGTTGTTCTTGTTGTAAATGGCGGATTAAGGTCTGTTTTACAGGCGATTATTATAATCAGAATCTTCCACAGCTAATTTTTTCCACTAGTCATATTTTCTGAATTGACGTCTTACGTACCGTGCGTTGCTTAATAGAACTAAGAAGAATTGAACATTTATATCTCCGTTGAAATTGTTTCTCTAGGGCAGAACTGATCAAGTACTATGAAGAACTTACTCGTGAAATGGAGTACAGAGAATTCCGTGCCCAGTGGCTCATTCGCCGTAGAGAACTGGACTCTACTAGGGCCCAGTTCCTGGCCCAGGAGCAGGCGCGGTTAGACAGCCTAAGGGATCAAATGACGCAAAGACCTGTTGCCCAGACCCCTGTTGAAGCAAAAGATGTGACTACTGCGCAATCTGGAAGAGACGATGGTGACAGGCCTTTGGCAGTTTCCAATGTATCTACTACGGTGTCGGTTCCCAGCCCAAGTTTGATATCGCTTATCGCTAGTGGTGTAAAGACAGACGCTTTATTGAGAGCTGAGCAGCAAGGGAATACTGCTGATTTGTCAGATTCTACCGTTAGGGCTGATAACATCAATGAGCCAAGAGAAGGAAGGACGGAAATTTCATCTGAAAGTTTAAATGATGAAGGTTCACATCGACAAGCTGGAGAATTAAGTTCTGAGGCTAGCACGATTGACAGCAGAGGTAGAAGGACGTGGGATAGCCCGGCAGAGAGTGCTACCGAGCTGGGAAAGCTCAAGGAAGAAGCCAGTGGGAGAAAAACGTGGGAGACCCCTGAAGGAGAGATTAAGATCGGCTCTCCTCTCCCCACGTCACACCCCTCAGATTCTTCAATACAGTTCGCGATGTATAGCGATAAGACAAAGAGTGGCGAGGAGGCACTGACATCTGGCCATAGAAGAGATACTTTAAAAACAAGCACACCGCATGCATCGGATTCTTCATTACAAAGCATTTTGTACCCCAGCAACCCGTCGGTGACAACACCAGGTCCGGATGCTCAGGCCACGGGCTTTGTAACCCAGCCTTTACATTTGGATGGTAGTGGTCTGGTTACGAGCCATCCGTCGGACTCTTCGGCTCAAGACATTTTATATGGAGGCAATGTAACTCCTGGGCCATCCGAAGATAGGTCACTGAGCGCACAAGGGCATCCTTCGGACTCCTCCGCGCAGTATCTCCTATACAGTAGCGGTAACGTGGAAGGAGCTGGCACTGAAGCCCTTGTTCCGGAACATGGGCACCCTAGTGACTCGTCAATCAGCAATCTCTTGTATTCTCGCGATGAAGGCACACCCAACCCCCACACTCCCCGTCTTTCCCCACATGGTCATCCTTCCGATTCGCAAGTTTCTCTGTCTCAAGGTACTGCAGCTCAGGTTATGCGACATAGTTCCAGGTCAACGTGGCAGCACCCCTCGGACGCTTCAGTTCAGAAGCTTCTCGGAGATATAAACATTTTAGGGGAGAGCCAACAAAGCACCCGTGGGACTCCTCCCCCTAGCATAGCTCAAGATATTATTTACCCTCGGATTGATGGACAAGCGTCTTCCAGTGTCTCACACACGCGTGGCACCCCTCCCAAGAGCGTCGCTCAGGACATTTTGTACCCGAAGGGGGAGGAGTCCGGGCAAGTACCTAGTGCAATTCATAGTCGCGGGGGTCCACCCTCAAGTGTTATTCAAGACATTATGTACCCAAGCGTGGAGGGAGCGCTAGAAGAATCAAGAAAGATTTCCACTCGAGGTCATGAGCCGGAGGTGAAGATCACGAAGATCATGTACTACGTGAAAGATGAAGAAGGTAAAGATTAGTACTGAATATAAAGGCTGTCACCCTTTTAGAGGGAGAGTACTAATAGGCCAAAAAGAAAGATTAGTGACTAGAAGATAACGGTCCTTATTATACGCTGGCAACTCGCTCAATTTACCCTCTCCTCTCCATTAGTGCTCCGTTTTACGGGTATTTACAGCTAGTCAAAGCTTCACGTTAAGACAGGAAGTGGAAACGAGTATTTGAGGCCACACCCGGGAATCGAACTCGGAACCTCCTGCACAGAAGGCCGCACCCTAACCTACTGTGCGTTTATTTCACATCTCCAATAGGCGAGATGTTCTAGTCTTCTCGGATAAGGACGGGAAACCGTAAGGCCCGCGTAACATCACACTCACTGATTTTGTGTGACTTGAAAGAACTATAAGAAGATACAAATAGGTGACTGTTGTCCCCCCTCCCTCAGTGTTCACTGTCTATCCCACCCTCCCTAGCGACGGCGACGGCTACGAAAACGTCACTTAAAAAGTGAATTCGCGCTGCCTCAAACTTTATCGCGCTTATTCCATGTCGTTTAATCCCTCAAATGTTGGCACATTTCTTGGGAGTTGTTGTTTTGTGTTCCCGTTCTCGACAAAACGTGAAATTAGTCACTTTCACGTTGTAGTCAGTTCAACGACGGCTAAGAAATGTACAAAAAAGCGTGATGCACGCGCAAAGTTGTTGTTTTGCCAATCTAAACCTATTGGTTTTATTCCATTCTCGTTGCCGTCGCCGTCTTCGTTGCTTAAGCTCCCTAATGTATATCCCCCGGCAACGCTTAAATTGAAGCCCTGCTCTGTTGTTTTTTGCCTTTTCAGGAAGGACAGAGGAAGAACCACAGACAAAGCAGTTAGAGTTTGAGGACGTGTGGTTAGCATCACAAGTGGAGCCACTGCAAGACAACTTTGATATCTTGGGTAGGTTGGTAGGTTTGCACTTGGCCTGGCAATAAGACAAGAAAATAAACAGAAAGTCAGCAATCTGATTGGCTGATTAAGCGATGGTAAGGAAAATTCTATATAGTAGAGTATAAAGGACGCAAGTCGACCAAACTGACCTCATCACCTTAATCTTTTTGTTTCCCAGCTGTAGAGCCCGTTTTGTTACTAGAGATAACTTTTTCTTTCGAATTTCGTCGTCTTCACGTGCATAGACACAAAGGACAAAATTAATTTCCTCGGCGACATATGAGCCTGCGTTTCCGTTTCCTTTTATCCAAGCGGTAGAAGCACAGGGCATGCGCGAAGGCGTGGAATGAAGAATGATAGAACTTATTAGTGCAGGCTACACGATAAGATGGATACTGGCCGTAAGGCTCACTTAATCCATTCCCCTAATGTTGTCGTTTTTGTTTTTGCTTTTTTTCTCAGATTATAATCCCTCGTCAAATCTTCTTCAGGGTGCCTTGGGGTCCTTTCCAGTTGCACAAGGTAAAAAAAATATACATAAAACTATATAAGATGCTTAGCCGTCGCTTTCGGGGAGTTACCATACGGCCACTGTGCGTGTCAGTCTTAATTTTATTTATTTACTAGTTGTTTTGATTGTTCATTTGTTTTCATCATATTTGTAACAGGCTCTGATGATGAAGATACAGACGCAGCACAACTGATGTCTCTTCCGGTTTTGCTTCAAAGATCTGTCATGGCGCCTCTACTCGCCCAGTAAGTTGTTTGGCTGTTGCTTTACTATAATACCATTTTCGTCCCAACCACAACTTAGATCGTGCTCCTTGTTTTATTCGTGCAACTAGGTTGTTAAAAGCCGGTTAGACAACACACCAACCACTTACAATAAATGAAAGCAAAAATTTAATTCAACAGGGAGTACAATATAGAATAAAAATTAACCATACAAATTTACACGTTCTTATTAATCTAATGAGCAAAGGTAGTTCTCGGAAAGAGACGTATCAGGGTGGAGTAGATTCCAGTTTCTAGCATTTCTTGAGAAGAAGGAAAACTTGAACACATCTTTCTTACAGTGAGGTTCAAGAAGCTTAATAAGCCTATGGCTGCTCTAGCTCGGGTCTCATTCCTCTTTACGACTGTCCTTACTTTTGATGTTCATCCCGGCAGTTTTTCAGTCCCAGATAATGTTTGTGTTGCTTTTGCTTAATTTCGTTTTTCTCCGAGACAAATGTTATTTAATTTTGGTAATTTTTTTAAAACTTGTTTCACCCATTAGTGTTTTTCTTAGTTCGTTATTCTTCGTTAAATTGTTAATCAATATGCGCCAACACATTCTTATTACCACAGAGTACAATCCTAAACACAAGTGCCCTTTTTGACGTGGCTTTTATGGCCAGTTCTGTAGGTTGCGGAACTTCGCGGAAAGCACAAGCTTACTTCGACATTGACAGGTTTCAAGCGATCTTCCTTAAGTTTTTTTTTCCTTTTGTTCAGTCCTTTTTTTCTTCTGCAGGATATCTTTAGTGAATTCCGCCATTGTTGCTTACTTTATGGACGATCTTCAGATCAATAAACACTTCATCTTGTTCAAGAAATTACTGTTCATGGAAGATGGCGAGTTTTCCCTCTCACTTTCGAACCAACTGTTTGAAAAGGTTTGTGATGACGTTTGCAGTTCTCTTCACCCTCTGACGTATCTAGACGTGGGGTGCATGTTTAACTTTTTTGTTGGACATACATGTTTTTGTAGAAGGGAAAACGCTTTTTTATTAGCTCTGTTGCTGACACGTTAAGATGCAAACGGGAAGTGTTTAAGTCATCCCGGCTGTAAAACCATCCAGCGCATTTAAGTGGCATGATCCTACCTGGTATGGTTTAACCCTTTAAGCCGTTAAATTAAAGTTTTCATTCCCATTTCTTGTCCCTGTATGTTTTCGAAAGAAGTAGAGGGGAGAAGTTGCTGAAGTATCAATTAAATTTGTTTTGTGCGATCATGTCCTCAATTCTCAACACCAATCTGATATTACAAGGAGAAATTCGATACTGATCACTCAATACCCTTAGTAATTAACATATATTTTATTATGTTTCTCTTTTCTCCAAGCTTGCCTCAGGGGTGACTCCACGGGAGATGTGTTCTGCTACAGTGTTAAATGGCATTGTTGGAAAGGCTCTTCAGTTGTCTGTGTACTCCGACACAACAGAGCATGCGCAAAACCTCGCCTTTGCTCTTAAATCGTTGCCTGAAATTTTCAAACCCAATGGTAAGTCTACAATAATTTGTCCTCGATTGTTGCAAAGGAATCATAATTAAAAAAAATAAAATGTATGAAATATTAAGCATTGCGTAATTTCTAAACGCTAGGTTACTTCACAAAAACATCAGAAAGGTAAAGGAGAAGGCTCATTGTAAATGAAGCAAATCGTACAAGTTATACTTTTTTCCCCATCACAGCAGACGATGGCTATCGTCCCCTTGTTGTTGGTCATTCACGTGGTACAAAAATACCATACTGGAGAGCAAAAAATGCACTGAGACAGTCAAACAAATAAAAATGACCACAAAATTTGAAAAAATGTAAGTTCTGTTTGTCTTGCCCTGGAGTATTTCTTTCTCATCACTTGGCGAACGGCTATAAAGGGCACATGAAATCAGAAGTCCAAACAAGTACACACCTTTTGGTTTACACTGAATTATATATTCGTTTCAGAAATGGGCACGATGGATTTTCTTGAACTGCGTTACAGAGTGGAGTGGCCTGTAAACATCGTCATCACTGAAAAGTCCGTTGTCAAGTACAACAAAGTGAGTCTATCGTGGTGATAGTGAGCCCATTTCTCAAAGCTAATATGTATTGTTAATTGTTTGGTTATAATATAGTACGCGGCCCTTCTGCATTTCCGCAACGTAAAATCTTTCATACCTACGGCCTCCCACTCACATCAGACGTTCGTAAGGCTTTAGAACGTGTGCTTGTGTCCCAAGTGCCTCTTCCCTTCTGGCTCTGTAGATCAGTCGGCAGAGCAACAACGATCTAATCCTTTCACCGTAAGTCCGATTCTTACAATGGCTAGAAATGTTTTCTGTGTCTGTGAGTGTACTTTCATACTAACGTAAAGCTGAGATAGGTGATTCTTGTGGCAATACAAGGCACCTTCCATTTAGTAGTTTATTGAAGTCTACCGCAAGCAATTTGTATTTCCTTCTGTACAGATCTTCTCGTTTATGTTGCGGCTCAAACGGCTTTCCTGGGTATTACGGGATGTATGGTTTCACTTGAAGCATATCGGTAAGAGTGCGATTACTCTTTACTTCTTTATTTTATTCCTTCGTGATTTTATGTCACTCTCAAGGCGGCACCGTATTACATGATACGTGATACCTTCTCTCGTTCCCCGGCCGGCCAAGTTTACTTTCGGCCTCTTTAACTCCAAGGTTACTCTCTTACTCGGCCCGGTCCCCTCTCTCGCTCCGGATGACGAGTAGGAAAGGGCCCTGAGAAGGAGGTTGCTGTAGTTCTTGGGAATGTCAAACGGCGTGGAAGCTAATGGAAATGCAAATAGTTAACTAGGCAATTTGAGCGCTTGCTTGCTTTTGCAAACAAAATACACTAAGGTGTCCTTCAAGAAAGCAATATGTTCCTGTCTCACCCAATGCCTTTTTAAAGCTAATACTGTAGTGATCACAATCCATGCTTGTCGTTTCAGCTTATTCTAGGAACGCGGCGATGTCGCCTCAAATTCGCCAGCTTCAGCTTTACAGGTACTTGGTTTGGTTGTTGTTTATTGTCCTCCTCGAGGGTTCGCGAGAGACTGGGTCTTAGTTGTGTCAAGTTGCATTATGGGACTGTTTTGGGGACGCTTAACCCTTTGAGTGCCAATAGGCGAATCTTTGCTGACGTCATTGTTTACTTTTTTCCTCATTAGCATACGACTTAACTCATAGAAGCCGTGGCTGTATATATGAATTAAATGCAAAAGTCAAAAGAGCTGATAAAGTTGGGCAATTTGTGCAATTTTCAGCTCTTTGCGAGCAACATTGAAAGAAATATCAGCCACCAAAACCTGCAAAATTGCTGTGTGGCGAAAAAGTTAATTAGCCATACATTCTCTGTAAAATTTCTAGTTTTTAGAAGAGAATTTCTCCGAAACCATTCGGTGTATTGGGCTCAAATTTTCAGAGATAACTGAAACGGTTATGCCCTTTCAATATTCAGAGTTTTTATTTTATTAGCGTCATCAGACAGTGATAAGCATATGTTAATGAGGCAAAAAAGGTAAACAAAGATTCGCCTATAGCGACCATTATCATACATTGTCAAGAGATAAGGTTATGAGAATAAATAAAATTATCGTCACGGAGAAAATGCCCCTGATCTTTTATCAGATTCTCTCAACTCATTCTTTAAGGAAATGAATGGAGACCAGTTTGGAGAATTTGTATAAGGGTAGTGGGACTTATAAAGGTTAACAGTCTGTCTATTGGTTATAGTGAGGAGAAATGTGACGTCAAGTTACCATGGTAACATGATTTCTGGATCTCAAAAATCTTTCTTGACGGAGACGGTTGTTTTTTCATTGTCGAACGATGGAAGAAAAGTATGGGATGCCGTTTTGTTCCTGATTGAAATCATGCACAAGAATCATACGCGTCAATTTTTTCTTTTTTTCCCCTGCCATGTTTGCAGGACCACGACTTGTTGAGATCCAGAAAGTTTGCTACCTTGACAACCTGGCTTAGCGATTTCACCTCCCTATTACAAGGGTGCACAAGAAACTGGGTTAAACTCCGTCCCCCAAAGCAATCTCTGAGTGCAATTTGACACAACACATGCGCAGACTCAAAATGACTTATGCTATCCAGAGTCAGGGGAGGGGAGCAAGGGGGGGGAGACAGGGGTCCAAATCTTCCGCCTCCACTGCCTTGCATTCCTGGCTCCCACCCTTTTTTCCTGGCTTACTCCCTTTAGCCCTTTTTCGATTGCGAAATATCAAGGATTGCGTAATTTCTCCTGCTTCCCGCCTTTTTAGAACGTTCACCTCCCGCCCTTTCATCTTTCGCTTCCCGTACAACAGCCGCACATCTGCCCCTATTCTCCCGTGCTCCCGCCCCCATCTCCTCCCCAAATGTGGTTTGTGTCCAGATGTAAAGAGGACCATTACTTGATCCCGATAAAACAAATTTTCGTTTCGAGAATTTTTTTGTGTCCTGTGATAAATCAAGGGAACAGATCATTTAGGATCGAGAGCGAAGCAGCCAGGTTAAAAAGTTATCTAGAAAAAAAAAAAAAGAATTATCCTAGATATGTGATACTTTTACAATTCTTTTTAACATTGCCAAACAATATGGACTGTTTGAGTTCTTTCCATTCTGTTTATTGTCTCTTTAGACACGAGATGCAACACTTTGTTCACAACCTCGAGGGTTACCTGTCCAATCAGATTCTAAATGTTTCCTGGTCAGAGTTCCAAGAACGACTCCTTAATGTATGTAGTTCACTGTGAGTTTTTTGGAATGGATTTTCCCCCCAAGAATGAGTGGAATGCATAGAACGCAATCTGATCACGTGCGTTTGGACCTTCTATCATTCGTCATCTGATCACGCATGTTTTGACCATCTATCACGTGAAACTTGCGCAAAGCGCAGCGTTGTAGCAAAAGCGTTATGACCTTCGATCGTTGTCGCCTGCACTCCGTAACCTTCGGTAATTACTATTAATATTATCATTTTTTCCATTACTCGTAGGTAACAAGCTTGGACGATTTGCACAATCAGCACGCCGAATATCTGAGGAAAGCCATTTTTCGCTCACTTCTCAGCCGCAAAGCTGCGCCCGTGATGAGTATCATTTCCGACCTGGGAACACTCATACTAAAACTGCGCGCGCAGCTTTTGGCGTCTCCTTGGCAACAGGATCCCCACACTGGACACGTGACTCATCCCGCTTTTGACATCATGTGTAACACTCACAAGGCTTTCAAGGAATATTCAGGATTCCTTTTCACAGGTAAGTTAATTTTCACCTTAATGGTGTTCCCTCACGTACCTTAGTTTGGTGTTGACGTTTAGCAATTATTGGATGAGGCTGAGCATGATCTTACACTCAGCGAAATCTGCGTAATTTTCCACTTCGGAAACCTAGGGAGAATGGATACAAGCTCTGGGTGCAGTGATACCTGGGATCGTTTGGATGGACAAGCGTTAGTTATGATTGGTCTATGGTTTTCAAGGCAACCATTAACCAATCATAAGCAACGCTTTTCTAAACAATCCCCGAAATCGTTACCCATTCCCAGGCTGGGGAAATCTTCAGATCATACAAAAACCAAACAGTTATATTATTCATCCAAAATAATTCATATTTTTAAAAGGACACAAAAAATCCTTACCTCAATTGATGTGAAGTTCTCGTGAACATTTGCCTGTTCGTCAGCAAACTGAGGATATAAAGGGATCTCTAGTCTAGCAGAGGTTCTTCAAATAGCCCTTGTCATCCGTCGGGCTTAATTTTTGCAGCTCTTTTCAGACAGTAGTTTCTCCAGCTCACCAAAACAGCTGGGCTAACGGAACCCCGTTCCTAGGGGTTCCCTGCTGCCGTCAGTTTTCATGGCGATATCCTGTATTATTGACGTCGTTTTACCGGATGTCGCAAACGTCTTCCAAATTTCGTCATTGCTAACTGGTTATGAAGAATTAGCCGGGGAATTTGAGCCAAACAGAAACGGAGAAATATTTTGAATGAATAATAATTGTGGCTATTTTATTCACAGTGGTAAGCAAGCTTGTTAATCGTGGATACCAGTCTCACCTAGCCGACTTCCTGCTCAGAATCAATTTCAACAACTTTTATAAAGTGGAGTAACAGTCGAGTGGTAAACTTGTCTAATGCGCGTGTCCCCTGGTTGATTGCTGCTAGCAAATAAATTGAGGGCGTACTTCTGGAAACGTACGTGACTGGAAGATAAGTACGAGGTTCTGAGGAGCAGTAGTTGTTACGTGACGTTTCTTAGCAATGTCCAGTTTCTTAAGGATTCTGAGACCGCGTTTCAAGGGCCTTATGAAAGACACCGAGAGAGGTGAATGTTTTGTCTCCTGCAATGCGGCTACACTTAGAAGACGATATTCGGATTTCCAGGAAATAAGTAGCTAAGAACACCTGCCAGAAAACCTTTCGCCAACTTCCTTCTTGTATGGTAACTCGTACACCGTTGATACTACAAATGAGGCTAGTCTGACTTGTCACGCTCCCTTAATTACAAACCGCCCAGTTCGCTTGACGAGGGAGTGACGATTGGCAAGTTGTGTTATCTTACAGGTAACATGCCTTTTAAGTTAATCCATCAGCTATCAGAATGACATGGATAATGTGAGCAAGGGTAAATGCGTTGTTTTGTGGACTTTCTTCAAAACGTTTATTACATTATGACTTGCCCTCAGTCACTCGTCTGTCAAAGGACAAAAGTGCTTGGGGAAAACCTTGACATCGTGTTTAATCAGCAGAGGAAACGTTATTAACCTGTAAGAAAGCTTAGTATTTATTTAACTTCCACGAAAAACATGACTAGTCTTCAAGTGACTGGTGATTGTATGTGAAGTTTCCAAGTAAACCGTTTTCCAAAAAGTTTGGTAATTCTTTATTTTCTTTTATTTATTCTACAAAATTAAGACATACATGGTTACTTCTACAGTGTGGCCTGAAGTTAAAAAAAAAAAAAAAGATGGTACCTGCATTTTAAAAAATGCCCTTTGCAAAGACAATTAAAATCCTTGAAATCTTGGCTTATAATCACGTTTACTTTTCCGCGTAAAGCCTGGAACTGAGGGATTGTTGTCTGCGAGGGACCTGGTTCAGGAACGGTGTCAGACTAACAAACACACGACCATTTTTCAACGTCTACATTCTCGTAGACCATGAATAGAAACGACGTCAAAATGTTCAAAACTCAACTGGAACCAAGTGAAACCATGAGAGGCAGGCGAGTGGTTTCACTGCAAAGTATTGAACACTGATATTTTGCCGTCGTTTCTATAAGAGTGTAGGCCATGGAAAATTGTTGTCTATTGGTGTATCAGAATAACATTCACAATTTGTTTCGGCGAAGTTGCTTGGAAAATCGAGCAAGGGACAAAAACAAGATTGTGCAACCATGGAGTAATTTCCATGGTCTTTAGTCTCAAGGACCCCAGCTCTCGACCAATCCGTGCGCGTGAAATTGCTCAGTTAGCATAGGTAATAGCATGATTAGTAGTGATATTTGGCATAAATACCACGAGTGATATTTCAGAATTGTTATACGTAATTTCACGAGCCGTTAGGCAAGTGGAATTTGAGACAATTTTGAAATATCGTGAGAGGTATTTATGCCAAATATCACGCACAAATCATGCTATTATTTGTTTATACTACTAGAGCGGTTTTCACTTGACTGTCGTAAAACCAAAACCAAAGTAAATACACTAGCCAACCAAAGGGCGTAGTAAAACCAAAACCAATCCCTTTCGACAGTCAAGTGAAAACCGCTCTACCTGCAAAAGGTTTGTAATTTTCATATGTAGGTATTTCAAATTAAGCTGAAATACTACTGCTCTAAGCCAATCAAATTGCAGAAATTTCTCATGTAACGGTATAACTGGAAAAACGCTTTTCGACAAGTGCTACTCATTGACTTCACCGCTGAGATGAAGTGCTGTGCCTGGTTGCTCAAATCAATAGACAACTCGTCAATTGAACAATCCACAACTCATTTTGAGGAAGCTGAAGGTGAATTACAGGCACCTACAGTATACTACCACTAATCATTCCTTACAATAGGTACAACTGGTATGGCCACATGGCTATGAATAATCGCTATCAATATGGGTGATAAATTTTTGAACACGAAAAAAAAAAAACCGTCAACCACGCTCGTCTTCCTTTCAAAAAGTGAAGACTAAAGCCCCAAAAAGAAAGAAAACTACAGCTATTACAATATATTCTTGGAGATCGTTTTCAAAACTTCCTCTATACCTCTAAAAATACCCACGCGAGCTTGTGATAACTTCATTTTACATTTGCGTGGCATTAATTAAAACTCGACAACCGTTATCTGGTATATTACGTACCAATCACCAATAGACCTATTCGGCTAACTCAATGTTGTACCCAATTCAAACCCTTTGGGAATAAAACATTTTGTTTCAGGAATTTCCATGTCATTTAAATGTGAATGCCACATTATAATGCAAATACAATACACAAAGAATCTTATCCCCGGGAGATTTGAATTGGGTACAACATTGAGTTAGCCGAATAGGTCTATTGGAACTGGTCACGACAATCTCGTTAAGCCCAACGTGACTGTCACGTGGGTTAGTTGAAATATTAGAAGGATTACACTACACTTCACAAGCATAAGTAACCTACGATACGCGTGGCAATTCTTGTGAGTTAAATATCAAGGAACCTTTCGCTAAATTATTTCCAAAGATTTGAAAGGTGCATTGTAAATACGAAATGAAAGCTAACCGCTGTTTATAGCGCTTTTCGCTGTTTTTAGTGAATATTTACATCCACGTTGTGTGTGATACCAACGCATTTTTACAGGTCTATCATAGTGGCATCCTGCAAAGTGAAAACAAAAACCGTTACTATTAATTAAGTAACTGACCACCCACCCCTCCCGTAAGTCACAGTTTTGCCCTAATGTTGAGTTAGAAGAGGAAACCTCAATTGACGCGTAAGTTGTAGTCAGCAGAATACATGGTCGTTTTGTAATTAAAATTACAGTCGAAACAAGGGATCTCGTAAGTGACCTCAGAAATAAAGGGGAAAAAAAGGGGATACCCTTCTCTCACACCCGGAGGTTTACGACAATCCGTAACCTGTCACCCGTTTATCAAAAAGGCTAGTCAGAAAACGTTCGAAATATGACCAGAAATTTTACTCACGTCATCATCCGTGTCGACATCTTTATAGGCCCGCAATCCTCTGGGTCTGGGGTTGTATTTCAAACCATCTGCCCCTTCTGATTCATCTTCATCTTCTTGGGACAAAGTTGAGTAGCGGTAATCAGGTTTCCTGCGACAGAGAAAATATTTATAACAGTTTGAGGACTTGACGATAAAGAATTTTATTTTGGACTGACCACGTTGATCGTGCCCTTCTTCATTGGGGTGACAAATTACACAAAGACGCAACACTTACATCTTGTGCAGTTTCCAGTGCTTTCTTCCAAAGTAAATTGCTGCTATGATAACAATGAACAACATGGGAATAACCACAAACAACACTGTCTTGCTGTGCTTCTCATGCAAATAAATGAGACAAGGAAATGAGAATCAGTATTCATAGTACAAAACGGCCCTTAAGTAAAACTAGAATATCATGCTGTTGGCAGTGCCCAACTCCATTTTCTGTCAATTTGAGCGGGTAGGCATTCTGGGTTATCCGGTGAATGTTCTCCATGTTGTAACCCCAAAAGGCTCAACGCCATAGCGAATACGTGCCCAGTCCTCTAGGGGTTGATCGACGCGGTAAGGCGGGGAACTGGGAAGGACACAATTGTCACCGTCGGTGGCCCAGTCCTCTGGGGGATGAACAACACAGTACTGCGGTAACGTTCTCCCCCTTCCTGCCCTCCCAGACCAAAAAATAAACTAAACCATGGACAGAACTTAAAAATAATCAATCTTACAAACCAAGTCATGACACTGGTATTGTTCCCATCCAGAAAATCTCAAAATATGATTATGCTAGCAGTGCTTCTTTCATAAAAAGTGCAAAAAATTAGGCTTGTTTTCCAAATTATGGGATGACAAGTAAAATATTAAATGGGCTCTAACATTAGACTGGGTAATAATTATTTACTTTATCAATGCATGGAATGTGTTTTCTTTGGTAGCCATTTTGATTTTACCGACGGCTGGAGCGAGGTCTGGAATCAAGAAATCTCCCGAACCGTTCGTCATTACTCGGCAAGCGATCGGATCTTCGATAGTTTTCCGACTGTCCTAGAACCCTAATATCCTCAGTTCCAGGCCTCGCACCAACTGACTGCAAAATTCAAAATGGCCTTCAAAGAAAAACAAATTATAAGTAATCTTTGTTTACATATTATTTCTCCAATCAACGCTTACCTTCCCATTCTTGGCTTCATAGTTATAATCCATTCCATAGTCGTACCAGGAATCATTTTTACAAAGCTGATGAGTGTCTAAATATCGCCTTACATGTTTATCGCCTCCACAGCAGCAATCGCCAGGGATGAGACGGTACCTGAATAATAGTGGTTACAGTAAAATCTCTCGATCTCTCTCTTAACGGACACCTCCGTAAGACGGACACCTAGAGTTGGTCCCTGCCTTTCTTTACTCCTTTTAGTTGACTCTATAAAATGAACATCCCTCTTAAAGAGGACAGTGCCAGTCCAAAAGGTGTCCGTCTTAGAGGAAGGTGACTGTACAGTAAACTCTCTCTTAACGGACCCCTCTTTAAAACGGACACGTAGAGTTGGCCCCTTTCTTTCTTTGCTTTTGTTTGACTCTCTATAAAACGGACTTCTCTCTAAGACAGACACGTAGTGCCAGTCCAAAAGGTGTCCGCCTTAGAGGAAGTTGACTGTACAGTCGACTCTCTCTTAACAGACACCACTATAAAACGGGCACCTAGAGTTGATCCCTACCTTTCTTTACTCCCCTTAGTGGACTCTCAATTAGTAAAACGAACATCTCTCTAAGGGGGAACACAAGGCCGGTCCAAAAGGTGTCCTACTTAGAAGAAGTTGACTATATGATATACGAGAAACAACAAAGGTACGTGGTACATACCCTAAACTGTCCTTGAGGTCGTCCACATCTCCATTCAGGCAGAGCTCCGGTTCGTTTTCGTTTATTTTCTGACATTTCTCAGACCCTTGCAATCGGCGATAACCATAGTCACTTAGAACGACAAAAACCAAAGTGATCATCATCATCATCATCATCATCATAATCATCATCATCAACAACAACAAAAACAACAAAAACACCATCTGCACTAGCCTGAGAAAACAGCCGACATTTGGTGACGCTACCACTGGTTTCCCCGCCAAATGACGTCTACGAAACGAGCGCAGAAATTCCATACTGATGACGCGTCACTACCCAGATCTGAGTAATGCTTCTGACTGGTCGTGCCGCGTGGGAAATTTGATTCAACCAATCAGAGGCACTACCCAGATCTGGGTAGTGACGCGTCATCAGTAAGGAATTTCTGCCCTCGTTTCTCAGACGCCATTTGGCGGGAAAACCAGTGGTAGCGTCGCCAAATGTCGGTTTTTTTCTCAGGCTATATCTGCACAGGGCACAAGCAAGATCCCTGTGTAGCCTTTCTTTCTGTTTCGTGCCACTGAGCATAGGCAGAGTGAAGTTTTCCTTTGCACTTGTCACTCCTCAATTGGGGGGCTTAGAGTCCACGTTTACACAAGAATTCATCTATTTTTTTGACTGTGAGAATCATACTGAATGAGAAAATGGTTTTGTAATTTTAAACCAGGTCCGTTCCCTGAACTCTCACTCTATCCCACTGCCCCCTCGGGTGTGCAGCTGCCTTTGACCCCTTTTGGTCTAACATTGGGTAAAGACTTCAGCCGTTTAGGTCTAAACCATTGTAAGGTTTTGTTCACCACAACTGGCCCATCTGCCTTAAGGTGATGTTACACGAGACGATTCGCAAAGACGATTTTTAGCGCAACACAGCGTTGCAATATTGTTGCGACATTGTTTCGAATAGTGACCACATTGTTCCAACATTGCAACGCTGTGTTGCCGTGAAAATCGTCGTTGCGAATCGTCCCGTGTAACATCACCTTTACGGTCAGCAACAGGGGTAGGAGATACTCCTGTGAAATTTAAGTGGGGTATGTTGAATGGAAACAGAAAATTATTACACAGCTGTTGAAACAAAGTTTTCCTTACCATTCCATATCGTCTTGAGTACATTTGCAACACTCATCTCGCTGGTTTGGTTTGTAATCCACTCCATTAAAACAGCTGTAAGGTGTAAACAAAACAAAACAAAACAGTGAACAATTTACAGCGGTGTTAACAGGGACGGATATGAGTGCAAAAAAGACACAGGGTCCGATGGAACGTTTACAGATGACTCGTGATATGTACATGTAAAGGCTATTTCTCCGCAAAGGGCATCCTCGGAAACCCAAGGATGGTTGATTGGCAAGTGCTATTTAAGAGCAAAATCGTTACATAGTTTGCACGGAGAAAACTGTTAAGCTCCTGGGAGCTCCCCTGACTAAATCAGTCCCTGGACAACAAGAATAAAGTACAATTTGTCGGACTCCTTTCTTGATGTTGTGGATTGTACAGTCATGAAATGAAGAAAAACAAGAGATTGAAAAGAGACAAAACAACACAACAACACAACAGAGAACTAACAGTAGATTCTGCAACACCAAGAAACCCCCGGCTTTCGACCTGCCATTCACCAAGGTTTTTTTGTTTCCTTAACAAAAACGTGTCACAATTAAGTCAGGTCCTTCCCAGAAGCAGATTTAGGGGAGGGGCCCAAAGGGGGGAAGGGGGGAGGGGGCGGGCTCCACCCATATCTTTGGATCAAACTGAGGGCAGCGCAAAGACGTTTTTCGAGAGCACCCCCTTTTCATCGCAAGATCTGGATAAGTCGGCCACCCATCTAAAGTAAAGGATTGGATCCGCCAAAATGGCCAGTCAGGAGGGTATCATGGTACATAACATTACAACACTTATCAGAAACTTTTTTCTCTCTTTTACTCACAGTGATTGCTTCTTGAGTCTCCTGAACGTGACTTTCTTACCCAGGAGGCAGCCGTTATTTTTACCCCCTTCATGGGCCACCCAGTCCTCATAATCGTTGTTCCCACCTAAGAAAAAAAAGCACTATATTTGAGTGTCAATGTATTTAGCACGAAAGTACTAATAGAGGACACTATGTTAACGTCTTCAAAAGGACCGCCATTTTACGTGGTCATCAGAGCCACGCGAGGCTCTAGCTGCTTGCAGTGCAAAGGGAGTATCTTTGTTTCTCAGTTAATTTAAGGCCCTGAGTGTTGGTCCGGCACTGGGAATCGAACCCTTGACCTCCCGCTCTGCAGTCAAGCGCTCACCGACTGAGCTAATCCTGCCACGGTTTCAACATAATGAACGTTTAAAATAACCTCGCCGTCACAAATGACAATGATGGAGATACAGAATGATATATGTTTTTTTCATTAGATTAGACGGGCGACTTCTAACAGCAGTCGAATCTACGACCCTCTAGTTAGTACTCCAGATGCTATATCACTGAGCTACAGGAGACTCGTGGGAGCTGAGGCCACTAAACTAGGTTCATACGACAAACACCCTGCACACTGAATTCACTTTTTAAGCGATGTTTTCGTCTCCGTCGCCCTCGTTCTTGCAAGGATCTCTATAAATCTCCCTGTCACTATTTATCTACACAGCTCTCGACGCAAAAAAACGCTGAAAGTGGTGGCCGTCTCTTCTCATGGTTTGACTAAATTTTACTGTCACAAGATTCGAGTACTAGCCTATTCATCGCAGTCAAAAGCCACCCTTATTCCCCACCCCCCTCCATACTTTTCCCCCACCCCCAAGTCCACGTAGCACCAAAGTCTCTATGGAAACTAATCCCTTCATCTACTTAAACTTTATAACATTGTACAGTTAACGTATAATGTCACACTGACTTACAACTTCTCGTAAGCACTTTTTCAAAGTCCACAGTGATGACTTCCCATTCAGGCGATGGCAAAGTGTAACCCCATATACTGAACCTCATCGTCTTGGCGCCAGGCTCAGTTACCAGCCCTGTGACGTGAAAGTCCTGCTCGGTAAACCTGTACTTGAACCAGCACAGGCCTTCATTCACCGAGTACCTGTAGTGTATTCAATGAATTAAGAAACAATTACGAATGTTTCGACTACACCGAGGGCCAGGAGGGGGAGGGTACTTCCTTATAAGGGGCTAATGGGGATGTGCCGCTGGATGGGGCTGGATTGAGTATAATGGGGTTGCATTTTCAACAGACGTACTACTATGGGGTTGTACATTTTCGGATTTTGGGGGTAAGAAAGTTCTCCATATTTACGGTTAGAAAACGTACCTGGATGTTTGTAATGTAGGTGAAAAGTAAAGTATTTAAAGGATTGATAAGGTAGATAAAATAGAAAGCGACTATAAAGTTGGGATCGATAAAATTACATCTGTTCAAATGGGGTCTATAATTGGCCACAGAATAGACTATAATGGGGTAGGGACTCTGAGAGGCCAGCGGCATAAACCTAGCAAAAATCAACCCAAGTACCCGCCTCCCCTTCCCCTCGCGACCACAACTGGGCCAAGGTCAAAATATGACCATCGGCGCTGTTGGATAAGGACTTGTAATGTATGGCGAAAAAACAATTGTTACAGTAACCTACGAATGTGAAGGATTGAAATAAAAACCTAACTTCACGTGTGATTTTCTTTTTTCCTTTGAGTATTCCTGTTTGATAGCCATTTTATGGGTTTTATTGGAAGCGGTTTGTTATCGATAAAACCCATAAAATGGGCATAAATCGACTTGGAAACCCCACAACTTTAGTAAGGTGAGCCGATTTTTATTTAAATCCTTTCGCATTCGTAGGCTACAAATCCTTTAATTTCGAAATTTACAAAACAGTGCCGATGGTCGTATTTCGAGCTTAGGTAACCTGTGACTTTAAAAAGGTCATTCTTTGCAGCGACGAACGATACGGGCATCAAAATACTCAAAACAACAGTGGAATCACGAGCCACAGAACAGTGTTTTCACTGCAAAGACCGGTATTTAACCAATTCAGCTAACCAGTCTGTGGTCGATAGAACTGAAGGAAAAAAAACATAAGAGCTTTCGGCTAAAACTGCAGCTTTGATAACTACAGTACAGGCCATGGGCATTGCAGCATTACACGCGTGTTTCTTGAGTGTAAATCCGCCATATTGCACACAAATTACACAAGAAATACACGCACGAAACACGCGTGTAAAAAATACACGGAAAGTTTTGGAAACTGACTGTAAAACCTTACACTGCTTGTAATTGTTCGTGTAAAATTTTACACGCGTTTTTTTGCGTGTAAATCCGCCATATTGCACGCAATTTTCACGCGTGTAAATGCTGCGTAGCCTGTTCCGTATGTAGGCACAGTCAGTAGAAATGACGGCTGGGCTGAAAGAATTGAAGGGGCTATATAAGGGGCCGACCATTTAACTCTTGAGGGGGTGGGGTGGGTGATGTTTGGTCATCAAGAATTTTTCTTTCTAGCAATCTGGTGGGCAGGATATTTTTTCCCTTTTTTCCCATAGGCTTTCTATTACATTTGTGCTGCATGCAATTTTTTTCTTCCGACAAGCGCTTGCAGGAAATTTTTTTTCAAAATCACTCACCCCCCTCCTCAAGAGTTAGATGGTCGGCCCCTAACGCTATTTGCCATCGTTTTAAAAGGCTAAAACTTGTCTTCGCATTAATTAGAGTTAAAAAAAATGATCCAGATTTGTTATTTACGACTATATCTAGGCATTGAAACTGTTTCCTGTTGTCGGTTGCAACGGATAGTAAGGATTACCCTGGGTACCAGAGGTTTTTTCTCGCGCGCGACGGGGAGCTTCGTTTCGTCGGCCGCAAGCCGACACGTCTTCGGCCAAAGGCCGAAGACGCGAGCGAAGCGCGGGTCACTTTTTAACACTTGACCGAAACCGGAAACCGCGCATGAAAAGCCTCTGGCACGCAGGGTAGGTAAGGATGGACATGGATTGGAACTTGAAAAAGTTGGGCCAAATTTTTGCAGTTCTAACAATATGACTGCTGAGATCACCGAAATAATTCAGGTTCGGGCTCCCTGGTAAAATTTGTGCGATATTTTCTTCATAAGCATTTGTGTGCATGGGTAAAGGAACGAAGAAAATAACTTGAGCTCGACTCCGCAGTGGGGGAAAAAGCAAAACGCGGGCTGAAACAGCAAAAACCTCGGCGAGTGAATCTTGTTCACCTTTTTCCCCACTACTAGGGAGCCTGGTCCCAGGCTAACTTAAAATAGCAACATCATCGTGCCCCTTTAAGTCTAATGTCTTTCAGACTCACATGAGAAACTTGGTAAAAGTTCCATATGCTGGCACAGCCACGATCAGATTACCATGATCACCGATGGAATAGTGATGAATACCATCGAGAACCTAAACAGTACAAACAACGTTAATGGCTCACTCGCCATTGAAGTTTATTTAACCCTTTAAACCCTGAAATCAAAATTCAAATTCTCATATGTTATCCCTATATGTTCAGAGAAGTAGTGGGGAGAATTTGTTGAAGTAACAATTAGAGTCATCTTGTGTGATGATGTCCTTAATTCTCATGACCACTCTGTTTTATGAAGCAGTGATATTACAAGGAGAAATTTGACGCTGATCACTCTTAGGGCTTAAAGGGTTAAAGAAGTTTAGGAAGGGTTTTCTCTTAAACCTATTGCCAATATCCAAACACGTTTCTTTATACGCGATAACATACAGTGGAACTCTGTTAATACGGTCACCAATGGGCCAAATAAAATTTGCCCTATTAACGGGGTGGCCGTATCAACGAGGGTTTTTTTTTTTTCTTTACAAGAAAATGTATGGCGGTTTTTGACAGGCGGCCAAAAACAAGTGGCCGTAAGGCGGGGTTTCACTGTACTTTAATCAAATCCATAATTCTCCTTTTTCTCCTAGAGCAATTTGTTGAGACATGTAATGTTGTTTTAACTTTCACCATAGCTAATTGAGTGGAATGGTTATGAAACCCGTCAGACTCCTTTGTTATATGTTTTTGTGGACCTGATTGTATTGACCAATAAAAACGTTGCATTAATTTATTCCGTAACAATTTGCCAACAGAAAACAAAGGATTGTGCACATTCACGGTACTTCCAACATAAACTGCAGCACTGTTGTTCTTATAATTGATGTTTGCCGCTTTTCCTAACCAGTCTCCTCTAATAACTATGCTTTCACGTTTTTGGGGTGAAATTCTAGATATCAAAACTGAAATGAAACCTCACAAACAGTACTTTCAAGTCGTACTATTTATTTAGCACATGGTTCTAACTTTTGAGTCTGGGGATAAAATTATATCGTGTGACCATTCAAACTAAACCTCTTCAGCAGCACTTTCACAAGGTAGTACTATTTATTTAGTATGTAGTTCTGACTCGTGAGTCTCTGGATGAAATCCTATGGTGTGACCATTCACATGAAGACTCTTCATCAGTACTTTCACATGCTACTATTCATTTAGTATGTGCTTCTATCTCTTGATTCTGTGGACGAAATCCTACGGTGCGACCAATCACATGAAACCTCTTCAGCAGTACTTTCACATGGTAGTATTCAATAGTATGTAGTTCTAACTTTTGAGTCGGTGGACAAAACTCTATGATGTAACCATTCCAATGAATGTAACACACCTTATACCAGTTGTAGCCACCATCGCGAGTCATCCAAACATCCGCTCTTCTGGTCAAAGCAACACCTGGATTCCCATGAGCAATAATAACACCAACAGCGTTGGGTAAACTAAGCGGTCCCTGAGGGAAATCCACACCTCTGCTGGCGCTAAAACGGTTGTGAATCTGAAGGGAACATCGCTCATTCAGCTGAAAAATAAAGAGTTAATAGTTAAAACTGTTTTGTTTTGTTTTAAAGCTGTTAAGGCTGCTTTTTTACCGGTTACGGAGTCAGATTCGGAGTCGTATTCAGATGCGTGGACCTTAATGATCTAGTGGAAAAGAGGATTCTGATTCCGCTTACGACTATGTCGCTTACGATCTAGTGAAAACTAGGCTGTTGGAGTCATAAGCTGAACCGCAAGAACTAAACCAATCACAAAGCACTTCTGCTTCCGACTCGAATAATCTGGTTTATACTAGATTGTGAACGACAGAGTCGTAAGCGGAGTCGGGAGATAGAAACGTTCTGAAGTCAGGGTGAATGTCAATAGAATGCGAGAAATGTCGTTGAGGAAAAAATGCCCCTGCCAGTTCGCCATTTGTAACTTTAAGTTTGTAACTACTCCGTGTTTCATTTAGACCATCTGTTTCTAAATAGAGACCTTCAGATTCAAGGACGAGAGCGACTAAGAAGACAAGGTTTTTTCGCGTTTTCTCAAAAAATAGACACCCGGAAAGCTTCATTGTAATTTTCACCAGAAAAGTTGGCAATGTTATTATTATTAAAGGGTGTCAATCTCTCTCCCGAAGCTAAGTGATAAATATTCTCACATTTGAAAACTTGCTTCCGCCACTACGACATTCTTACTAATATATAGATTTAGCCAGGGCTAAAAGCGAAGCTCTGGTTACAAAAGTAATAATACGTGTAAACAAAAAAAATAAATCGTGTAATGCTAAACGGGGATGAAAATGGCTTCAAGACTAATAGATCTAATTAGCAAAAAAACAAATTGCACGTGCAGCACACTTTTTCTTCTAATTAGCAAAAAACAAATTTGCACGTGCAGCACGCTTTTTTGTCTTTCCCTTGCCGTTGTTTTGCACGACTACAACGCTGTTTTGTACGACCAAAACGTCAAACTTCCTAGGTACACATTATTTTTATGGAGGAATTGTCGTATGTGCTTACCCAATATTTTGTTTCCTGTGTTCATGTTCGCTTTTATTTTTCACTGCCGCTCATTTTCACCTTGCTGGCCGCTAGCATTTCTCATTTTCTCACCGCCGCTTTGAATTCCCATGTTTTTCTTCCTACGAAATTCGTCTCCTTTGTTTTCAATAACTCGCTCTAGCTCTTTCTCTGTTATCCACGTTAGTGTAAACATAAAAAATAACGCCGAAAAACACACGACTTTGTTGTTGTTTTTTCTTTCTAAAAGTCCGGGCGGCCATGTGATTTCAATCCAAATATTGCATTTGGGTTGCCATACCTCTTGATTGAGTTATTTTACATTGGTATGCCTGTGGTGCGGACGGACGGTCGCTCGCTCGGTGTACGGTCACGTGATTACCAAATTTTCTCGAATGGGTAGATAACCACATTTCCTTAGCTATGGAGCTCCGCTAAAACTCGTAGTAGAGTGGCGACGGCTATCACGTTTTCCAGCCAAAATGACGCTGGTTCACGCGCCCGCACTACTTAGTATTACTTAGAGAAATTTGAGCCACGCATACGACAGTCCACGCATACGGCAAATGGCAAACGTCAGATTCACGTCGAGAATTTCTAAGCTCAAAATTATTCTTATGGATAAGACTGTAGTGTATCTACTGATTTCCGTGTATTTAAAATAAACTGTAAACGACAAGTTAAGGGAAAACTTGGTCAGGTGGTACAAATTCAAGTTTGTCGACTGGTCGTTCGCCGTAAACGTAACTGTAAATTTCTCTACGGAGAAAACCTGGTACTCGCAGTCGTCCTCGTCTTCAAATCTAGAGGTCTGGAATATTTGATTGGAGCGACTGTAAACCAGCAAAGGCAGGTCTGAGAATATCTCCACAATGGATAAGGCATTTAAATATCTACCTTCCGTGAAACTCCCTCGCATTGCTTTTCAGTTAAAGGAATAAGTTTCCATTCTCCTCCACGATCATGGCTTATCAACGAAGTAACAGAGTTATCTGCAAATTGGGGAAAAAATACCACATTAAACACAGCTGTTAACTTCACCACAAAATTAATCGTATTATTTTGACGCCTTTTCACATAATTTAAAACGATGAAATTTGTGTGACAAAACAAGCATGCGGGTAAATCCATGGGAATTTGTACTCGTCTTATTCCCCCTTTTAATGCCAGTTTACACGGCATTGATTTGACTTTTTCTCTCAATTTATGGAGCAATGCTGATTTTCATTCTTTATATTACTATATGAGAAATTTCTGCAATTTGATTGGCTTAGAGCAGTGGTATTTCAGCTTCATTTAAAATACCTCCAAGTGAAAATTACAAATCTTTTGCGGGTAGTAGTATAAACAAATAATAGCATGATTTGTAGGTGATATTTAGCATAAATACCGCTCGTCATATTTCAAAATTGTCTCAAATTTCACTCGCCTTTACGTATACCAATTTCGAAATATCACTCGTGGTATTTATGCCAATTATCACTACAACTCATGCTATTACCTATACTAATCGCACTTCACAACAACTGGGCGAAACGATCAGTACAATATATAATGTCACGCAAATTTCAAACATGTAGCCTTTCAAGGTGGATAGTTTCACTTCTATGCCAAATAGTAGCCGTTAGCCTGTGTCGCAGACATAAACTAACTCCAGTTAGTAACGTCTACGAAGCAGCGCCGATATTCTTGTTCAAGGCCCTCAACGGACTCAACGAATTACCGGAAGTGAGTTTCGAATTTCCTCTCAACCTGATTGGCAAATCAACAATGGCCTTTTTAACAAGCCAATCATAGCGCGTACCCAAATCCTGGTACACAGGTGGGCACCCGGAACAAGGATTTCGGAGCTGTTTCGCAGACGGACTTAGCGGGAAGTTTAGTTTCGTCTGTGGAGCAGGCTAGGTAGCCGCGGGATAAATAAAAAACAGAGTAGCTGAGGAGGAGACAGAAAAGACTGCAATAACGAGGAGACAGCATGAATGGGGTGTTCTTAGCCTCACGTAAGAGATATCTACAAGTAGACTAGGGCACAGGAATGTATGGCATACGTACCGCTATTCATGCGGCTGGTGAGGTAAGTCCCTGTCATTGACTCAACTTTGAAAAAATCATTCACTTCACCATAGTTTGTGTACTGTTTACGGAAACATAATAAAAACAACAACAACATTAACAGCGGCAGCATTTTTATTTGAGATGCACAAGATGACTGCAGTCCCGTGACAGCCCAATGTACAGTGTAACTATTCACTGTAACAATATCCCCATAAAAATATGACATTTCACAAAGTAAAATGTACAAGACAGGACTTCGATAAATCCATTAGCAGAGTTATTAATTACAGTACAGGCTATGGGCATTGCAGCATTTACATGCGTGTAAATTGCGTGCAATATGGTGGATATGCACGCAAAAACACGCGCGTGAAATTTTACACGAACAATTACACGCAATGTAAAATTTTACACTCAGTTTCCAAAATTTTGCGTGTATTTTTTACACGCGTGTAATGCTGCAATACCCGTGGACTGTACTGTAGCTCACTACACCGTATTTTCAATGGTTCACAGAGAGAAATACGTAGCGAATTTGTTGAGAACTAGAACGTAACGAGTTTGACGACTAGCGAAATCGGTTGTTACCTTCAGAATACTACTGTGAGCAGTCCCTTATTTTTCTTCTGAGTCGAAGTAAATTAAGAGCACATGTGAGGGGTGAGGGCATAGTCGTGACGAAAGAGGGCAGAAGCATTTATTTTCATAACTGTACTTTTTCTCATGCAACGTGTTACTCTAAGGAAAAAAGGACAACTGCTTGTGGTCTACCTCCACAAAAAACACATCAAACTCACCACGTGGTCTCTTAGAGATTCACTAAAAACGATCCCGTCAGCATCAGAAGTGTACAACACTCCTTTTCCAGTGTCTGAAATGAGGCAAGAATGATATGGTTAAACCATTTTACACCAGTCACTTCAAAAACTTTAACATCTTGAATATTCAAGATTTTGCTGGCCAGGTACTAAAAAGTCAACTTCTTAAATGCTAGATGCTGAAAATTCAAGATCTTGCTAGTAAATTATTGATTCAGATGGCGAAAAGTATGGTACCTTTTCATTTGAACCCTGCAGTGTATTAACAAACTTAAATCAAAGTGCACAAATTACCTCCTGGGTCATCCACATGAAGAAAGATCATCCCCTCAGACATGTCCAGGATGGAGTAAAACTAGCAAAGAAATACAAAATTCACTACTTTCTCATTCCCATGATACACCTTGTTTACCCCCCCCCCCCCCCCCCCAAAAAAAGGTTTCGCATAAGCATTGTTTCCAATTCTCTTGGGATTTACAATCCTTCCAAGAAAACTTGAAAACAACACTTACCGGTACGCAATTTTTTTTTTTTGAAAGTATTAAATGACTGTATGACAACGTATACTGGGACTGTCTAGTGACTGTATTTCAAAACTAGAGTCTGTATAGAGTGCAAAAATTTATTTCATACAATAGATTCATTCACCAGTACAAGGCTTTGTCTGGATACACTGTTTATTCATAATGTACAATGTAGAAGACTAATCACAATAACCATATTAGTAAATTCTGTTAACTCAACATCTCAGTGTCTTAGGGAGTTATAGATTGTAGGAAGGATGGGTGACTTTGATTAAAAAAAGCACGAGCGGAAAAGTATTTACAAGCACACTTAAAGACCTCAACGCTTATTTAGGAAAGTAAACAAAGAAACTTCAAGCCCCTCCTCTGTCTCCGTATTGTAACTAAGTGTAATTATAATTATGTAAAATATCCAAAAAAATATGGGTTCAGTTTTTATGTCTGAAATCCGAATGTCATTTGGAGAAAAATGGCATGAGTCAGTACCTTGTTAAGTTAAACTCCTACCAGGCATAGAGCTGCATCCAGTCATTGTCTAGTTGGAACTAGGAAGCTAAAGCAACATTGATGGCGACGGCAATGAGAACAGCAAAAAAGCAACAGGTTGAGATTGGTAAAACAACAACTTTGCATATGCATCATGCTTTTTTATACATTATTTTCTTTGCCATCACTGCAGGACTACAAAGTGAAAATTCTTATTTTTTTTCACATTTGACGGAGGACGTAACCACAAGACAATGATTTTCTTTTTCTTTTTGTGAACTCAATTTGATACAGTCCTTTAGAGTTCAACTCCTGAAAAAATCATCAACATTTGACAAATTAAAAGCGTTGGAATTATAAGAGCGATAAAGTTTGAAACAGGGGGAATTCGCTTTTTGGGTGACGTTATCTCTGCCATTGCCATCGTTGCTTAAGCTCCCTACTGAATGATGGTTTGAATTCAAATGGTTGTCAGGTTATCACGCTAACACATGGACAGTTGCTGTAAAACTTACCCTCTCAGGTGTGATGGTCGGCACTTGAACAGGATTCCAAGAATCCCCACCATCTTTAGACACGTGCATTATGCGTGTATTGTTATTCTAACAGAAAAAAACAACATATGTACAGCAGATCCTTAAAATAATTTAGTAATGAGTTTGCAGGTTACGTAAAAATTAGCACAACAGGTGACAAAAGTAACACAAGAGAGACTAGATTGTATAATGTAAGTAAAAACAAAAATGGTGACAATCATCTTAACAATGTAAATGATGATAGTGACGAGATGATAACCAAGATGATGATGACGATGATGATGATGATGACGACGACAACGACGACGATGATGATGATGATGATGACGACGAAGATGATGATGATGATGATGATAGCAATGATAATGACGATGATGATGATGATGATGATGATAGCAATGATAATGACGATGATGATGATGATAATGACAACGACGATGATGATGATGATGACGACGACGAAGATGATGATGATGATGGTAATGATAATGACGATGATGATGATGATGATGACAACGACGATGATGATGATGGTGACGACGACGACGAAGATGATGATGATGATGGTAATGATAATGATGATGATGATGATGATGATGACAACGACGATGATGATGATGGTGACGACGACGAAGATGATGATGATGATGATGGTAATGATAATGACGATGATGATGATGGTGATGACAACGACGATGATGATGATGACGATGATGATGATGACGACGACGACGATGGCAAAGATAATGACAACGATGATGATGATGATGACGATGATGATGGCAATGATAATGATGATGATGATAACGACGACGACGACGATGGCAAAGATAATGACAACGATGATGATGATGATGATGATGACGATGATGATGGCAATGATAATGACGATGATGATGATGATGATGACGACGACGACGATGACGATGACGATGATGACAATGATGACGATGACGACGACGACGACGATGATGATGACGATGATGATGATGGCAATGATGATGACTGCGATGATGATGATGATGATGAAGATGATGATGATGTTAATGACAGCAATGGTGATTACTAGACTGTGATGATGATGGTGTAAGGTCACTCACAATAATAACAGTGAAGGTGATGGTGACCATGATGATGACAACAATGCTGGTGACAGTGAAGATGACTCTGTTTCAACAATAATACATTGATACAGAAAGTGTTATAAAATAATTGAGTCATAAACTAAATTTATTCACCTTGTTATGGTTGATGGATACATATAGGAATGGTCCCTGAAGCCCAAAGCTAAAAACATGCTGAACATGAATAGCTGAAAAAGTGTAAGACCATAATTATTCATCAGTATTCTTCGTAGTGTTATGCAGAATTTGTTTACAAAAATGTAATGTATGTAATTTTATTAAACATTGCCATTTGTGCAATGCTTTGATACAGGATAGGAGTTGTTTGTGTGGCTGATAAATCGAAATTTGACTGACATACATAGAAAAACACACTCTTTTGAGTACACCCAACTTAGTCCCCAGAATGCATGAAATTGTATTTTTCAACATTTTTTGGAGATGCCTGCCCCCAGACCCCTTCTAGATGAAGGCGACTAAAAGCCCCTTGTTGATACAGTTAGTTACTCTATTCAAACCTGCTGGCTACTTCAATTTGTATGGATAACAGCATGTTGTAGTCATATTTGGCATAAATACCACAAGTAATATTTCAAAATTGTTATACCTAATTTCAGAAGCTATTAGGTGAGTGAAATTTGAGACAATTTTGAAATATCACTCGCGGTATTTACATGTACGCCACGTATCACGTACAAATCCTGCTTTTATTTGTTTATACTACTACCCGCAAATGTTTGTAATTTTCACATGTAGATATTTCAAATCAAGCTGAAAAACCACCGCTCTAAGCCAATCAAATAGCAAAAATTTCTCATGTAGTAGTATAAATATTGAAACGTCTCATCAGATGTTGACTTACATTCAAACTTTTCTCCCAGGTCCCTTGATCTCATCAAGTCAGCCTCTCCCATCAAGAAGCCTTGAGGGCCTGTGAAACATTTCAATATTTTAATTTTTATCAACATACAAGTAGTAAAACAATGTGTTCAAAGTGGTTAGACTATGGATAATTACTCCTTCTATCTGCAAGTTATAACTTTTCACCAGTAAAACTGTAGGATATCTAAACTGCATGCATGAAATTCCACATGTCAACTGGTTGTCGAGCACAAGTTCAGTGATTTTGTTACAAATAGTTATGGTGTGTCCTGGGACTCATCCTGTGAGAAATCATGAGTCCCTGTACACAACCAATGATTCCCAGTTGAAAAAAAAGAAAAACAAGGAATCCTAAATTAAACCAGATAGTTAATCTGGAGACAGATGGCCAAAACTCTTTATTACAGTTTACTGAAACTGAAGTATAGTCCTTCTATATATTTAAAGCAAAAAAATTAGTCTAAAATAATTAAAATGCATCTTTAAACAACAGCCACGGAAATCACATGAACAGGTTATTCTACCACAAAATCTTCAAATCGATCGATCAATCATTTTTTGTGCCCTACAGGACATATGCCATAAATTATTGTGCGTCTTTGGAGATTTTTGTACATCAAGGATGCAGAGGAAAAAAAATCACTGCAAGTTACTAAAAATCAGGACAGTGAAAGCAATACAAAATAAAACCAAAGTAATACATAAAAGGTAAAGTCGGGTATAAAATGCTGGGGGTCAAATCTAATTCAGGTTAATATTGTTTTAACCTACAAACCTGGTCAAACCATCATGGGACACTTGAGGAAATTTAGGCCAGAAGACGCACTTTGCTAAATTAATCTGTACATGTACTCTACTTCTTATAAGAGCTTGCAAATGTTGTTTTAAGAGCCTAATATATTTCCGCTGTCCCCGTCTCCCCTAAACAATGTTGATTGTTTTGAAAAAAGACTGGAATACATAATTTAACGTCAACACTACAAAGACAAAAATATCATCATGGCAGTTTAAACTCACTGGCAGCCACTGTCATAAGAATTGTCTTCTCTTCCTTGTCATCCTTTTTGTCTGTTCTGGCACCCCTACAAAGCAAAAAAACAACCCACACATGAAAACAGGAAGGGATGACTTTCAACAGTCCGGTAGACTCACCATTTCACCTTCCATTTTAAATAAATAACTGAATCTAGCCTGCGTGGCAGATGTTTAAAGGCAAAGATGGTGGAATTTGGGTGTGGGAGAGTGCGAGCAGTATGCCTCCTCGTGTCCCTCTCGTACTCTTGTGCTAGAATTCCCTTATCCCCTTTATCTTTTTAAATTCTCCTTTAGTGATTTTCAGAATCAAATTTTCATGAATGGATTGCAGCTTAAACTGAAGTTACATAAATTATGGAGAACTGCACAGGGACAAGATTAGCAATGATTTTCAAACTACACCTTGTTTTTCTAAAGATAATGTGACTGTGATAATGTGGCTAGAACGCGTCGTTACTCCCTTGATAATTACTTTTGAGTTAGCTAATTAAACAGTCTCGCAACCACTGCTTTGATTGACAGATTAGAGACAAGGTCAAGGTCCATCTAGCACGGTAAATCAAGGTGCTCTGTGCCAGAGGTTTTTTCTCGCAGCTTCGCCGTTTGTGTCTTTGGCCTTTGGCCGAACACGTGTCGGCCTGTGGCCGACAAAACAAAGCTCCCCGTTGCACGTGAGAAAAAACCTCTGGTACCCAAGGTACTCAAAAATTTACCACACATTAAAAATATTTGTTCTCATGTCAAATTTTACATCTGAAATTATGTCATTTTCTTACAACATGCACCAGCGCCTACTATAACACAAACATTAATAATAATATTTGCTTTCATCAGAACGCATCCTAATCTTGGTTTTCCAAAGCCACAAATTTTCAAGGTGTAGCGGGCAACTGCCTATTAGCCACCCCTACTGATTTTATCAGGGGCGTCTTGGCCAGGAAACTGGACTCCTCGACTGGATTTCGTTTCCATGAGTGATGAATGCAGATCCTTTAATAATCAATGATTATCTCTAGTATTACAATGTAATACCAACTTTAATATTTATTACACCATAATTAATATTACATTATTTTATTACACTAGTTATAGCTGTTACATGTTCTAATAACATCACTGTCATTTCTCACCATTTAACATCTCTAACATAAGTCTGCAAAAATGTCCACGTTTTTCCAAAGTCTTTTGATAAAAACACCTACAAGGACAAGTATCACCTCATCACCATTGATGCCAGAAATGCAATTCTTATAAATAATAGTTAATTGAAAACAGATTGAGATACCCATTCAAATAAAGCATGTTTCAAGTCCAAGGATTTTAGATGCCATGGAAAACAATTTCCCGGATGCATGCCCACAGATCATAGGAAAATTAACATCTGTTAAAATTTTTTGTTGCGTAAAAAAAAATATGTTATTCATGGAAACCCACCTCTTAAATGGTTTCAATTTTTCCAATTCAGAGTCCTGTATTTTTTTTCTTGGCACTGGAAGCCATAACCCAGTAACAGTAAAATGCAATGCACTGCTCTGCCTCGACTCAACCAACTGGAAAATTTAGTAAAGATCTACAGTACAGGCCATGGGTTTTGCAGCATTTACCGGAGTGCAAATTGCAAGCAATACGGTGGATTTACATGAAAAATACACGCAAAAAACACGTATAAAATTTTACACAAACAAAAATTTTCCACTTCGTTTCCAAAAATTTGCATTTATCTTCTCATGTATTTTTGTCTGTATTTTTTAAATGCGTGTTTCACGCTTGTATAATTTTCTCATGTAATTTGTGTGCAATGTGGTAGATTGACACCCAAGAAACACGTGTTTAATGCTGCAATGCCCATGGCCTGTAGTGTATAACAAACAAAAAACAACACGTACCTTTCCATTGACAACACCTCTACCGAGAATCCAATCTTCTTCTCGAGGATGAAAGAGAAGGGGACCAGTGACTTGAAATGGTAATTGATGATTTGTCCACTTCTCTCCGCCATCAATGGTTCTTACAATCACAGAATTGCGTAAGAAAAGTATACTGCCATGAGATACAAGAATGACCTTTGAAAAGAGGAAAAGAACCAGACAGTGAATGATGCTGCAATTCTCTATTAATCTTCTTACCAATCTAAGGGTTGAACCTCTCTCTGGCGCCCACTCTGCCATAAATGAGCACTTAATGAAGGGGGTTACCTGACAAAAATGTCAGTTCAACTGAGTTTTACTTTTAATATGGCAAATAAGTGCAGAATAAAGACAACTATAATAATAATAATAATAATAATAATATATTATTATTATTATTATTATTACTATTATTATTATTATTACACAAGGTTGAGTTTGATCGTCCTGGTGAACGTAGTCCTGAATAGGACTGTTGTTGTTGACAGTGACTGACGTTTCGACAACCTATGCGGTAGTCATCGTCAGAGTCAAAGTGAGTTGTATCACGTCAGTTGATGGTATTATACTCTGGTTATTAAACTGATTGGTCAATTAGGTCGCGATGTTATTGTTCGTCTGTCAGTCAACAACAACAGTCCTATTCAGGACTACGTTCACCCAGATGATCAAACTCAACCTTTTGAAATGACTCCTGGGTTCAAACCTTTCACAGTTTTATTATTATTATTATTATTATTATTATTATTATTATTATTATGATAAAATAGTACACGAAATTTACCAGTGAAAGTAAACAGGGAAAAATAACCATGAACTTGACCATCCATAAATTCTTGAATATCCTAAATAAGTTGTAGTTCAAAAAGGAGTTCAGTTTAAAACGGTTTCAATCTTGCTTGATTCCCACTTTCATTTGTTCTTTAGGAAACAAAGGACACCACTTTTACCTGAGCTTCGTTTTGAAGAACAATTATACAACAGAATTTCTAGGCCCTCAGCAACAAACCTTTTTGGGATTCACAGGACTTTTCATAATTCCACCAGCTTTTCTGATGTGTGTATTAAATATCTCTGCATTGATAGGGCGGAACTTTTTACCAAAGTCATCACTGTTGACAAAGAAAAAGTTGAGCTTGATTGATATGTTTGTATTCTTGAAAAGCTTAAAATAAGGTCAGCAGAAAGCCTGAAACTTCATAGCCTGCGAATACAGCTGTCTTTCCTGGGACAACTGTGCATCAGTGACAAAAATTCCATACTGATGACATAAAATCTGTCCGGAATCTGGTCGGGGGCACTGATGGGTTGACATATAGAAGTTATCTTGTTTTTGCTAAATTGATTAATTCAATTTATCGGGCAAGTAAAGAAAACAATTCAATAGCCTGATAGCAATATGCTGTGGTAATGTCCACTTATCGGAGCTTCCACTATACTGAACAGTCACTGCATGACTGGTCACAAAGGTATTAAAAGAAGGATCCAATACCAAGTTTCTATCTAGAAATTTTTGTTTGGGGGAGAAGTCTCGAGTGGCTGAAGGCCATGAGTTTCCTGAATGAGTATGCGCTGAGATTCAGTTTGGTGCATTTTGACACAATTTTGAGATATGTTACAGTGTGCACTGACCTCGTCGCATCCGGATGATTTTTCCGATATAATTACTTACTGTAATAATAACAATATTTTTGGGGGGGGAAGCTGGGCATTTTGGGGGAAAGCTTCTATCCCTCAAAAATCTCTAGATGGAACATTGGATAATTAGGGGTATAGAATGGTAAATTTGAGACTTTGCAAGGCTGGTTTCAAAATTCGAGACTGAGACTTCAAAAAATTAATTAGAACCTCTGAGATGCAAAATCACCCGAAAGTGAGAGTTCGAGACCCATGACGAACACTTCCAAGATTTCGAGATGGGGCCAAAATTTTCCAAGATGGATTTGAATTGGCTGATCTGAGGGTTGCATGAAAGTTAAAGATCATTTGCTAACGTGATATTGATGCCATAAACATAAACAGTACAGTACATACGTGTACACAGAGTTATATATACAGTCGGCTCTCTCTTAACGGACACCCCTATAAGATGGACACCTCTGTAAAACGGGCACCTAGAGTTGTTCCCTGCCTTTCTCTACTCCCTTAATTTGACTCTCTATAAGAAGGACACCTCTCTAAGACGGACACTTAGTGCGGGTCCCAAAGGTGTCCGTCTTAGAGAGAGTTGACTGTAATTATGACATGTAAGTATCAAAAATGGTTACAATATACCTTCTATAAAGGACTGATGGTTTGGTGAACAGAAAAGAAAACTCTGTTGTAGCTAAGAGAAGCAGTGACTATTAACAGAAAAAAGAATGCAAATGTTATGATGCAATTTTCTACTTATAACTATTAATGATTATAGAGTACATTCCACCAATCTCAACCCCTGGGTTCCTCTTCTTTCTGACAATGCTATACTGCCCCCAATGTAAAAATATGCAGTGATGTTAATTCTACACCGTACAGTCTTATTTCCAGTCATAACGGAGCTTAAGCCTAGCACAATGACAGACTAAAAAGGTCTTGAGAACAGCAAAAGCTAGAAGTTTAGATTAATACAACAACAATTCTGCATATGCATCACACTTTTTTGTACATTTCTTTGCCTTCCCACACATAGGACACGAAACTTCCTGATTTCACATGGAGGATGTAAATGCAGAACAACAATTTTCTTTCTCTTTTTTTTCTGGAATTAGGTATAGTCCTTTAGAATTTAACTCAAAAAGTTTGAAGTTTGATTATTTTATTAAAAATTTTGGTAAGAGTTCCATGTAACCCCAAACATTAATTTCATCATGCATGCACCAATTTCATACTTTTTCTCACAAATAGTTACATATGAATAGAGTTGAAACATGTATGCAATAAAAATGCATGGGGTTATATGAAAATCTTACCAACATTATTATTCTTAATTCAAATGTTCACTTGAGGAATGATGTGGATGCGGTCCTGGACAATTTTTGGTGCCATTTTGAGGAAACTTTAATTTCAACTTTCAGTATTGTAGTTTCACAAAACCAAGCGGTTTGTGGTCTATTTAAATATTTTTGGCTAATTTCAAGGCAGTTTCAGTTTTCTTATGTTATTCTGTGTGGTGTTTATACGTATATCTGTGCCATTTTGCAGTGTTGCCATCCCCCTTTATGCCCCCTTCAGAGATGATTGACTGCTCACACAATTCCCCTGAATACTTAACATCTTTAACCATACAGTGTAACTATAAAGAATAAATATCATCACCTGAGTAAATAAATACAGTGTACATACATGCAGCTGCTAAGAGACTTCATAATTTTCAGGTTTAAAAAATTTTATAATCATGAATTCAGAGGTATTTTGGGTTCAGGCAATAATAATAGAGTAAAAACTTATTTAAGAAACAAATATGATAATGTTTGAAGGGAGCGTCACGTTCACCTTCACCCATGTCACTATAATATAGGTTACCTCTATAGACAAAGTTAACATTTTATTTACAAAATGTCGGAAACCATGGAAATCGAAGTGCAAATTTCAATAATAAAATCTCACGACGCTCACGGAAGGTGCAAGCCTTAACAATTCAAAAACCCATCAGAAAACTTTTATTTGCTTTTCCCTTAACCCTACTACTATTTTTGAGCAATGTGCAGCTATCCAGCGGCCGTTACAGCCAACGAAAATAACAACTACCGCAGAGAATTTACGTAAAAGCCTATACTTGTTTACATAATCAGTTTCTGGCTACGCTAAACGAATGTTAACTTACTGATGCTTCCCCGGTCTGTCTCTTTCCTATCCATGCCATTGATATGCTAAGTTTTGTCTCGTTTTCAAACTTCCACTGTAAATTGTAAACAAGAAACCAACGCGGAAATTTTAGCACAACCACTGCACAAAATCGTGAATGCACGCGAAGAACAATAGATCACATTTTAAATTACTCAAGGCTTACATCAAAGTTAGTAATTTCTCTGTCTTCAGAAGAAGTAGGATCCACGCATTCTCCTTTATCCATGCCAAAGCTCAATACATCAGGAGGTTCCTTATGGTCTGCATCTCGTCGAAATCGTTTAGCGTTGATCCTCGCTTTGCTGGGCATCGACAACTTCAGCAAATCTCTCGCAGGTTTATTCCTGGTTAACTCCACAGACAGGACGACGGTACAACACGCCAAAATAAGGAAAATAATCCCCGAATTACACAGACGCATTATTGAAAAGAAGCCAATTCAGACGCAAAGTAAACAGGAGAAAATAATAAACTTTAAAAGTTTGAATTGAAAACCCCGAAAGTCATTTTCCGAAGTGTGTTTTTTTAAAGTTTTCTGCAAGATTTAACACGAAAACCTCATGCGCTGAATTGATAAACCGCATAGGAGAAGCATCGAAGGCTCATGTTATGCAGTGTCATCATTGAGGTAATTTCAGGAAATCGGTGGCAAGTACTTTAAAACGATTACTAATATTGGAAAGTGCGTGCAGATCAGATGACTACCTCGTGAAAGTCACTCAGAGTAGTAAAGTTCGGAAAACAACCGAACAGTGGGCATTAAGAAAATATAATTGTAAATCCGAATTTCACTGTTTTCTGTATAAAAATATCTGTTCGGAAAAGCAAACATGGCCTAGAATTTTCTATTGGTTTAGGACGCTAAAAATTTCTATATTTCTATATTCCCGTTCCATTCATGGATAATTCTCTAAGCTTGTCTCATAAATTTTCTACGATTTTCTGAGCTAGTATTTTTTTACATTTCACTCCCCATCATAGTTACAGGCTATTTTTCGCAGAAAAAGGAAACCTAAAATTTTCGGATTCAAAAATTACCTCAAATTTCAAACATTACGTCAATTTTCTTTAGTTTGAAGAGGGGGCTTAAAAATTTCTAGATGGCCATTCCTTTCACTTACAAGTTTCGATCAAAGCTTATCTAATAAATTCCTTACGATTTTCTGAAGTTTAATTGTTCACATTTTACTCCCCAGAAGCTTAAGCTATTTTTCGTAGAAAAAGGAAACCGCTAGAATTTTCGGATTCGAAAATTTGATGGAGAGAAGAATCAGAAAAAGTCTCACTTTCGTAAAACTTTAAAATACATCCTAAATTATCAGGAAAATAATACTGAAGCGCTTGTAATTTCGAAAAGACTCAAGTTGCCCATTGCCCTTGGCAGAGTGACCGAACAGATACAAATTTTATGGGCGTCGCTTAGAATGCATTTCTAGAGATCTAAAAAGTACTCTGGACAGCCTAAAATTAAAAAAACGTTTTCAATGTATTTGGCCGTAGGAAACCGGCGTTGAGTGCCCCTGAAAAACAGAAAAACACGTGACAAGCTAAGCAGGAAGGAGAAATGACCGGCTAAAACATGCTAGGGAGAAGGAAGATCCTTTAACCCTAAGTTAGCCTAAGTGTACGAGTCCGTAGAGCAGCTTGCTTCACGTTTATCAGAGGAGCAAGGCAAGTGAGAAAGCCGCGAAAAAAAAGCCTGTTTTTCAGGCTAGCTAGCACAAGTATGCCAAGAAATAGCCTGCGAAAACAGACGTTTCTCATTATCATTAGCGGAGAGAAGATAGGAGAAACGGCTGTTTTCGCAGGCTAGCCTAGGTATGACTTTCTTTACTGTATGTTATAATAAAGTTCAGGGTCTCAAAGGATATTTTCGGGATTAAGGATTAGACTTAAATTCGCGGGATTCGAGAAAATGCCAAATTTTAGTGAATCCCTTCCTGTCCCATACTGTGACGTCACCGCGACATGTGTTTCCCCGAACACATATCCCTCAGTAAAAAGTGTTTTCCCTGTGTGGGAACACATATCACTAGGGATATGTGTTCGGGGGAACACATATCATGGGGAAACACATATCACTGTGACGTCACAGATTCTTGATAACGGTAGGATCAGCATCTGATCGTTACCACGTCACGCCTTTCTTTTGACGGCCAGAAAACTTTGTTGAAGGTTTTTTTTTTTGCTTTCACTTGCATTGCAGCGACGAACGCATTTCAGAGAGTCAAATAGCCGGTCTTATACGCATTCGTGCGAACGAAAGAATTTTCACAATTGATTTGAGACCAAACACGGCCAGTTACTCTAGTGGTATTATGAAATGCTTCAAAACAATTTTTATGAACAGATTTTATTTCATTGCATGTTTATGCCTATACATTTAGGAATATGTATTAACACTGCAAGAAGTCAACACCCTGGTCAATGCGTATGGAGTCTCAGTGTGGATACGGATGAGCGCAATATCTTTCTTTGTTGCAACACTGCCCTGCTTTATTAGTCATTTCCACCAGCAAAAAGGCAACTGGCAAACTCTACTTGTCTTTATGTTTCCACGGGAGTTTGTTTTCCCCATTCTCCGGACGGCTTCGCAGTTCCTCTGCCAAAACTTTGCTCGCCGCGCTAAATAGCAATCCCGTTGGCTACGCAGACTAACCGAAAAGAGCACACGGATAGCCTTTTTTTTTAGTGGTGCTCTTTTCAATAAACAAAAAAATAGTTTGAATCAGTGTTTTGATTCTTCAGGTCCTCTAAGTTTGCCCTTTGTTCATTTTCTTTTTTTAAATTCTATCATTACAAACACTACATACGTTTCAATTAGAAAGATAAGCAATTTTCAGCGTCCTTCGTTAATCAGTCCTTTCTTGGTTCCTGCTCTCATAAAAATTGTTTGACAACTTTATTTTAGTGAAGAGAATTGTCAATAGACATCAGACGGCAATGTTTTCCATCGTTGAAACAAGATCCTAGTTTGCCCGTTTTCTCCACCAACAAAAAGGCGGCAGGCAACATCGGTTTTCCTTGAGGTGTCCATAGGAGTGAATCTGACAAGAAAAAAAATAAGGAAATATGTTTCATTCATCCAGTTTAAGATGTTTGAAAAAAACGACGAAAGGTGGACTTTAAAAGAATTTGAGCTACCTGAGTTTTGCTCAGTTAGCTTTGATACATTACCTTGGTGATTCATTTTCTTGTTATTGCTCGCTGGAGTCTCGTCAGGTAATGTGTTGTTCAACCGAAACACAATCTAATTTAAAAAGGGGAAAAAGAGCTAAATATGCTTTTTGTTTTTTTCCACTACTTATGGACTAATAACAGAGTTAGGGTAGACTACGAGTAGTGTCATTTTCCCTCTGGGATAGAAGAGCGAGCGAAACGGGAGCGCGCGTGAAATCATCTCACGCGAGAAAGGTGAGACGTGGTGGTCTCGCCTTCTCCCCCAATCCCCGTCCCTTTTTCCCTTCCTCCCTATCCCCTACCCCTTTCGACGCCTGCTATGCAGGCTACCGCTAATGCTCTGCATTCTTCAGGTATGAGAGTGTTGATAGGCTCCTGTCCTGGTGCATTAAGACAATAACTAGCCTGTGTACAGACCCCACTGTACAGGCTAGACAAGAACGTATGAGCATTTCGCAACTCTTTATGAAACAAAAGGAGAAAAGTTTCCGGTGATTTTGGATCCTAAGGAGCAGTTACGTTACTCCCTATAACTGCCTTTTTGGGGAGGCTCCACGAGAAAGGGGAAGCAACTCCTCTAAACCAGGTATGTGAAGGGGTACCCACAATTTGTCAATAGAGGGTATACGAAAGGGGTACCTTGCCTAACAAAGATGTGTTTGGACCTTGGGGCGGAGCCTCCCCGTGAAAACTTTGTTGAGTACCCCCAGTTTTTGATCATCTTTTCCGGATTGCCTTTAAATACACAAAATGAGCTTTGAAGCTTGGTTTCAAATCTGTACATTTCCTGCGCCAAGTATTCCCAAAGAAACAAAATCTGACAGACATAAGCTCGCGCATCAGGGCCCGCTCGTCGTCACGGATTTCTATTTAAGACCCAAATATTTTACTCTGAGAAACGAATTTTTTCCCATCTGTTTCAGCAGTTGCCTTATACTAGGACCGGGTTATTAAACTGATGAACTGCGAAGTAGCTGCAGTGAAACCTCGATATAACGAACGTCTATATGACGAAGACCTCGGTATAACGAACGATTCTCTTCAACCCCAGTCATAGTAAGACGTATGCTGACAAATGAAAAAGAACCTCGATAGTAAAGAAACCTCGATATAGGCGGTATAGAGAACACATTTTACCTGCCCCTTGGCCCCAGTTCTTTAAATAACATTATCGATCGAGGTTCCACTGTATTAATTTTACGATAGACGGGACGAATTATATTTTATGGATTATACTAACTAACGTGACAATTTACTGTCATTTCAGAATAGTGTTACTTAAAAATTTGTCATAATACCTTTTTTTTCCTTTTTTCCTACAAAAACCTTTGGCAACACTGTAAGTAAGTGTGAACCTTAACTAAACTCCCTGGTGAAAAACAAGTAAACGACATACCTCTCCTGTTGCGGCCATTCTTTATGTTTGAATGTGGTAAAGCTTTGGAGTGTTGTAAAAGTGCGTCCTTCACGAGGTGGTTGTTTGCACCTTTTGATCAATAACAAAGTTGTGTCGTCAGTCTTTAGATTGACTTTTTAGTGCGAAACCAGCCTCTTGTGATTAGCTTTTGCAGAGACAGAGGCATTTGGTTAGCTCGAAATCTCGTGCTATTCTTTCTATCCAATAAGAGCAAAGAAAGGATTATCCTGTGCTTCTTTTAAAAGGCTAAAATAAATTGTGACTTAGCTTGCTCGTCTCTTTCAGGTGACTTTAGATCAGGCTCTGGTTTCGTTTCGCTTGCATGGAAACGATCACGTAAAGAGCGAGCACTGGTAACTGAATTACGTCTGATCTCAGGTCATGGGTAATGTCCATGTGAATTTATTTTCTGGGTGTATTTGAAATTTTCCAGTTTCTACAAAGGTGGACTTTGTTTATGACTGAGCACTTTATTATTCGAATGTTAGGTCCTACAGTGAATCTTAAATTAAAATGGCGTGATCGGCAACCTAACTTGCAGTCGCATCTCGTTTGGTGATTGAATGCGATGATTATGAGAACCTAACTTGATGTTTTTGTTTACCCATTCAGCCCATTCCATCCTGAATCCATGCATTATGACACGTAAAACTCGTGGTGCTGTTCAGAGTCTTTCTTAAGACTTAACTTCTGTATCATCTGATTTAAGCACATGATCATCATGAACAAGTAAAGAACTTAGGTTAGCCCGCGTTGCAGGAGCAAAAAAAGGGAGAGGACAAAAGCTTTCGACGCTTGCCACGCAGGCTTACTTAAGTATGACTAGGGAGAATGATTTACGATACAATGTTCAACGGGACACACCTGTATACTCCGCTAGGGCAACACCAACTTTATCCCTCTTTCAAAAGTGAAGTAATATATCAAACATGAGATGCAGTGTTTCATCACCAGATGAAACACCGAGAAGAGAGTTGAAAATACGACGCGCAGCGGAGTATTTTTGACGAACTTCGAGGTGTTTCATCTGGTGATGAAACACTGTGTCGAATGTTTGATATTTCTTCTCAAACAAAATCATTTTTGAAGGAGAAATTAAGGATGCAAATACTAAGCAGTGTTTCATCCGATTTCCAAAGACGCATTAAACATTAATTTCCTTTGTATTTTCTTAATGAATTATTAATGAGTTTGAGAAGCGTTTGTCAGACATTGGCGAGTTATACATGTACATGCTTTAGCTGTTCAGCGAAGCGATTATTCTCAAACGCCATCTTTTCGAATAAATACGGAACCACTCGATCGCGCGCGAACTAAGTACGCAAATTTATAACAAAGGTTCTTTATTATAAATTTCTTTACAATCTAACTTGGAACAGTACAGTGGATCAACTCTTCTCAACAATTTATTATCAACGAAAGGAGAAATAAGTTTGTGTTACAGAATATTGTCTGATAATTGTCAGGTAATAATCAAGTAATATAAAAAAGTTAAATCCTGTCTAACAGAAATCTGAATAATCTTAGGCCAGGAGCAATTGCGAGAACGATTGTCATCAAGTCACCAGTTTACTTGTTATGGATACTACAGCACTCTCACATGTCTTTTAAACAGTAAAAGAACAAAAGTTGCTTTAAGGGGTTTGGAATTGTGACTGATTATTCTTAAGGCTCATCCTTTACATAACACCCTCTGTATATTCCTCATAGCGTTATCAGCAAACAAGGTTCGCCCGGCTCTGCAGAGGCTCAAACATACTCTGAAAACCCACATAGCAATGGTTTGTGCCCGCACTCACATAGCTCAGTGGTAATCTCTAAGAGAGTGAAGACACTTCATGAAAGTTATGCAAACATGTGCAAAATGATCAATACCCCCCGATCCTACTTTGTATCGAAACGACCGGTTTCCTTATACCCGTATCGTTCATAGAAATCTGCTTTCACTTAACCCTTCCACTCGCTGAGAGAGTAATGAAATCCTATGCTGTAACCATTCTAATGAAACGTCTTCAGCAGTACTTTCAAATGGTTAATACTATGAATATTGCTTGTGATTCTAACTTTCGAGTCTATGGATGAAATCCTATGGTGTTACTATTCGAATGAAACCTCTTCAGCAGTAATTTCACATGGTACTAATTATTTAGTATGTAGTTCTAACTTTCGAGTCTGTGGATGAAATCCTATGGTGTAACCATTCAAATGAAACCTCCTTAACAGTATTTTCAAATGGTACTATTTATTCAGTATGAAGCTCTAACTTTCGAGTCTCGTGGATTGAATCCTATGGTGGTACCATTCGAATGAAATCTCTTTTGCAGTGCTTTCAAATCCTACTTTACGTCTTCAGTACAGTATTTTGGAATCTTTGTTAAAATTCGACTTTGACTCTTTCTGAGAATGAGAGGGTTTAACTCCATGATAATAATAATTACGAGCCATAACTTCCAACGAGTTTGGCATATATTCATATATTTATATTCTCTATACAAATCACTACATAACTGTATCATTTTAATAGCTACGCAAAAAAACGGCCAATGTGTAAATTGTTGACATCACTAATTGACACACACACAAAAAAATAAAAAATATAACTAAAATAAATATAAATAATGATGACTCACTGCAATTCTTTATGTGTTTTGCCTGCAGGATATCTTTTTGAAGGCACAGCAATAAGAAAGTTTCATTATTGCCTAGCTTTCGACTTTTTGAGACATAATTAAAAGATTCAACCTCAAGAATCTCATCTATAACATCATCATAACATCAAAGAAAAACTCTGTTTTTAATTCGATTGATCGGATAAAAGGTCCACATGGATCGGCTTCTTTTGAGTTTTCAAAAGACTGTTTTAAGACAAGGCTAAGTGCAAAGTTTTTCGCACCAAATAACAAAATTCATTTTCACAAGAAAAAAAGTGTTCTGAACTTGGCCACATTTTAAAAGGAAAAAAAAACATCTGAAATGGCCCATTGGCAAAGAGATGGAAGTTAAAATAATATTAATATAAACAAGAGAATAAATGCCAATCATTGCAACTCATTAGAGCTGAAAATAATTATGAGAAGACAGCATCATTTCACTATTCAAGTTTTGAGACTGTTAAGGTTGGCATGACTAGGAAAACAGAGGAACTCCCACCCCTGAAAAAATTGTTTTCCTTTTTCGTTTTTTCTACTCTTCTCCCTTTAAACTTCAATATCTACATACAAATTCTCCAGACTCATCTGCAAACATTTCTTGAGAGAATTAGTGAGGAGAAATGGCAAAAAGATCAAAGATCATTCTCTTTGCTGATCATTTTGCTAATTCTCACGAACTTTTCCCTTGATAATAATTATATCTATTTTGTTGAGCATGAAAATTGATGTTGGTCATTCTTTAGGTAGACCCCGAGCAGTTGTCCTTCTTTCCTCATTGCCACGTGGCAAGCGAAAAAGTGAAACTATGCAAATTAATGGTAAAAAGGAGTGATTAGGGTGGCTTTGCCGCTCGCCCCTCACACATGCTCTTGATCTCTGTGACTCAATAGAAAAATAATACACTGCTCGCAGTCTACTCTTCAGGCTCATAAGGTTAAGTACTCCCCTCCTCCAATTGGATAGAGAATGGAGTCTTGATGCCAAGCCCAGACAGAAATATTAATCTGGCATAAGCCCAGTGGCACCCTGTCATTAAAAAATGTATGGAGTATTTTGTACAGGCATACACAGCTGCAAAATTAATACTACTGGTAATAATATTTTCTTCATGTGTCAGAACTAATTCACCATTTTGGTACGATAAACAGAAACATGTTCGGACTCAGTCAATCAAGAACACAACGCTTCTTCAACAAGAATTTCCACAATACATGTGGGATTAGTTGCTATCTCGAATACTTCCACATATTCTCCAAAAGATCATTTCCTTAGCCTGTGAACAGGCTGTCTGTTTGGGGAAAGGGTGAAAAAATCCCAAGGAGAGGGAAGGGAAAGGGTGTTTTTTCCCCTCTCCTTGTGATTTTTTCTCCCTTTCCCCAAACAGACAGTCTGTTTCTCTTCCCTCTCCTTGAAATGTTTTCACCCTTTCCCCAAACAGACAGCCTGTTCACAGGCTATCATTTCCTCAATAAGACAATAGACATGTGCTTAAGGGAGATCATATTCACCTTAAAATTGATAGTCTGTCCGGAACTGTTATTTGCAGATCACACCCCAGTTGTTCAAAAGGTAAATAACACTATTCACTGGATAATTATTATCCAGTAGATAAGATAATCAGTTTCCCTAATACAAGTATTTATCCACTGGTTAGCAATTTATCCAGCGGATAACTCTATCCAACATTTGAACAACCAGGGCCTGGTGTATATCACCACATGCAGTGACTGATTATCCACTCCTTACTCAGAAGAACAAAAGAGAAGATCAGCTAGGCTTCCAAGTGTCTTGCCTGATATTATCTTCTTACTGTATCTCTGAGATAAACATTGTCCTCTGGAACTGTGATAGCTTCTCCCTCAGCTAAGTTTTCTAAAAGCACCTCTTCTTCATCTGAACCATTCATTACCGTTCGCCTTTCATATTTCACTTTGTTTCCTCTGTTTCTTGCGGTGTCTTTCTGAAAAAACTTTTTCTTCTTCTGCATGAGGAAGTTGTCCACAACCCAAAACATAATGGCCTGCAAGGAAGAGTAAAACAACAGTGGTAATTTCAAAGCAATAAGAAGTTTATTGAAAGTTGTCTTCCCAAGTTTTGACCTATTGAACAGCTTGTGATATAGAAACCATTATTGTACACCATGCCAAAAATCACCAAGTTCTGCAGGAATATTTGTATTCACTGAAGATAAATTAATAAAGCAGACTTCTCCAATTTTTTTACAAAATATGTATTCTATTATTCGAGTATCATGAAAAAAATTTGGGTAAAGCTTTGTAATATCCACAATCCAGACAATTACAATAAAATAATACAATATTCTATTATTCTATCACGCTGAAAACAGCGAAACATGGGAACATTAAACATCTTCCAGTTTTACATAATATTTTCAGGGTGCAAAGAAAATCATTTTTACAGCTTGCTATTCGGGCAAGCTGAAGCTAGTATCTACTAGCCCAGACGTCATTTCAACTAGCCCCAGACGCTTTTTGACGAGTAGAATTGATTTCGTAGTTCTTCTGTTATTCAAACTGCTCAAAAAACCTCACTTGCCCGTCGGGCAAGTTAACAACAGAATTCACTAGCCCGATAGCAAAATCCACTAGCCCTGGGTTATCAGACACTACTTTCTTTGCACGCTGATTTTCTTAAAGATGATGTCAGTGATTTAAGCAACGCGATTTTTAAATAAAAACAGCCCTCAAAATTAATAATCACATCAGGAATGCTAAAAAAATTAGTTAACGCTGAGGCGTTTAATCAACTAGTTAAATACAGTATGTATGCTAATTGTTTACGGATTGTAGGGTACTTCATCGCTACAAAGTGTATGTGACAGTATGCAATAATTTTCTTGAAGACTCCACTTACATTAAATACAAAAGGTATTATCAGCATGACAATGGCTAACTCAATTTTGGGATGGTTCTTGACAGGTAGAAGGATAAACTTGCGAACCTCCTCCCAAAAGTCAAGCTGTACTACTAATGTGATGGTTGCTTTCTCAACAATGACAGCACAAAGGTATAAGATGCACTGGCCCATCCACGCCCTGCACTGCGGAGGGTTCCCTGGCAAAGAAACACAGCAATAGCTTTAAGCCTTTTGACCTTCAGTTTCAAACATCATGCTACATTGTCCGGACCCAGTATCTCTGTAGTGTAAGCATGCCTTGAATTACATTGGACATATAAGTGTTGCAGTGTTTTGTATCAGGCGGTACTCAAGAAAAATAAATGCAGATCTTCCTTCTCAATAGGGGTGTACAGTTCTAGCTTACCATACTCTCCAAATCTTAGTGAGTCCCAGTCATACATTCTGACAACCACTTGCATGAACTGAAGGCAAAGGTATATGACAACCAAACCAAGAGTGGAATCCAAAAGAAAATTTATCAAGTACCTACAAAATAAAGATAATTATTATAATATCATAGGTGACGAATTACTCCTTAATTTTGGCACGAAATTTCAGCGATAATTTGCCTTCGCCTGAAGGCTCGGGAAATTATTAGGATTTGGACAAAATGCACATGAAATTATTCCCTAATTTCACTCGTCACCATTTGATTATGCATACTTAAAATCACATAAACAACAACAGGGTAGTAAAGTGGGAAATTTACAGCAATTTTCACGAAGTACACATGCATCTTCAGAAATTATGAACAGGGTGGAGTGAGAAATTATTATAAATTTTCACTATGTTCACATGTAAATGTGATCTTCATCGATAAATAATGAACACAAAAAGAAAAATCAACTTACCAAGTACATGGATCACCTTTAAAAAGACCAGCCAAAAAGATGTTTGCAAAATGAACTAACATTGCACCAACTGCCTGTTTTGACGTGTCAAAAAACCTGCAAAAACAAGTTTACAGATATGACAAGCCATTCTTAAAGTGCTGAAAATGTACACAGACAGCATACAGTGTACCTCTAAGTTGACTTCAGACTGAACAAAAAACTAATACACTGTCCTGGCTGTCACCGAGATTTTAAGAGTTTTAGTAAATGTAATGTTCGAAGGAGGGGAATTGAACAGTTGGGAAGTTCTTTTGCTTCTGTTTTCCCTCTGTTTATAATAGCCGGGGTAGCCTGCATAGCAGTCGTTTCTGTTTCCTTTATATTGAGTTCAGCAAGAGAAACAAGACGCGTGAGGAAGGAGTAAAAAATTAAAGGAAATACCCCTGGCTCCTAGCTCTTAGTGACAGTCCTGTACTCTATAAGAATTAGTGTGTCATCCTTGGTTTAATTTCAGTTCAAATCTATTATTATACATGACCAAACTAAAAATCAAAGAAAACTAAAGTTTGAACCAAAAATAACATTGAACCCCAAAATATATACAAGAATGATGACACAGGTTTATGATTGTGAATTACAAATCAATATAATTTTATTCTGTTTAAACAGCTTGTATCTGAAAATTACTGTGAACAACTTACCAAATAAGGACAGGCCTTCTGTCTGAATCAGGTTCTCTCAGTCGTTTTACTGCAAATTTTACATAGAAAGAAAATGCAGAAATAAGTAAGCAAACACCCGGTCTGCTTTTAGAGTGGACATAAGCATCAGCAAATCTCACTCCTAACAGTTGCAAAAAAAAAAAAAAATTACCAAAAAAATTGACATTTTTTTGTCAAATACTTAGAAATAAATTGTACAGTGCAAAAATTCAGCCAGGGAGGTTCCATCTGAATGGTAAAATCACTGGATTTTGACCACAGGAAGAAAAGTTAGCAAGCCAAGAAATCTTGCCACAACTTGGCCTGCATTACAGACTCAATCTAACCTCAGCAATTTCTGTAAAGCAGCAATGATATCAATCCTTCAACCTGATTGGCAAATTGACAGGCCAATCATGGCAAGTACTCAAATCCTGGTACACAGGTGGGGACCCAGAACAAGAATTTCAGCATTATTTTGCAGATAAACCAGAACTTTAGGTCCATTTGTGGCGCAGGCTAGCCACACCTTGGACCAGGAAAAAAGGGGTTAAACAGAAACTCTAGTTTAGCATATCCTTGAGAAGGTGGATCAGTGCAACATTCTTGGAAACTCCACACCTACCCCTCCCCTAACCCAATGTCAACACTGACTTCTCACTATCCAGTCTTGTTGGGTTAGGGGAGGGGTGGGGTGGGTGGATGTTGTACTAATCCAAATCCATGGGCTTACTAGCTGTCTACTTTATACAGGTTAGGTTAGGGGTAGAATAAAGAAGAAAAATTGAGACAGAAGTTGTGCAAAATGCAGGTGCCAATAGCGAAACTATTGGGCTTTGATAACCAACTCCTTAAAATGAGTTGCCAAACTGGCAACTATAATTTTTCCTCATATGGTACTTGGAGACCTTCTGGATTTAGAACTGAAGCAAAAATGGGCACCCAAACATTCTCTATTGCGTCAGAAAACAGGAAAAAAAATTCCAAACGGCAAACCTGGCCTAAAAGACAGCACCTTCTACGGTATATTTTGCAGACAGAGCATAAGTTTTAAATACAGATTTTGTATGAGACATATGACTATCTACACTTTTCATTCTGAATCTACCGCACATAATTTCATTTTTTTTTTTCTCAAGGTTTTAGAGAATTTGGCTTTTTGACAGTTTAAGACAAACTGAATACTGCCAAACAAAAATTATCAGAAAGTTTACAGATGTGCAGATAAAAGTAGTAAATCACATACATATCAATCTAGCTAAAGAGCAAAATTTACTAATACGAAAGCCATTTGCGTGCAAGCATCCTGACCAAAAAAGCAAATTTTGGTTCTAATCACAGTGCCATTTGCGAAATACTTTCTTCTGTAAACATCAACTAATACGATTATTGTTGGGTAAGAGACAGGTGTTCACGTACGGAGCAGTAAACATTCTAATGTGAAATTCTACATACGAAGTTACATTTGAGCTGAAATAATATTATGTAAGAAAGAAATTTAATTACGCGCAAATCTTGGGCCCACCAGTGACAACCAAACCTAATCAAATAGGGAATAAAATAAATTGCTACTTAAAAATAGTGAGAGGACAGTGAGAGGGCTTTAAACGGGACAAACGCAAAATATTCAGCTTTCCTGTCAGATCAAATCACTGATCAAATGATGGTTGTGATTCTCGGAAAAAACAGTTTACGTCAGCGAATGATGAATATGGAGCAAAAATCGAATATTATCTAAATTATTAAAATCTTACTCACAAATAAGGGTACTGAAAGCCACAGCAGCTAAAATCCCCTGAACTATAAGCCCGAAATTGTCATTAAGTCGACAATTCCGGTCGGTGGAGGCCATGCCTGTTATAGGAGACGAAGGCCCGTCGTCTCTTGAATTTGACAATGAAATGGGTGAAGAGGAGGAAGAAGACTGATTCATTGGAAAAGTCTTATCCTCCTTTTTAAAACACAAAGGTAGCTGAAGGCAGTTCCGGGCAAATTTGTCAAGAATCGGCCACAAAATAATAAAACCACTCAACGATTCTTCGACCTTTCGATGTTGAAATTGAAATCAGCTAGGCTATGTAGCCTCGCCCATGCGATATTTCCCGGGAGGCATTGAGAAGCGCGGGATGAGAATCACGGGAGTCGAGTTACGTTTTTCTGATCTTTTCTTCTAAAAGAAATCAAAGGTCTCAAAGAACAGTTTCTAGCGTTTTTGAAAGACCATTCTAAGTTCTTTTTTGTGTTGTATCTTACAGTGGTAGTTTTTTATAGCTACTGCTTGGTTGTCACGAAAGGGTAAGCTTCCAAACGAGAGCAAGGGCTTCTTTTCCGGTCTGGGAGTACTTGCGCTCACACTCTGCGATACGCTCCATTCTGGTTCCTGTACTATTACATTGAAGTAAATGAAATGAGTACTAAAGAAGCAAGTCCTTAAAGGTCTCGACGAAGTATTAATCTTCGATTCAAGCCACGTGATTACGTTTCCCGTGTTTGCATAGCCTGATATAAACGGATATAAACACGAGAAGGGTTGGGAGAATTCGCGTCAGATGCAAACCCGAGACGAAGTCGAGGGTTTTTTTCAGTTGAAAACTCGACAAGTTTACTTTATTTACCCATTCCCTCGACAGTTATGCAAACCCTCGACTTCGTCTCGGGTTTGCATAACTGTCGAGGGAATGGGTAAATAAAGTAAACTTGTCGAGTTTTCAACTCAAATCAAATTTGTACTCGCGTGATTAGCGCGCGAAAAGCAAAACATCTTGACGTCACAACCATGTTTACATGCTCTAATGCAAACACGCATCTCGGCCAATCAGAGCTGCGTACTATCTTAGTTATTTTATAAACAAATAGACCAGACCACTGCAAAAAATACCACAATATTCTTTTAACTGCCGTTTTGAGGAGTGCTTCACGTAAGCCTGACTGCTGCAATGTCTTCTTCTGAAATGAAAGTAAAAGTGCTCTGCGCCAGCTTCTCGGTAAATAGCAAAGTGATACTTAGCAAATTTGAGCCTGTCTCAACTAGCTCTTCAGTTAATTTACGGTCTTTATTAAAAGCACTGTCCTTTTTTATATAACTGGACGGGAAGATTAGAATAAAGTTGTTGTTGTTGTACTGAGCAACATCTACAGGATCACCGTGGCAGGATTAGCTCAGTCGTTAGAGCGTTTGACTGCAGAGCGGGAGGTCGCAGGTTCGATTCCCGGGGCCGGACCATTACTCAGAAATGAAGGTATTTCCTTTGCACTGCAGGCGGTGAGACCTTCGCGTGGCTCGGATGACAACGCAGACCACGGAAAATGGCGGTCCAGTCTCCATTAGGAGACGTAAAAATAGTGTCCCCAATTAGCACTTTCGTGATAAATACATTGACACTCAAATAAAAAGTGCATTTTTTTTTACAATCATGGACACAAGTCTTGGAACAGTTATACAGTTAGAACACTTTGTAACACACGCGAAACTGTATCCGCGCGTTACTAACATTGTACGTCCCTACCCTCTCCCCTTACCCCACAGACAGTGTTGAAACCGTCAAGGCACCAGCGAAAATGGTGTACTCTTAATTGGTATTCTGTAAGTTACAAGTAACATAACGGTGCCGAAATGTATCCAATTTCTATTTTTTTACATGGTAGAATACAATAACAGAATAGAATATAGCCCTGTATTTAAAAACGTTAAAATTTATTAGGAGTATAGATATTATAAATAACCTAACTAACTGAACAAAATGCAAAAGTAGCTACAACTAATCTAGCTAAAACCTCTATTTCATGAATGCCCTGAACAATTAATATTAATTAAAAATTAAGACTAATGAATCTTTTAACTAGACTAAGAGACCAAGAGTGTCTTTCATTATACAGGGCAAGCTGTTCCTTGCAACAGCTCTTCTATAACTGAAGCTATTTTACATGAAGTTAGCCCGCGGAGGAACTGGACAACTAATTTGTTATCATACAGACTATACATCATGGAGTAGTGCGTTTCATTTCGTTTAATTAAAAAATTTTGAGGATAGAGATAACTGAGTCACTGACCAAAAGGTATAATTAAGTATTATTAAAAAAATAATTTAAGCACTATTTGTAATTTATTAGCAACTCTTGATCATATAGTACTATAGGACATTCTTCAAGCATTATAAACTCTTTTAAACTAACTATATATTAAAGAAGACTTTGTAATTTTACCTCTGGCATATATGTAATTTGCTTTTACATGAGTGGCTAGTGTTTAGTTTGCAATTCCATCACATGGGTAAAGGCAACTAATCTAGTGCCAGATCCGAAAGCCAACTGTGTAGTCTTTGCCTTTAGAATTGAACGATCGAATTTTGTTGAACCCTGAGAAAAGGTCGTTGCTGACAGTTGATGAGCATCTAGAGCCTTCACTTAGAAGTTGATATGTCGAGGGGAGTCTAGCGTAGAATGATGGTGGACTGAACTTATCAGTTTGCGTAGAACAAAGCAATACTGGGCGCTACCCCCAAGGAAATTTCAAGGGCCTGGCACAAGAGGTCAACTAGAGAAGTCAACCACCCCAGCAAACAGGGAGAGCCCAGTCACTCCTGGCATTGTATATCCTGGATGATGAACCTAAACTAAGTGTTCGTATTATAAAATGTTATGAAAGAGTATGAATGAAACCTACTACAGATAAAACTAGGACAAAACGATAGCTTGCGAGGCTAGTTGACTGACCCCCTCCCCGAGATTTCACTTCACCGCTTCCTTTTACACTTCGAGTGGGTGTAATCGCGGGGAGCTGGGGATCTGACTCGCGTGAGACGCGAGGCAAAGGCACCAGCGACCGTTTAACCATCGGTGGGTCTGATAGGTTGAAACAAAATGGGTTAAACGTGTCGCAATAAAAGTTTACAACTTCCACTTGTTCTTTTTTCATGTTGCACAGGGTAAGTGTGGCATTCTTGACACAGGCCTTTGCTTCTGCGTACTTCCTGAAAAAAAATGGAGAAAGAAAGAGAGAGAATAAATACTAAGTCTTTGCAAGCCATGGAATGGCCACTAAACTTCTGATTTAGTCCGTCTGCGAAACAGCGCCGAAATTGTGGGCCCCCGCCTAGGTACCAGGATTTGAGCACGCGCCATGATTGGCTTGTTACACACAAAAAAATGTCAATTTGCCAGTAAGCTTGAAGGGAAATTCGAAACTCACTTGCGGTAAAAGAGGCCCAGAACAAGGATATCGGCGCTGTTTGGCAGACATTACTAGGTGGGGTTTTATTAACTCTGCGCACACAGGCTAGGCGTGTAGAGGCGCTACCTGTTTCCCATGCGAGAGCACATTTGAGAAACCGAATACTTACGTTTAGCCTTAATTCAATTTAAGCTACAAAAATTACATACCTACAAAGAGTCTTGTCCCCTTTGTTCTCTCTGTAAGTCTTAACATAGTTGTCTTCGCATCTCCCCTTTTCTGCCAGAAAGTTCTTCGAGCATTGATGTCGTTTCAAAGAAGGTGGAAGGGGAACCTGTAAGTTCATGCCATTGCAATAAACTTGTTCTTGGTAGGCTCGAAAGCTTCTGCTATTGAAGGATCGCTCCACGTTTCTTCTATCGTATTTTGATTCGTTTTTATGGCAGTGAAGAGCCACGTTCTTCGCGCATTTGTTGATCTTGTCCATGTAAACCTGTCTGAAAGGAAAAACGCCAGAAAATGTATATTGAACTACTCAAGTTTTTCATGTTCATCCGTATCACCGTTGCTGTGGCTACATAATAAATCGTGCCTTTCGCAGCAAAAACATACTTAAAGTAAATGGTGTGGCATTTCATCTCGTGTTTTGCGGCCGTGTGATATCGTCGTTATCTATCGATAAAAATATGCTGAGGATGCAAACTACACTTACGAACCTGCAAGATGTTTTGGGATTTTTTTGGAGCGTTTGCACGAAGCTTGCGATGCAGACTCTGGTCAAAGACAAGTAGTCACTTTCTGAGCATGATCCGAACCGTCTTCTAGGACTTCTTGGCACTATAAAGAAAAAGTATAGAAAATTAGATTAAAATAAAGATAGAAGTGTCTTTGCCTAATCCCAAGGCTTCATTTCAGCATCAACATTATCATCACCCTTATCATCACTATTATTATTATTATTATTATTATTATTATTATCATTATTATTATTAATTCACCTCGTACATCACGAAGTGCTATACACACCTGGTTTTCTTTTCACATCAACCCTTCCGGGGCAATAAGGGTTGTAAGGGTCTTGGTATAGCTTCGCAGCATTCTTTTCCCAAGAGTTCTTGCCGCAGTTCCTTTCTAGGGCCGTTCTAATGCACTTCTTAGCTTTGGAGAATTTTCTGAAACGAAAACGGATTCGGAGAAAATTAATTTTGACTAAAAGTGCACCTAAGTTGTAGAGCGTATGCAAGAACACTCGCTGAGGGAAGAATGCATGAAAATCACATACAATATTCTAACCTGCACAAAGACCGGCTACCCTTGTTCTCGTCAAATTTCTTGTAAAATGAACTTGCACACTTTCTTATTTTTTCTAGCGTTGTGTCCTGACAGTTCTGCAGCTTTTTGAAGCCTTTAAAGGAGTCAAGCATTCCATCTTTGCAGTAATACTGCCAGCTAGAGATCAAGTTTTTAGAGCTCTTTTCCATTATGGCCAGAGTTTTGCTATCTGAGTGATTTCGACAGCTATCGACGATATTTATGATGCAGTGCTTTACTCTGGAGCTGTGCAGTTTCCTGATGAAAAAAGGGCAACAAAAATAGAAGAAAATTTAACGTATTTTAAAAATTAATTCCTCCTCACTTCTTTGTTATTACGTACACAGTACCACCACCACAACCATCATCATCATCATTCGGAGAATAGATCACTTTCCCTTATCATTTTTTCGAGATTAGAAAAACTAAGAACAAAACAAATTGTATTAAGTAACCCATTTTCGTACTCTCCGAATTTTTATCTGACTTGGTTTGTTTGCTTCTAATTTAAGGCTTAAAGATAACTTAATTCTTACTCACCGTACGGCTTAGCCACACCATATAAACAGCATACATAACTATAACCCCTATATTATAATCACCCCGGCAGGATTAGCTCAGTCGGTAGAGCGCTTGACTGCAGAGCGGGAGGTCGCGGGTTCGATTCCCGGGGCCGGACCAATACTTAGGGTCTTAAAATAACTAAGAAATGAAGGTACTTCCTTTGCCCTGCGGGCGGCTGGACCTTCGCGTGGCTCGGATGACCACGTAAAATGGCGGTCCCGTCTCCATTAGGAGACGTTAAAATGAGGGCCACAAGTTTATTAGCCTTTGGCTATTAAGTGCTACCCTCTTTAAATAAAGGCTATTTCTTATTTTTCTTTTTTTTCTTACTCGAGCATGAAATAGAAGGCATCATGTTTAGTTTTCCTACCTGCAGTTTTGGTGTGGATCTGTCTTCAGGTTGTCATAAAATCCATTCACGCAAGTCTTTGCTGTCTCTTGTAATGTCTCTATTGAACACGAGGCAGCTATCCCCACGCTCAAATAAAATACTGTTGAGGAGAAATTGAAGTATGCATCACTTGGCTCTCTAGATCCCTTTCCATTCAGTTGAGAGTAAGCTTGCGCAGGAGCCTAGCTCCTGGCTTGCGACACAACCTTGTCCCCAGGGCTTTTCCCATTTTTTTTTTAGAGAAAAGCCCCGGGAACGAGGTTGCTTGCGACAAGGACACAAACTGTTTTTCGATGTGCTGATCTTCGAGAAGTTTGATATTGTAGATGTCGCCCCAGGTAAGGGAATCCAGGAAATTTTTTGCCTGTGGAATGCGGAACCCTGATCCTTGGAATCCGGAATACAGCTCAAGGAATCCGGAATCCCACTAGCAATTATGATCCAGAATCCAAGTTCCACAGACAAAGACTGGCATCCAGTACCTGGAATTCGGAATTCAAGGATCCACGTCTATCTGGGATTCCCTTTCATGGGGCGATAGATGGATATAGTTTGCTTCTTATGAGGGTCTGGATGGTCACTGAAACTTTAAGCTTTGTAACTTGATCTTTGGGAACAGTAAATTCTTAGCTGTTTGAATATTATAAACAAACTGGTTTAATAACAGTAAAACATTCACATTCCAAACTACCCGGCTCTTCTTAACTTTACTTCTTTTTCTGAATTCTTCCTTGCAAGTTATCTACGTTGCTTTTAACTGCAGTTAACGCTCCCAAAACCAAGAACTGATTACCTGAAGCGTAGCTTCAGTTACAGTGGCGCTATTCTATGGAACAATCTCCCTGAGGAAATACGGACATCAAATTCCTTAGGTTTCTTTAAGAGAAGTTCCCATAGATGGTTTTCTGATCGGTACTCCCACACGGAAAATATGTAAAACAGTTCTTGAGAATTTTTAATTAGTTGTCTATGTTAGACTGATATTTTTAACCGTGTATAAATAAAGTTATCAATCATTCGTTTAAATAAAGAGGAAAATGCTGAGTTATCTCAAGAATAACAGACTATTGTCTGTGCTTGCATCAGAATAATTATTTTTCTCTCTTTTTGTATCATTTTTCACATCATTTGTCGGCCGGATTTCAAGGCATAAATGTGATCCATCAAAATTAAACTGAGTGGCCTTTTTAAACTCCGAATTAAGATAAAAGGGTCGCATATGGCTGCTATTTTTCGCTACTGGTATATATCAATTACACTTGTACTGTTTTCTACCAAACAGGAAAATTCAGTGGAGCTGCACTTTATATGTCCGACCGGTTTTCAAACAAGTTTCAATGACTATAAATTAAGTGCTTACGCAACATTTCTGTTAAAAGTGATTAATCATTAGAAAAATAGATTTTGAAAACTTCTAGCAAAGACAGGGATCGTCTAATAATGACTTGACTTTTATCAAGAGCCATTATGACTCTTGCTTTTATAAAATCTGCAAATATGGAAAAATTTAGGGGTATTTTCTCCTTAGTCACCGATACTAATCAAAACCGGCTCGAATACAACAGTGTTCACTTGTCGGTGAAATATGCAACTAGGGATAAAGTTATTATTCATGAGCGAATTTTAAGTTAATAAAAGTAATTTGAAATATTGCCAAATTATCAGTACGCTTTTCAATACACTGAAATGATCACTTATAAAGTAACTACGTATAGTTTTAGTTTAAGCACAATTTATTGTTGAATGTGATCGAAAACTACACTTTGTAAGTTACCATATTACAAAATAACTCACGTTCTCATTATAAACTTCTAATGATATTAAAAATGTTATTATTTTAGTGCTGAAGGTGAGCGAAAGCACTCCGAAAAGGCCGTCGATCACTATCTACCAGCCAAAAAGCTTAGAATTGGGGTACACCGAACAGAGCGCTTTGTAAATACATGCTAGTCAGAAGCTATGTAGGTTATACACATTCAGTGAAAGTAGGTACGCTTCTTGCTTTAACAGAAACACTGGTTGTCGACAAAGAAAGTCATACTCACCAAAGAAAACCAGGACTTCGGATTTGCTATACATCATTTTACCACTGAGACTTTACTTAAACAAATTCTAACGTTCTTATTTATAATTTTTTTAGAAGCTGGACCGAGGGAAACCCCCGGTGACATCATCATATTATATTCTTAGGCCTATTGAATCACAAAGCCTTTGAAAAGAAACAAAACGCGTACAATTCGAGCCCTTTTCACGGGAAGTTTTCAAAACTCTGAAAACATTTGTGATCATTGACAGTTTTGGAGATCTGTTACGGCATGTATACTTTTCATAAAGAATATCAAGCAGTTATAGAAGTCTCAGGGGAATATCGACTCAAGAACTTTTGTTTAGGTAGTTTCCATAAAAAATACGGGATTTAAACGTTTAGTAACCGGTAACGGCCAATGAAAGTTAATGAGGTAATGCTCACAAATAAACAAGTGCTAAAGGAAACAAAATTATTATATATTATTGTTAGTCTTAATTATTTTCATTTTCCACAAAACAAAAAAGCATATTCAACTGTAACGAAAAAATCAAAGAAATAGGGTTTTTTATGGTTATTCTCAAAAGTTTCTGCAAGATTGAATTGACGTAGTAATTTAAAAATTTGAAAATGAAAGAAGCCAAAAAGTTCAAATTTGTACACGATACGGAAAGTGACATTTAGGCTTTGATCTTAGTTTCAAAGACGTCGTTCTCCATAACCTTTAAAAAACCAGCTATTTGACAAGTTTCCTGCACACTTTGAGAAGTTGTGTTGTTCTATTTTATAGCCATATTATGATTCCTAAGTTCATTATGTTTCTTGGGTCTATTTCTATGAGTACATAAATGTCAAATTTGTAAATCGTGTTAATTAGCATAATTATTATATGAGATGTGTAGGATAGCTTATTTAATGGCGGTTGAAAATCAAGTTCAATTTTCCTTTCCCCGGTATCATGAATTTTTACAGAATGCACAGAACAGTTAACTTGTCCAACCTAAAAGCCATGAACTAAGTATTCGGGTCGAAAAAAAAGAAAACCATTTTCCCTTTTTTCCGTCCAATTCAGCTGTTATGACGCAAAATTGATTTCCGGTTTCGTTTTCTATCGTTTTTCTGACCTAAGCTCCACCATGCCCCAAAATCCGTTTCATTGTGCGTGTGCATGATGCCACTTCAAAGGAAAAATTAAGACTGAAGCAAATAGTTTCTTCATCGTACTAACAATTAGTTATTAATACTATTTAGGATGTAATATATAAGCGCTGCATAAAACGGAATGGTTAATTGATTTTAAAAGGTAGACTGTGTAAAATTGCTGACAGATCACAGTCTTCTTAGAGTAAAAAGCTTCGGGTCATAATTAATTTACTGAGACGAAGCTTACACGACTTCAAACAATATAAATTGACAGTAAAAAGCAGGATATTTATAGCTCGTGTTTTGTGTTTTTTAAACGTGCTTTTCAAAAAGCGACAAACCAGCCTCATCCGTTTCAGAGAAAAGAGCTTCGACAGATTGACACGAAGCTGTAACGAAGCTGTAACGCTGTTCAAACTGAATGTAAACCGCAATTAAAACACGATACTTCAGTAGAGCTTGTGAAATTAAAAGTCTGAAATTGGCGCTTGGAAGATCGAGCGGCTAATCAAGCAGGGGAGTTTTACTTACGTTGAATTTGGAAATTCGAATAAATGAATAAAACTGCTAAATAAAGACAATTTCAGGCCAAGCAACCGGAAGAGTCCCTTGAACAAACTCTTCGAGCAATTCGTGAAGCAGCGAAGGCACTTTTTACCGGGTCAGTGTCAGAAAAACCAGTGGGACTGCACCTTTTTGACATCTACAGCAATTTGAAAAATTGCTATTCAAGTAGAAGCCTACTTTTGCAAGCGGCGTGTTCGAAAAATTCTTAAACGCGGTTCGAGAACTGAATTCGAGAATGGTCAACCAAGAAGAACTTAAACTCGGACCGTCTCCGAATCAGGAGTCCGAGCGTCATATACAGCTATTCTGAGAAAGGTTGTCGGAAAAAATGTGCACGCGACAATCGCATGTGAAACGCATAGAATTGAAGTTACGTTCTGACTGTCCCAAGGACTTTTGTCCATGATTGTAGTTCCGGCTTGAATTAGGAGGCATAATTTGTCGATTTGTCTGGCCTTTATCAGTCGAAGCTGTTTACTCACTCCTTAGGTGTGTGTAATTGTTATGTTTCCCCCCCGGCATCCTGGGGGAGGGAGCGGTGCCCAGCATATTTCAGATGTTTATGGTATTTTTTTCTAGTTTTCTTTCTTTCTTTTGTGAAATGGGCTATCACAAATTAAAGTTTCTCGACCGCGGAAGACTACGAATAGTTCTGACGCAGCAAATAATTTTCACCCGATCACTCCAGATGGCTAATTACAATTATGTATCGTCATCTTCCATCTGATCGTCATCAACGTCATCATGAATTTAGCAGTTACTATTCGTAGTTGTATAATTCTTCCCTTAGCGTGAATTTTAAACCAGCGAAAAATGGTGTACTCTTAATTGGTATTCTGTAAGTTACAAGTAACATAACGGTGCCGAAATGTATCCAATTTCTTTTTTTTTACATGGTAGAATACAATAACAGAATAGAATATAGCCCTGTATTTAAAAACGTTAAAATTTATTAGGAGTATAGATATTATAAATAACCTAACTAACTAAACAAAATGCAAAACTAGCTACAACTATTCCAGCTAAAACCTCTATTTCATGAATGCCCTGAATAATTAATATTAATTAAAAATTAAGACTAATGAATCTTTTAAATAGACTAAAAGACTAAGAGTGTCTTTCATTATACAGGGCAAGCTGTTCCTTGCAACAGCTCTTCTATAACTGAAGCTATTTTACATGAAGTTAGCCCGCGGAGGAACTGGACAACTAATTTGTTATCATACAGACTATACATCAAGGAGTAGTGCGTTTCATTTCGTTTAATTTTGAGGATTGAGATAACTGAGTCACTGACCAAACGTATAATTAAGTATTACTAAAAAAAATTAATTTAAGCACTATTTGTAATTTATTCTCCTGATCATATAGTACTATAAGACATTCTTCAAGCATTATTAACTCTTTTAAGCTAACTATATATTAAAGAAGAGTTTGTAATTTTACCTCTGGCATATATATAATTTGCTTTTACATGAGTGGCTAGTGTTTAGTTTGCAACTCCATCACATGGGTAAAGGCAACTAATCTAGTGCCAGGCCAAGAAGCAAATGACCTTAATCAGTTATTGAATAGATAATTCACAGACCCGAAAGCCAACTGTGTAGTCTTTGCCTTTAGAATTGAACGATCGAATTTTGTTGAACCCTGAGAAAAGGTCGTTGCTGACAGTTGATGAGCATCTAGAGCCTTCACTTAGAAGTTGATATGTTGAGGGGAGTCTAGCGTAAAATGATGGTGGACTGAACTTATCAGTTTTGCGTAGAACAAAGCAATACTGGGCGCTACCCCCAAGGGCTTGGCACAAGAGGTCAACTAGAGAAGTCAACCACCCCAGTAAACAGGGAGAGCCCAGTCACTCCTGGCATTGTATATCCTGGATGATGAACCTAAACTAAGTGTTCGTATTATGCGGTTATGAAAGAGTATGAATGAAAACTACAACAGATAAAACTAGGACAAAACGATAGCTTGCGAGGCTAGTTGACTGACCCCCTCCCCGAGATTTCACTTCACCGCTTCCTTTTACACTTCGAGTGGGTGTAATCGCGGTGAGCTGGGGATCTGACTCGCGTGAGACGCGAGGCAAAGGCACCAGCGACCGTTTAACCATCGGTGGGTCTGATAGGTTGAAACAAAATGGGTTAAACGTGTCGCAGTAAAAGTTTACAACTTCCACTTGTTCTTTTTTCATGTTGCACATGGTAAGTGTGGCATTCTTGACACAGGCCTTTGCTTTTGCGTACTTCCTGAAAAAAAAATGGAGAAAGAAAGAGAGAGAATAAATACCAAGTCTTTGCAAGGCATGGAATGGCCATTAAACTTCTGATTTAGTCCGTCTGCGAAACAGCGCCGAAATTGTGGGCCGCCATGGGCCCGCCTAGGTACCAGGATTTGAGCAAGCGCCATGATTGGCTTGTTACACACACAAAAATGTCAATTTGCCAGTAAGCTTGAAGGGAAATTCGAAACTCACTTGCGGTAAAAGAGGCCCAGAACAATGATATTGGCGCTGTTTGGCAGACATTACTAGGTGGGGTTTTATTAATTTATTAATTTACGCTACAAAACTTACATACCTACAAAGAGTCTTGTCCGCTTTGTTCTCTCTGTAAGTCTTAACATAGTTGTCTTCGCATCTCCCCTTTTCTGCCAGAAAGTTCTTCGAGCATTGATGTCGTCTTAAAGAAGGTGGAAGGGGAACATGTAAGTTCATGCCATTGCAATAAACTTGTTCTTGGTAGGCTCGAAAGTTTCTGCTATTGAAGGATCGCTCCACGTTCCTTCTATCGTATTTAGATTCGTTTTTATGGCAGTGAAGAGCCACGTTCTTCGCGCATCTGTTGATCTTGTCCATGTACGCCCGTCTGAAAGGAAAAACGCCAGAAAATGTATATTGAACTACTCAAGTTTTGCATGTTTATCCGTGTCACCGTTGCTATAGCTACATAATAAATCGTGCCTTTCGCAGCAAAAACATGTTTAAAGTAAATGGTGTGGCATTTCATCTCGTGTTTTTCGGCCAGTCGTCGTTATTTATCGATAAAAATATACTGAGGATGCAAACTACACTTACGAACCTGCAAGATGTTTTGGGATTTTTTTGGAGCGTTTGCACGAAACTCGCAATGCAGACTCTTGTTAAAGACAGATAGTCACTTTCTGAGCAGGAGCCGAACCGTCTTCCAGGACTCCTCGGCACTGTAAAGAAAAAGTGTAGAAATTAGATTAAAATAAAGATAAAAATATCTTTGCCTTGTCCCAATGCCTCATTATTCATCATCGGCATCAACATCATCATCATCATCATCATCACTATTATTATTATTATTATTATTATTATTATTATTAATTCACCACTTACATCACGAAGTACTATACAAACCTGGTTTTCTTTTCAAATCCACCCATCCGGGGCAGTAAGGGTTGTGAGGGTCTTGGTATCGCTTTGCAGCATTCTTTACCCAAGAGTTCTTGTCGCAGTTCCTTTCTAGGGTCGTTCTAATGCATTTCTTAGCCTTGGTGAATTTTCTGAAACGAAAACGGATTGGGAGAAAATTAATTTTGACTAAAAGTGCACTTTAATTGTAGAGCGTTAATGCAAGAACACTCGCTGAGGGAAGAAAATGATAATGCATGAAAATCACATACAATATTCTAACCTGCACAAAGACCGGCTACCCTTGTTCTCTTTGAATTTTTTGTAGAATGAACTTGCACACTTGCCTATTTTTTCTAGCGTTGTGTCCGGACAGTTCTGCAGCTTTTTGACGCCTTTAAAGGAGTCAAGCATTCCATCTTTGCAATAATACTGCCATCTAGAGATCCAGGTTTTAGAGCTCTTTTCCATTATGGCCACAGTTTTGCTATCTGTTCGATTTCGGCAGTCATCGATGACCTTTATGATGCAGTGCTTTACTTTGGAGGAGTAAAGTTCCCTAATGAAAAAAAGGAAAACAAAAATAGAAGAAAATTTGATGTATTTCAAAAATTCATTAGAGCGCACTTGTTTGTTAATACGTACCACCACCACAACCATCATCACCATTCGGAGAATAGATCATCTTCGCTTACATTTAAATCATTTTTTCGAGATAAGAAAAACTGAAAACAAAACATTATATTAACTAACCCATTTTCGTAATTTGCGAATAGTTACTTGACTTGTCTTGTTCGCTTCTAATTTAAGGCTTAAAGATAACTTTCAATTCTTACTCGCCGTATGGCTGCCACACCAGATAAACAGCACAGAACTACAACCCCTATTCAGAATTCACGCTCGCATGAAACAGGAGCCACCATATTTCTCGTACCTGCAGTCTTGGTGTCGATCCTTCTTGAGGTTGTCGAAAAATCCATTCACGCAAGTCTTTGCTTTCTCTTGTAATGTCTCTATTGAACACGAGGCAGCTACCCCCACGCTCGAACAAAATACTGTTGAGGAGAGATTAAGGTATGTTTCACTTGGCTCTCTAAGTCCCTTTTCGTTCAGCTTTAGAGTAAGCTTGACAAGGACACTAACTGTTTTTCGATTTTCCTAATATTCAAGAAGTTTGATAAAAGTTCTTGTAGATGCCGGATAGATGGATGTAGTTTGCTTCTTATGAGAGTCTGGATGGTCATTGAAACTTTAAGCTTTGTAGCGCCTTTGTAGCATTAAATTCTTAGCTGTTTGTCTAGTACCACAACAAACTGGCTATTATAACAGTAAACCTTCCCATTTCAATTTCCCCGGCTCTTTTTAGCTTTATTTCTTTTTCTTCCTTGCATTTTTTTGAACTGCAGTCTAAATACAGAGGAAACTCCTGAGTTCTCTCAAGAATAATTATATCATTTAATGGCATATATTTAGACTATAACATGTTTGTGCTTACATTAGAACTATAATTTTTCTTTCTTTTTGTGTCATTTTTAAAAGCATTTCTCGGCCGGATTTCAGGGCATAAATGTGATCCATCAGAATTAAACTGAGTGGCCATTTTGTAACTCCGATAAAAGGGTCGCAAAGATAGCCAAAATTTAGCTGATATTTTTCGCTACTCAGAAGTGGTTATGTTAATTACACTCTTTTCTACCAAACAGGAGAATTCAGTGGAACAGCAATATCTACGACCGGCTTCAAACAAGTTTCAATGACCATATCAAGTGCTTGCTCATCAATTCTGTTAAAGTGATGAGTCACTGGAAAAATTCTTTAAAGTTCTAACAAAGACAAGTGTAGTCTAATAATGACTTGAAATGTTCTAGTAGTGGCTTTTATGAAAGTTGCAAATATAGAAAATTTAAGGGGCATTTTCTTCTTGTACAAACCGGCTGGATTGCAAGAATCGGACAATCGAATCGGTATAAAATGATTAAATGAATAAGTTTTAAATTACTAAAAGTAATTTGAAGTATTGCCAAATTATCTCTGATTATAAAGTAACAACGTCTAGTTTTAGTTTAAGTACACTCGCTGCATGAATGTGACCAAAAACTACATTTTGTACTATAAAATAAGAGACGTTCTTTATAAACTTCTAGGCATATTCAGTGAAGGTGCGCTTCTTCAATCAGTGTTTCTGTTCAAGCAAGTTTTCACGGTTAACTGTTTTTATACTCACCAAAAAAAACCAGAACTCCGTATTTGCTATAGATCATTTTCCCACAGAGATTGTAGACCATGCACAGAAGATCCGTTGAATCACTACTGAAACAATCTGAGACGCTCAGCTAATTTATATTTTTTGCTGAGAAGCTGGGAAACCCCCCAATCACATCACACAGTTAAAGGGTATTTGAATCACAAAGCTTTCCTTTAAAGGAACAATAGGCATACGAGAAAAGGCCCTTTCACTAAATTCGTAAAACTCCGAGTATACATATGTTATCACTGACCGAGTTTTGGAGATCTGTTACGGCATGTATACTTTTCACAAAGAATGTCTAGCTTATAAAAGTCTCAGGGGAATATCGACGAGTTTTGTCCGGCGTTAATTCAGTTTCCATAAAAAATAACGGCTGGAGTTAACGTAGTAACCCAAGGGGCAATGAAAGTTAATGAGTTCAGTAGTGAGTGCTCACAAATAAACAAGTGCTAAGAAAAAATATTATCACTTATGATTGTTGGTCTAAATTATTTTCTTTGTCCACAAAACAAAGTAGCATATTCAACTATAACGAACAAATCCAGAAAATAGGGGCTTTTCATATATAATGGCTGTTCTAGGAGATTCTGCAAGATTAACTTTGACGTCATCATTTTAGATTTGAAAATGAAAGGAGCAAAAAGTTCAAGCTCGTCACACCACGTCACACTGCTACTGTAAAACGCCCCTAAAGTAACAACGTTTTTGATATCAGTTTTTATTGTAAAAGGCTAGACTTCTTTCTCGATAACCTTTAGAAAAGTAACTATTGGACTGACAAATAGAGATATTCTTATCAGTTTCCGGCACACTTTAAGAAGTCGTGCCGTTCGATTTAATAGCCATATTATAATTAATACTGAGTTCATTATGTCTTCCTTTGAGTCTATTTCTGTGAGTACTTAGATTTCCAAAAGGTAAAGAGGTCGGTGTAAATAGTGCTAATTAACAATTATTCCAGGAGAGCGCGTTGGATATGAGATGGCCAACTCGGCTCTAAGCCAATCAGAGCTCTAGAGTTGCATTATCCAATGATTCGGTGTTTAATAATTAGCATAATATGAGAAGTTTAGAATAACTTAATGGGGCTTCTAGATCAAGTTCAATTTTCCTTTCCCTGGTATTATTTTTACAGAATGCGCAAAGAACAGTTAATTTGTCCAACTTAAAAACCATGAACTAAGTATTCAGGGCGAAATAAAAATAGAAAGGTGTATTTGTTTCTAAATAGAAGCATTTTATCTTCTTTCCTTGTTTCAATTCAACTTATGTTGCATCATTGTTTTCCGGTTTCGCTTTGCTCTATGTGTCTTATGACGCACGCACAATTATGTCCAAATATCCCTTTCATTGTTCGCATAATGCTATTTCAGTGAAAAAATTAAAGACTGATCAGCAAACAGTTTCTTGATCGATTGGAACTGACGATTAGTTATGCTCTTTATGATGTTTTATATTAGCCCTGCATAGTAAATTGAACTGCTTTTTCCTCTGACGATTCTAATAAATGGTTAATTAATTTTAAAAGTAGGTGTAAAATTGTTGATAAATCACATCCTGCTCAATGTAAAGAGCTTCAGGCATTTTCTGAAACAAAGCTAACACGACGTCAAACAACGTAAATTGTAGGTAAAACACGATATTTATAGCTCGTGAGTTGTGTGCTTAAAACGGGCTTTTCAAAGAGTGACTGACAAAGACTCTTTATATGCATTGTAAACAAATCAACCTCATCCGCTTTTTTTTCCCGGCTGGTTTTCTGAAACGAAGCTGAAACGACTTCAAATTGAAAGCAAACCGTTATTAAAACAGGATATTTACTCTGAAAGCTTGTGAAATGAAGCTCTGAAATTGGTGCTTGGTCAAGAGGGGCTAATCAATAAATTTTGGCGTTGAATTCGTAAATTCGCCGCATAAATGAATAAAACTGCTAAATAAAGCAGGACTCTTTGAGCAATTCATGATCATGAAACAGCGAAGGCCCATTTTTACTGGGCCAGTGTCAAAAAAACTAGACAGTGGGACTGCACCTTTTTTAACATCGACAATAACAATATGAAAAATTGCGATTCAGGTAGAAGCCTACTTTTGCAAGCGGCGTGTTGGAAAAATTCTGAAACTCGGAGCTATCTAGAACTGAATTCGAGAATGGTCAACTAATTAAGAAGAACTTAAACTCGGACTGCCTCCGAATTAGGACTTCGGGCGCCATATAAACTACACAGCATAGGGCAAGGGCACCCAACGACCGAATGTCTCCAAATACGCCAGAAATGCCTCGGACGGTTTTCTCTATGCTTTTTGAAGCCTGTTTGGTTAATTTGGAGTTAAAAGCTTTAAACCGTTTACCTGTCGGATGTCTTAGGGGAACGTTGTTCGTCACGAAAGTTTTAGCTGGCTTTTTCGTCTCATCCGAAAGTGTTAGCTATACCCTCATGGATCCGGTCGAAAGTTCGAGGACATGAAGAAGTCTTGCTTTCATTAGAAAATTATAGGGGACGTTTTTTTTATACTGAAAGTTTTAGGAGACCTTTCTTTAACAATAATCGCAATATCTTGATATCAAAATGTGAATAACACAACCTCCAAACATCGTAATTAAGCTACGAATGGACGGAACGGTTATCCGGAAATTTTTAGCTCTTCTCAAGCTTTAGAAATTTCTAGGCAATATTTGCTCCTTCGAACAGTTATTTTGCAGAAAAAAGTCGCTAGGTGCCCCCGACTGGGCATTATTCCTCGAGAAGAATATGCTCAAATTCTGTTATTAGCAATTTAATCATGCCAAAGGTTTTCAATAAATGCGACAGTAAAATCCATGGTTCTACCTAGAATACGAGGTTGAAGTTAAAAGCTCTTTATATTCCTTTTACTAAACTAGTTCGGATACGTTTCTGAAGATATTAAACACAAGAGTATCGAAAAGAAAGTGCCTCTCGGTGCAAGAATCTGAAGTCGGTCTTCCTGTGCTTTGGCATTTTGTTTTCCTGGGCTCTATTGTGTTGACTTCTTTTCCGTTTTCTTGGTTTTACCGTTCGTTAAGGTTATATGGTGCAGTTTCACCGAGAATGAGCAGAAAGTAGAGTAACAGTAGACGGAACTAATGGCTCTTGTGTCCTTCTTCTCACAACTTTATGTACCGTTTAATATTGAAACTCCGAAAGACACCTATTTTGTCAAACCGATCCCTTTTAAGCTCTGCTCAGTCGAGTAGTTATCGAGAGAGCGAGAGAGATTTAAACTCGACTATTGTATAATACAATTATCCGATATTTCTTTTTCCTGCACTGAACTAGAATTGTTCCACTTACGACAGTCAACCGTTGACCATTATATATATTTGCACTGAGGCAACAAGCAAGAAGAAACAGTGACTGAGGTTACAGTGCGCAATTATGAATAATCAAACGCGCGAAAATTCTAGCATATAAAGACATGAATCAGAGGAAAGTTGCCGAAAGCAAACCTCGACAAAGAATAAAAGGTTTTTAAGAAAGCTTTTGAGGCCTCCAAACACGATTTTTTTTTTTCATTCGAGCAAACTTTTGCTTCATCACTTTAGTCCATGAACGCTGTGTCCTCTCGACCCTTTCTTCCGGCCTTCTTCCCGCTCCCCGGATTTTTAATCCGTCAATTTTATATAAAGGTTTAAGAGCAGGCGAATCAAAATGCATTCTCTCTGCTCATATCTATCCTTTCATTTCATCAAATCGATCGCGGGTGATGTAGAATATTTTGTTTTTAGGTTATTTAATGACTGTTCAAGGAGACACGTCAAAGTATTAATATATATATCGTTTGAAAGATTTCTGGAAAGAGACGGAGATAAATCTGGGTTTCCGAGAAGAATCAGACTAGCTGCTGTATATCAAGACTAACCGAACACTTCATTTATTGTTAGAATGTTGAAAATGATATAAAATAACTAATATGGTAGCTGTGTAGATCTAATAAAAATTGTCGGCTTGAACAAAGAGATCAAGAACATGATCGCCACAATGAGAACGTCGTTCAGATAATCAAAGCGGGACCCAAAAATGGGTAAGCAATGGAGGATGAAAACTTTCTTGGATAACTATCTATAAGGTGTATAAATTGGAGATGGTACTTACCAATCAAGAACAGAAATAGGCGAAAATTCACCATTTTAGCAACAACAGGGTAGAAAGTTGAGCCGCGGAGTAAAGTAATGTGTTATATAGTGATTCCACGTTAACTGTTATTGCGTTAGGTTGGGCCAAGTAGCAAGGGACAACTCCTTATGGTCACGCTTTATTTTTAAAAGGTGCAACTAAAAAATTCCCTTACGCCTACGTGAGGAAGTTGATCAGGTTTTCGCTTGTGGACCAAAAAAGTTCATTTCAACATGTTGTTTTTTTCTTAATGAGTTTCGCATTGTTCGGAGATTTCAGTCCTCTTCGCTGCAAAGCCTGAATACTTTATTTCATTTTATTATCATGCTTCATGAATACGTCTTGTCATTAAAATACGCCTCCCTACCCCCCCCCCCCCCTCCCCTCCCCGCCCGAAGCTACATGTTTATCAAAGTGATCAATTCCTCAAGCCGGTGGATAATTCAATGAAGTCGGGCATTTAGAAAGAAGAAGAGGAAGGTGATGAAGAGTGACGCTATCTTGAGAGTATAGACTTGCTCCGGCATAAAAGAGAATGATTTTTTTTCGAGGCAGATTTATCAGATCATCAGGTTTTGTTGCACGTACGATACGATTTACACTATACACTATACGATTAATATCATTTACCACGTAATTGACTTTCACGGAAACTCGAGTCACGCTACTTATAATAAGTCACGCTACCTTGTTTGCTTTTGTGTTTTATAAACGTGCTTTTCAAAAAGCGACTAACAAACCCAGCCTCATCCGTTTCAGAGAAAAGAGCTTCGACAGATTGAAACGAAGCTGTAACGAAGCTGTAACGCTGTTCAAACTGAATGCAAACCGCAATAGACCTTGCCTTGTTTTCGACGCCATCTTGACGAGTAGGCCGTGAGAAATTACAGTGTTTGTATGAGAATCTAATGTCGAATAATTTCCGTAAAACGGACAAATCATATTTTTTCAGAACAGCCGTTCTACGGAAATTATTCGACATTTAAGATTCTCATACAATCACAGTAATTTCTCACGCTTTTGCCTACTTGTTAAGATGGCGTCGAAAACCGTGACAAGGTCTATTAAAACACGATATTTCAGTAAAGCTTGTGAAATGAAAGTCTGAAATTGGCGCGTTGGAAGAGCGGCTAATCAAGCAATTTTTACTTGCGTTGAATTTGGAAATTCGAATAAATGAATAAAACTGCTAAATAAAGACAATTTCATACCAAGCAACCGGAAGAGTCCCTTGAACAAATTCTTCGAGCAATTCGTGAAGCAGCGAAGGCACTTTTTACCGGGTCAGTGTCAGAAAAACCAGTGGGACTGCACCTTTTTGACATCTACAGCAATTTGAAAAATTGCTATTCAAGTAGAAGACTACTTTTGCAAGCGGCGTGTTCGAAAAATTCTTAGACGCGGTTCGAGAACTGAATTCGAGAATGGTCAACCAAGAAGAACTTAAACTCGGACCGCCTCTGAATCAGAAGTCCGAGCGTCATATACAGCTATTCTGAGAAAGGTTGTCGGAAAAAATGTTCACGCGACAATCCCGAAAGGTAATATGGGATGTAATCAATACATCCTGTTCCTGACACTGTAGCTGTCAAACCTAATTTTGTTACTTTCTTTTAGCACTCGCAAACATATGATCATGGCCTCTCGTGTAATTCTTTCAAACTTCTTTGAAGAACAGTGAACTTAAACCACCCACAATACCTTTCAGGGTATTCGCGTGCACTTTTTCTCTCTCGAAATAGCTGTAAACTACACAGCACAGGGCATTACTCCTCGAGAAGAATATGCTCAAATACACAGTTATTAGCAATAAAAGTCATACCAAGTGTTTTCAACAAATTTAACAGTAAAATCCTTGGTTTTACCTAGAATACGAGGTTGAAATCAAAAGCTGTTTATATTCCTTTTACCGAAACTAGTTAAGATACGTTTCTGAAGATATTAAACACAAGAGTAGCAAAAAGAAAGTGAATTCGTTTGACCTCTCGGTGCAAGAATCTGAAGTCTTCCCAGTTTGCCTTGGCATTTTGTTTTCCTGGGCTCTGTTGTGTTGACTTCTTTGCCATTTTCCTGGTTTTACGTCTCTCGTTAAGGTTACATGGTGCAGTTTCGCCGAGAATGAGCAGAAAGTACAGTAACAAGAGACGCAACTAATGGCTCTTGTGTTCTCTTTCTCACAACTTTATGTAGCGTTTAATATTGAAACTCCAAAAGACACCAATTTTGTTAAGTCGACCCCTTTTAAGCTCTGCTCAGTCAAGTAGTAATCGAGAGAGCGAGAAAGATTTAAACTCGACTACTGTATAATAGAATGATCTGATAATTCTTTTCCCTGCACTGCACTAGAATTGTTCCACTTACTACAGTCAACCGTCAACCCTTATGTATATACAATATATTTGTACTGAGGCAACAAGGAATGAGAAATAGGATTCTAAAACTGGTAACAGTGCGCAGGTATGTACAATGAAAGGGCGAAAATTCTAGCATATAAAGACGTGAATCAGAGAAAAGTTGCCGAAACCAAAGCTCGACAAAAAACAAAAGGTTCTTAACAAAGCTTTTGAGGCCTCCAAACAAGAACTTTTCCTTGTTCACGTTCGTCATGAACGCTGTGTCCCCTCGACCTTTTCTTCCGGCCTTCTTCCCGCTCCCCGGATTTTTAATCCGTCAATTTTATATAAAGGTTTAAGAGCAAGCAAATCAAAATGCATTCTCTCTGCTCATATCTACCCGTTCATTTTTTTAAATCGATCGCGGGTGATGTAGAATATTTTGTTGATAGGTTATTCCGTGGCTGTTCAAGGAGACACGTCAAAGTATTAATATATATATCGTTTGAAAGAATTCTGGAATGAGACGGAGATAAAGCTGCTGTATATCAAGACTAACAGAACAGTTCATTTTTTCGTTAGAATGTTAAAAAGGACATAAAATAACTAATATGGTAGCTGTATAGATCTAACTAGAATTGTCGGCTTGAACAAAGAGATCAAGAACATGATCGCCGCGATGAGAACGTCGTTCACATAATCAAAGCGGGACCCAAAAATGGGTAAGCAATGGAGGATGAAAACTTTCTTGGATAACTCTCTATAAGGTATATAAAGTGGAGATGGTACTTACCAATCAAGAGCAGAAATAGGCGAAAATTCACCATTTTAGCAACAACAGGGTAGAAAGTTGAGCCCGCGGAGTAAAGTGATGTGTTATATAGTGATTTCTCGTTAACTGTTATTGCGTTAGGTTGGGTCTTGTCTATAAGTAGCAAGGGACAACTCCTTAAAGTCACGCTTCTTTTTTTAAAAGGTGCAACTAAAAAATTCCCTTACGCCTACGCGAGGAAGTTGATCAGGTTTTCGCTTGTGGACCAAAAAAATTTCACTTCAACATCTCGTTTTTTTGTAATGGGCTTCGCATTGTTCGGAGATTTCAGTCTACTTCACTGCAAAGCCTGAAGACTTTATTTCATTTTATTATCATGCTTAATGAATAAGTGTTGTCATTAAAATACCCCCCCCCCGGCCCCCGCCGCCCCGAAGCTACATACTTTTCAAAGTGATCAATCCCCCAAGCCGGTGGATAATTCAATGAAGTCGGGCATTTAGAGAGAGGAAGAAGAAGAATAAGAGTGACGCAATCTTGAGAGTATAGCCTTGCTCATAAAATAGAATGATTTTTTTCGAGGCAGATTTATCAGATCATCATGTTGTGTTGCACGATGGGCTCCTGTGCACGTACAATACGATTACACTATGCACTATACGATTAATATCATTTACCACGCAATTGACTATCACGGAAACCCGAGTCACGCCACTTATAATAAGTCACGCTACCTTGTTTGCTTCGACAACATAAGATGTTATTACGTCCTCCAATACAATGTAATGTTCAAAATAAAAATAAAAACTAATGGCCGAGCTATATTGAATGACAATAACACTGTGTCAGTGAATGTAAAGAAACGTTTATTTACCCCGCTTGACATACGGTAATCTCAAAGCAGACATCTATAAATGGCATGGCTACCAAGTCGATTCGAAACTGAAAGCTTAATTTGCATTTCAGAACGTGAAACTACACTACAGAGGGTAGTCACATGGTCATTCTTTTCGAGATCATTTCTATTTATAAGTCGGTTACAATGATAAAACGGGTATATAAAATTGGGGAATATTTTTTACGCCCCCACACCATCAGCGTTTCTCTCGCGAAAAGCAGTCACGGGATTTCTTCCGCTTCCGTTGCTCGGGGAGGAAGTCATGTCACAGGCATACCAGGGCTGGTATTGTGGATTTGCCATAGATTTATTGTTTGCCTTGAGCAGAAATCGAAGCAAATAGTTTAAAATCGCTCTCAAAAATAATTATCCTAAGGAATACAAAATTTTTAACTTCCACTTCGTAAGAACGATTCACTATTGACTACTGAATTAAGGTCAGAAACTGTCTGACTCCGGTTACTTGTTTGAACTTATCTGAAGCGTTTACAAGTTTATCATCCTCGCATGCAAACTATTTACATATTTTCATACCCTTTAAGAACACTCGGATGGTGAGTGATTATCCTTTTGTTGGATTTAGTTTATAACGAAATTAGGTTTCGATGTCTTTCAAAAGTTCTTCCAATACGATATGTCCCGTCAGTACAAATACACAGAACACCACATAATCGGAGAATAGCGAAGGTGACTGTTCACAACTCAGGGAAACTCTGGACTGAAACTGGAATGTCAGGACGAAATTCTAGCAATTTTCACGCTGGAAGAGAAACTGTAGACACAAATAACAAAAAGGCAATGTCAGAAACGCCTCGTTTATGATTTTGCAATACAATTTATAGACTGCGTGCATTCTCTGTTTTGCTCGAAAATCTGTGAGAGCGCGCGACATGGGAGTGTGCGAGATGGGCGGAAGTGAGTACAAGCGAAAAGAGCGCGCTCTCAAAGATTTCGAGCAAAAGAAAGACCCCAATTCAGCCAGATCAGTCTTTTCTTACGTGATATGAACGGAAATGATGGGATGTGACAATTTTGAGAAAAGACTACTCAGGCTTTCATCCTGAAAATGACTGAACCAGCCGGGAATTTTTACTTATGGAAAGCGCCCTGGGAAGTGCTATAAAAAAGCAGTTTCATATATTTCAATTTGATCTTTGCACGCAGGCGCTTAAAAGTAATAGAGGCTCGCAGGAAACAACAGGGCGCGCAAGTTAAAACACTAAAACCAGCAGGGGATTCCAGTCACCCCCACACGGGTCCTGCAGTGGGCATAGGTATAGATTTACTTTTCTTAGGGTAGAGTGAGTTTTCGATAGAAAATAAAGTAATGATTAGATAAACGCCAGTCAGTCCAAGAAAAAAAGGTGGGGGTTGGAGGAGATGGAAGCACAGTATAGAGAGGGCAGAAAGCGATTTTTTTAGGCTACAAACCTTTTCAATTTTTTCTCGATCAAAAACTCTACAAGATGATCCATACTTTTCCTGTCTCCGTTCGATCGTAGCTAGGGTAATGCAATAGATCGTGGATCCTCTCGATTCCATGTTGTATGCTTTACAGGAGAGCGATCGGAGGCAAAAGTCGATGCATTGGATATCCGAGAACACTTTCTCTGTAGAGATGACCTGGCCTATCAGAGTTTCGTTGAATGTGTTAGAGAGTGGTTTAGGCGGTTGGGATGAGTCGCATAGATCCAGAGAATTTGACGTAGGTGGAGGTGGAGTAAAACTTGTGGGGATCTGAGGACCTTTTAGGAAAAAAGATATTAAGAGGCTTTGGGTAGAGCAGCTTAGTTTATAACTCAATGATAAACGCAATAGGCTATTTTCGAGTTGCCCTATAAGCCTCTGTTTCAAAGCTGGGCTTAATATTGCTATTATTAATAATATTAGCATTATTATTGCTATTTGTTGTCGTCGTTTCGCTGTTCTTCAAGATTCATTTGATTCTCAGTGTCTCAGTATTTTAACAATTCAAGTTAATTCAGCATTCACGCGCGCGTCGAAATCGGGCTCGCCTCTTTTCAGTCTTTTCACTTCTAAATTTCGAGGATTAATATAATGATAAGCAGAATGATTCGCTGAAAAAAGGAAAAAAGGCCAAATATCCTGAAGAGAAATTCGCTCAGAGGATGAAAAACTGTTGGAAAAAACTACTTACACCAGCGTGAATTGTCTCCTGGTCTTCGGTTTCTAAATCTGAATTCTTCTTTTCATGTCAACTGCTAGCTCAAAACTGAATTTTAAACATAGCGCTCGAATGCAAAAATACCCTTAGGGAATTTAGGGAACGCGTTGCTATCGGCAACGGATTAATTTATAACACAACTAATTAATTATAAATATGAAAATAATATTTAAAATTATTCACATGCAAACAAAACTCATTTTTACAAGAAAGGTTTTGCACTTAGCAGTCATTTTGAAAGTGAGAGTCAGTTTGGAATTCCGAAATGACCTATTGGATAAACCAATCTGACATCAGTTTATAAATTAAAGCTCATTGATTCGTTAGCTCATCGATCAGATAAAGGACCAACCTTGAGTGGGCTGCTTTTGTGGGATTGATGATGAAGAAACTGAAAAACATTGGAGTCCAACCAAAAGCATTCTCAAAAGGCAGCATGCTAAACATAATTCCAGAACAAAATACGATGAGTACATAACTTCCAACACAACAAAAGCAACCACTCTATATCAGCCGATAATATGATAAAACAGTGCATTCTTCACTAAAATTGCTTGCAGTTCTCCCTCCCCCACCCTCCCCCACAAACCCAATGTTGCAAACTCGGTAATATTCTGGATACTTGCATGGAGCGTCCAACGTTGTTTGTGGTGTGAGGAGAGGGGTGGGGCATGTGTAAAGCTCCACAAATGCAAATTTGTCCCAGTTATTGTACATTTAGTTATTTACCGCTAGGCCCTGGCTCCGGAAAGGCCGATTAGCGCTAATCCGGGATTACAATTTTGTTCCTGTTTTTGTTTACCTTCCAATAAATTGCTTAGAGTCACATATTTTGTTTTGGCATTTCTGTATCTTGGAGCAACAACAGTATTTTACAGTAATGGCACAACAGTATTTTTTAAGCTCGAGTTGCATGTTCTTAGACAAGAAAAGCTTGTTCAAAATTTGGCTTAATCCTGGTTTAAACTTAGCCATCTTTCCAGGAACCAGGCCCAGATCGATAGGGAGCTTAAGCAACTACGACGAAGACCACAACGACGACTTAAAAAAACAATAGGTTTAATGATCAAAACAACAGATCTGCACGTGCATCACGCTTTTTAGTACATTTCTTTGACGTCCACTGAACGACTACGACATGAAACCTCCTAATTTGACGTTTTATGTAGGACACGGACATGCGACGACGAGTTTTCCTTCCTCTTTTTGAACCTGAATAAAATCCTTAAGAATTCAACCCCAGGAAAAGTCGCCTGCATTTAACATATTGACGCGACTAAGTGAAAGAACGCTCATTTTTTTACCGATGTTTGTACTGCCGTCGTCGATCTTAGACATATTGAGCAGGTCCAAATAGACGCGATTACGTTTCAAAGAACGCAAATTCATTTTTTTAAGCGACGTTTTTCACTGCCGTCGTCTTTGCTTAAGGTCCCTTATCAGCAACTAGTAAACGAATGGTTTCATGCTGTCCGAGCGAAGTCGACGTCAGATAAACGTCCATGGATGACATGATAAATCCATGATTATTAAAATTCAACTTTATGTATTTTCAAATTGATATTTCCAACAAACTTTTCGGAAAATATCTGTTCGGAAGTTGATTTGAGATCTAGAATTTTCGGAACATTCGTTGTAAAATTTCTTGCTTGCCTGCCTCTCCTCAGTAGGATTTTCGGACATCTGAAAAAAGGTATAATTGCCCATTTTTAACGTATTTTTACCCGAAAAAGGTCACCTAGAGTTTTCGGGAGCCTTTATTCTGGCTCAAATTTTCGAAAAGGTAAGTTTTGATCCCTATAATTTTCGGATCAATAGACTTTCAGCTAGGAAATAGGAACAGATGAAAAATTTTTAGGGGATAAAAATATGCCTATATCTACCGTTTAAATACTAAAATAGGTTTAACAATGCTATGTTTAAGTGGTTTTGAACTATATTCTAGTAGGGTGCCCCCGTCAATTGGGAAACGGAATAAATAATGTGGAATGTCTTAATATATATTACTTAAAGGTTAAAACAATCTCAGCTTCTCAGTTTCTCTATCAGAGCAGTAATGAAATGATTTAAAATGAATGGTTTAAACTCAAATTAAATGTCACTTCTCAAATTTCTGATACTGTTTTTACATTTTTTAAAAAACTTAAATCCATACTCACGTTTTCGGAAACCCGGTGTGTGGTGATCCACTTTCATAATCAAAAGGTTATGAAAATTTTCCTCATCTAACAACTTAAAGTCGAGCACGAAATTCAGTTGGCAGGCTCCCTTCAATTTGCACACTTAAAGCCTACTCTTCACAGAGACACTTATAAGAGTAGTTCTCCTCGATAAAATAGTACTTTACTATTTTCTAACTCAACTTGACTTTAGTTAACACGGGAACAAGGAGCAATTCATTGCGATTCATTGCGTGCAAGGGAAACAAACCTGCTTAAATTAGGATGTAATATACGTTTTTGCTTCTTAGTGTAATTAATAGTCCCGGAACAAGAATAGATCATTTGAAAAGATTCATTCATAGGGAAGGCGGCGAACCACTTAACCGATATTTATGAAAACAATTACTGACGCGATCAAAGAAAATGCATTAAAAATTATTTCTTAACCACTACAAAAGAACATATCAAAATTCTCCATCAGAAAACAAAACCACAAACCTTTTTCCCTGTCGTTACGTTCGTATCCTTATACTTTGCCTAATATTCCAAAGGAATACTGTAAATTTAAATGTTTCTCCTTTTTTTTAATTTGCCCTCGGAAAGGAAGTACACTGGAAGTAGATAACACCAGTAATAAAAAATAAATAGTGCAAATGGATTGGTTTTTGTTGCATCCTGAAAACAAACACGAAAAGCTTGAATGTCCTGAAGTTTTATTGGGACAGGTTTGTAAAACCCTTAAATTGCTTCAACGATGAATTGATTCAACAGTTATTCCAAGTCTACTATTCTTTTACTAGTTCCATGTGTTGAAAATTGAACTTATTTTGTCCCATCAGCCAGAAAACTGGCTTGCTTATTTCAGATAATTAAGAGTAATATGACATCCAAACGACAGCATTTATAACCTCTCTCTTCTTGGTCACCTGCTATATTTCCTTTCTGAGGCCATGATTAGTATTTAGGTATAAATATATTTGCAATAGAGAGGAAGAGTCGGACGTCACGTTACCATGCTAGCAACATTTCTGGATCACAACAAACCGAAATTAAAACGTCACTTAAAAAATGAATTCGCACTAATTCAAACTTGATCATCATTCATCTTATTCAAATTCATTTAATTTGTCAAATGTCGGCGAAATTACTGGGGCTGAATCCGAAAGGACCGTATCTAAGTTTAGAAAAAGAAGGAGAAAATTTTTGTTTTCACTCACTCCGCCTATAGGTTGACATTAGCAAAACAACAACTTTGCACGTGCATCACGCTTTTTTGTACGCGACATGACACTTCAAATTTCAAGAGCCCGCTTTATATGGATCCATATAAAGCGGGCTCTTGAAATTTGAAGTGTCATGTCGCGGTCGTGTAACGACGGCTAGGAAATGTACAAAAAAGCGTGATGCACGTGCAAAGTTGTTGTTTTGCTAATGTCAACCTAATTGAATTTTTTTTGCTGTTCTCGTTGCCGTCGTCGTCGCTAAAGCTCCATATTTTTGTGAACCATAAAAATTTTGCTGCCATGGTAACGAGATGTCAAACTTCTCTTTTCTTATCAACCTCATCCCAGGCCAGTTCGCGCTACCCGAGTGAGGGGAGGAGGCTTGGAACCGAGCGCGAATTTTCATGACAAGCTAGACAGATGACGTCACCTTCGAAATCGCTGAGAACTCCTGGGAACGAGGCTGAGGTTTTTTTCTCTGAACCTTCTTGTTAGAGCCTGCTAATCTGAAAATTCGAGGATCGAGAGGCGGAATATTTAATGATTTTTTTGAAGCTATTTCCTTACTACTGATGCTGGATTTCAAATCGCCGCGATTAAATTCTACTGAGACGTTACTACGCATTTGTTTCATCAAAGCTGGACTATTGCAATGCTTTACTTATTGGACTTCCAAAATACCAAATAGACAGAGTTCAGTCAGTACTAAATACTGCGGCTCGCATTATAACTTTTACTTGTTAATATGATCATATAACTCCCGTTCTAGTTAGACTACATTGGCTCCCTGTTTCCTATCGTATAAAGTTTAAAGTGCTACTGCTGACTTACAAAGCACTTAATGATTTTTCTCCTGAATACATATCTGAGCTACTTAATAAGCCTACGTATACCCGCAATCTTAGATCTCAGTCTCAACATCTGCTTAGTGTTCCTAAATCCAGAACTGTTACCTATGGAATGAACTGCCTTTTCAGTTGCGCATGTCGTCAAATATACAAGCATTTAAATCAGGACTGAAGACAATGCTTTTTAAAATGGCCTATCTTTAGATGATTCTTCCGCCCCTCTCGAACAGTGGCTGGTAATTTAGCCTAAGTTGCACATAACGTGCTTCGTGTAACATGCAACATCTTATCTTAGAGACCATGCGCTGATGCCCAGAGACAGTTATGGAGACCTGTATTGAAGTTTTCTTTTTGAGGTTATAAGGGAAATCCAACACAGTCATCATTAAAATGAAGAATTTTTAGCGGCACTTTCACTTGGTAGAGTATTTTTACAGGATGAAAATTGATCAGCCCAGTCTTTCTTGCATTCTACTTTTTGTTTACGGCGTAAGGCTCCTTTTACAAAGTTTTTGTTCAACTTCCTTCCTCGTTGAACGAACAATAAGGCAGCAGGTAAGTCTGCAACAAGGTTTCTACGGATTAGTTAAATAGCCTGCAAGGTAGGGGTTATATTGGAGGGCTAATGATAATGTTGGCGATAACGATTATGATCACGATCACGACCACGACTACATTAATAATAATGATAACAATAACGATAATGATAACGATTATTGTCACGATCAGGATCACGATTACAGTAATAATAATGATAACAATAACGATGACGATAATGATGACGATCACGATCACGATTACAATAATAATAAGGATAACAATAACGATCATGATGACGATCACGATCACGATTACAGTAATAATGATGATAAAAATAACGGTAACGGTAACGATAATGATGACGATAACGATAACAATAACGGTAACGGTAACGGTAACGATAATGATGACGATAACGATAACAATAACGGTAACGGTAACGGTAACGATAATGATGACGATAACGATAACGATCATGATGACGATGACGATGACGATTAGCTAATGGTAATAGGACTGAGTGGAGTCCAATTCGGTCTGTTTTCATACGAGTGATTAGCAAAATCGGACGACCGCGTAGCGGGAGTCCGATTTGTTTAATCACGAGTATGATTACAAACCGAATTGGACGACACGAAGCTCTGTTACCAATTAATCATAACTTTAACAAAATTTGTGACATAATAGGCTATTTTTTATATCAAAACACAAGAAATTCCGAGATTTTTATTGCTAGCAGTGAAAAAAAAAAGCCATTTAAGCGCGCGCGTGATGGCGCGTACTGTCCAATTACTTAGGCAAGACGCGTACTGTCCTATTAAACTGTCCAATTAAGGCTGAAATCAGGGCAGTTGATAGCCAATCAGATTTGACAATTTTGTTATAGTTATGATTACAATAATAATAATGATAACAATAACGATCATGATGACGATAACGATAACGATAATGATAATGAGGGATAATTAACAATTAATTAGCTGAGTATCTTATGAAGAATTATGGAGATCGAGGAGGGTGTAACACCCTCCGAGATCTCCATAATTCTTCATATGATACGAAAGCCGAATTCAACAATTGTTTTATTATTCATTCAAAATAATTCCTACTTTAAAAACATGGCTAAAACATGCTAACCTCCATCGATCTATCGATGTAAAATTCATCTTCGATAGTGCACGTTTAGGTTTGTCCAGCTCCGCAAATATTCTCCAAATAGCAGATACCGCTCTTTGAGCTGTGTTCTTGCTGTTCTTACCATTTTTAGCTATATTTTGGCCTAGTTCTTACTCTTGAAACGAGTGAAATGTCCGCCATTTTTCAAGTTCACAATAAAAACAACTCAATCTCGTCCCCAGGTCTTCTTGGTTAACGGTGCCTTAACCTGCGAAAACGCTGCATTTTTGACGTCATTTCCTCTTTAAACACAAAATTCTTCCAAATTTGGTCATCAGTAACTGGTTATGGTGAATTAAACGTGCGCTTTTAGCCAATCAGAATCGGGAAAATATTTTGAATGAATAATAATGATAATTATACTGATGATAGTACGAAATCATCACACATAAGGAATCAAAAGGTGCTTCCAGTTATATATTACCTTTTCATACGACACTCTATCGAAGATCCAGTAGCTAAATCCTGGTCTGTCAACAATGTTGCTACCAAACCCCAACAGTTCACAAATTTTGTTCTCTTTCATAGTCTCTAGGTTAAAGCCGTAGCAGCCAGGCTCTCGCAAACAGTAGTCGCTGCATTGTAAAGCGGTGATGACCTTGTGCCAAATAATAACTTGACTGTCTAAAGCCTTGTCTGTAATATTGTCTCGCAAGTTCCGAAAATCATTCCGAGAGCAAGATGAGGCAGTTCTTTGAAATGATCTGGATTTTGGGCTGGGTTGTTTCAACTTTTCAAGAGCTAAACAATCAGTAAGGAAAAAATACATGTGGATGTCACAAAAGAGCTAGAGATCCACAAATCTGCATTCCTATGCGAGGAAAATTGAGATTAACGCGTATATATGCATTATATGTGACAGAGGAACAACACTGCTCTGTCCCGCCGCTGGTAAAAACTAAACGCCGTCAAACAGTGCAGCCACAGTGTTAATGAATGGGACCCTACCCCCAGAAGGGTCTTAATTTGAGAGTTCAGTTTTGCCATCAGCATCTTAGCCCCTTTTATATGGGTCCCCCCCCCCCACCTCCTCCCTCTCCGTATTTTGTCTGTTCCAGGCGTTAAGAGTGAGGGGTACAGAGCAAAAAAAAACCGAAAAAAAATAGAAAGGGAGTCAGGGAGAGCAGCGAATCTCTTTCTCTTCTTTTGTCTCCTCAGTCTGCCGCTTCTTTCTCCTTTCCGCTTACTGAGGTGCCTTGCAAGTCTGGAACGCTAAAATATAATGAGGTATCAACTGAAATAATGCCAAACCAAGCCTCACGTGCAAACCACTTAATGGCTCGAGAAGTGTTATAGAGAATTGGAAGATACTGTGCAACGCAGAAGATCGATTGATTTTTACAAAGTTTATCAAAGTGTGCGTTGAAAAGGTACGAAAATCCAGTTGCTTTAAACAACTGGGGAAGACGAAGCACCTTGATCAAAACGTCTGGATTTTCGAACCAACGTACATTTTGATAAACGTTGTAAAACACTTAATGGATCTCCGAATTATGTACTTACCTTTAAGTTTAGATATGTTGAAACAGCTGTGAGGCATTGGAGTATGTTTACAGCATTCTTTGGCGTTAGTACATACTCGGCTGGCTGGACTGAATCCATTGCAGTATACCCAGTCACCATCAAAGGAGCCATCGAATTCTACACATTCTATTGTTAAAAGATAGAACAGATCTTTTGATAGAACTACATAAGTCGATCTCCCCGCTATTCCAACTAAGTCCTATTTCCTTGTATTTCACCCCATTTTACTCGGTTGACACGAACTCGATTAACTCGAATTCCCCGCTAACTCGAACTAAATGTTCTTTCCCTTGATCAAAATTTCACTGAAATTTACCTCGATTACTCGAATTCTGGCTCTTGTTACCCCACTCTGATACCATTTCATTAGCTCTTCGTGTTGTATGCTCGGTAAAAACACTAAAACTAACCCTACTTTTAACTGGTTCAACGAAAGGACAGAAAAGAACTGGGGCACTTGAAAGAAGATTATCCAACCATAAGGTTTTTTTTTTTGCAAAAAGGACAAGCTTCAGCTATGCAACCGTTGAAAACCTTAAAACCTTTTGAAATTACCTGTCATCTCAGGAAACAGCCCTCAAATTTACGAATGTTGTTGGTCCGCTCGCAAGAAAAAAACTTTAGAATCTGTTGTTTTCAAAAAACGTTGTGATTGGATGATCTTCTTCCAAGTGCCCCGGTTGCCGTAAACCCGCCTTGATGCAGCAATACTTAATTTAAGGGTCTAGATAATCTCGTACCCAGATCTCCCACGGCCAAGGGAAAACAGAGTGAGATCTGGGTACGAGATTAGGGTCTAGATTGGAGACATTGACATTTGCGGCGAACCTTTTCGAAGAAGGAAATCGTTACCTGGAATAACTGGATCCGCGCTCGGTCTGATTTTCTGTGGTAGTATTAGATGTATTACAGTCAAAAAAATCCAAAACAGCATGTCTCCGTTTCCTGGTCGAGAAGAATGGTACATATGACATTTAAATAAAGAATAATTTTGTTCAAACAATTTCCTAAAAAAAAGCAAATTCAAATACAGCTTGAAAATTATGATCTTCCAAATTCTAGTTTGTGATAGGTGTTACATTTTCATTTTAGTTGTAAATCTCACGACAAAATCTTGTTGGCACTCATACTCAACAATTACGACTAAAACCCGAAATCAGTATCTGCCGGTAAGAAGCTATGGACATGAATCTTAAGTTATATAGGGCCTTTTGCTGTAACAAGGAGTAATCAATATTCAGTGAGAAACTTGATATGAAACTTTTTCGAAGATCAATTACCTCGAAAACGATGTACTAAAACAATTCGGCTTCGCTTTAGACTCAACCACTTTAATGGCTTCGATTCGGTGTCTGAAATTCGAATGAAATACTGTACTGTCGCAATTTGTAATAATCATCCCACTTTGCAACACCTATTGCAATTTGTAATAAATCCATCGCACTTCGTAATACCTGTCGCAATTGTAATAAACCGTGTCGCACTTTGTAATAAAAAAGCTGTCGCAATTTGTAATAATTCCATCGCACTTTGTCATAATTTGTTGAGAGTGATTCAACTTACTCCGTCAACATTAAAATAATGCCAAAATATGAATTATTATCCTTTCCATTTTGTGGAAAAAAAGTTTGAATCCTGAACATACTCGGAAGAATTGCAAGGTCTTGCGAGTTGTACGCACACGGTATTTGCTTTATTAGAGGGCTCTATAGAAAAAAATTGTTTTAAGATGGAATGAGTACTTCCTTTGTTCCTATATGGGACCAAATCGTGACAGAATAATGGACCAAATGGCCTGCCAGCTCAGTGTATGACCCCAAGTGAGTTTTATAAAAACACAGGTACATACATAATTGGATTTTGTGTTTATGTTTTTGTTGTGGTTCGACCATTTGCCAGTGATGACGTTTTTGTTTATTTGCAGTTAACATTTTGAATTTTTCCTGGCCTCGTCTGATCAAGTTTTCCAAAGTAAGGAAACAGCTATTACTTCTTTTAAGATTGCGCGTTAGACAAGGACGGTGTTGTGTCGACCTGTGATAAGATCTAAAAAGGAAAGCTTGAACTTTCCTGGTGTCCTTATTCAAATGACGTAAAGATGGATGTTACGATTTGTGGAAATTAAATTCTTTTTAATAATGACTCGTTTGTGTCTTGTGTGTCTAGATTCTGTACTCTGACAATGCTCTGTCCAGTGGCACATCCCCGTATTGGCCATATAAGGGAGTACGCCCCCCGGGGAACCATTGTATGCGAACCATCCTTCATGTTGACAATACCCTAAAGAACAACTGACAAAATTATTTGATGTTTTAATTATGTCCCTGTTTTCGTATGGAATTGAGATTTGGGGAACGGCATATCAAGGTAAATACCTTGATCGCATTGACAAGTTTTTTAAGCGAGCGTTCAGATTCGGATCACCACCAACAACTTGGAGTGTATGCAATAGCTGAAGTTATCAGAAATCTAGACTGTAAGCTATGGAACACTATCACGGATACTCCTTCCCATCCCCTTTACCAACTATTACCCCCTAAGAAACAGAGATTTTTGCGAAACAGAGGACACGATTTTATTTTACCTGATGTTAAAACAGAACTCTTTAAGAGATCTTTTATTAATAGGTGTCTTTTTTAAATTTAATTTTATCTAATTGTACTTGATCTTAAATAGATTGCATTGTCATGTATGTAAAGCCACACGTATGTTGTGACTACCCAACTATGAATAAAGACTCTTATTATTAATATTTTATATTAATATTATTATTATTATTATCTAGTCCAATAGCAAGGTTTAAAAATACAGAATTTCGTAAGTCAGATAACTAATCAACATTAATTTAAAAAAAATACTTAGGACCGTGAATAAAGTTAAATGGCGTGAATGAGCGGAGATACGTTGTAAATTATATATAAGCAATTTGTAATTTACGTGCTTGCAGACGTCATCACCTTTGTTTATGAAGTACCATTCATATTTTGGAATTATATTAATGTTGACAGAGTAAGTTGAATCACTCTCAAAAAGTTATTACAAAGTGCGATGGAATTATTACAAATTGCGACAGCTTAGTTTATTACAAAGTGAGATGGATAGTTATTACAAATGGCGACAGCTTTCTCATTACATGAAGTGCGACACGGTTTATTACAAATTGCGACAGGTATAACAAAGTGCGACGATTATTACAAATTGCGATAGTACAAATACCCCAGGCCTTTTATTGTTAAATTAATGTAGAAAGCCCCGAACCATTCATTTGAAATAAAAGCCTCGTGTAATGAGACATTCTCTTTGCGCCCTGTTTATTATGCTGTTCTCTGGAAGAGATTTCATTTTTGCAAAAACCGGGAAATTTCAAGTAAATGGGAATCAATGAGAACTTCGGTTTGTGTAATGCGCAAAGCAGTTGTATAGCCTATGTGAACGATACAAAATGCAATAAATTAGGACCATGCAATCTATGGAAGGCAAAGATCCAGTACTGATTTCTTTTTCATTATTATTATTTTGAAATAAATTTCAGGGGCACCCAACAACGGTTTCGTTCTAAATACATTGAAAACACTTGTAAGGCTATCCAGAGTACTTTTAGATCTCTAGAAAAGCATTCTAGCTAAGAGTTACCGTTATTTAAATTTGTATCTGTTCGGCCATCCTGGGGAACTTGAGCCTTTTCGAAATTACAAGGGCTTGAGTATTATTTTCCCGAAAATTTTAGATGAAATATTACGAAAGATGAAGTATTACGAAAGGGAGACATTTTCTAATTCCTCTCTCCATCACATTTTTGAATCCAAAAAATATTTTAGGTTTCCTTTTTTTTTATGAAAAATAGCCTAACTTTGGACGTAAAATGCGACAATCGTGGGGAATTTACTAGATAAGCTTTGAAAATTGTACATGAAGGAAACAGCCTTATCTAGCCGTCGTCAAGTAATAGAAAATTCTAGGCAATATCTGCTTCTCCGAACAGATACTGTAAAGAAGACAGTCTTTGGGTGCCCCTGAAATTTTACATCTCGAGCTTCAATCTGGCGAAAACACATGCACGACCACTTACAAAGAGTGAGTCGAGAAACACATACCTTATTTTTGCTTTTGTTTTTTGCTTTCCTGTATACAAGAGACTATATAGATCGGCTTATTTGACTCAGTCACTCGTCGAGCTTTTGCCGATACTCTGCGGATTCTCTACAAAAGAAGGTGATATTATTCGGAACTTTAGAGTTATGAAGAGAAATTTAGAAAGAGTGACGCATGTTGAGAAAAACAAGAACAAGTATGACAAGTTATTCTTTATTGGTCAGTTTCTTTCAAATCTGTCCTCAATTAGGCTCAATGAACTTTCGGTGACTGGTTAGTTGTCTGTTAGACTTCAAACAGAACGGTTCTTTTTTAATTAAATCGCTGTATAGCTGATCGAACACTGTTGACTTTTTAATCTTATCTTAGTAGCTCGAACATATTAAAGCCCATAACAAGAGATTGTTGGTCGCCTGGTTACTGCGTGCTTAAATGTTAAAAGAAAACTTTACTCAATATGCCACGTAACGCAGAGATGTAAGGAAAGTGTTGCCGCCCTTTTGAAAGTTTATTGTCGATTATTACTAAAGCATGACAGTTTATTGTTTTACCAAGGACGAACGGGTTATCTGATTACAAAGTGTGACAGTTATACTTAATTCACAAAATTCGAAAGTTTTATTACAAAGCATAAATCAATTATTGCGACGAAACAAAATCTCTTTTCTGGAAGAGTGACCGTTATTGCAAAGTCTGATAGGAATTACAAAGGGCAGCACTTATTATGAAGTGCGAGAGAACCGAATGCACTAATGTTTCAAATAAAATTTACAGAAAGAAATCGCACCTGTTGTCGCTTTCTTTTTTTTGCAAATTGACTGCAGCGACCGTTTTGAAGTTGTGCAAGGAGCATTTTCCAACGGAAAAGCCTTGGGGACGAGATAGAGTGGAGAAGTGTGACGTCACGTTACCATGGTAGCCAAATTTCTGGATCTCAACCGATCCTTCTTTACAGAGACGGCCATTTGCATCATCGAACGATGGAAGATCATGCAATAATGCACGGGAAAGTCATACATTTCATGCCATACATGTTCGTTTTTTCCTGGCAAATTTGCAAATTTTCATTTCCTCTCTATCGTGCAAGGAGCTGTATCACGGTCATCTTGCGAGCTGACTTTGACGCGACCGTGCGTCTAAGAGAGGTAATCGCCTTGGAGAGTCAAGAAAACAAAAAACAAAACAAAACAAGCTAAACTGCTGCAGTGCACAACTCTATGGCGTTTTAGACTGCAGGTGTTCGTCTTGACAGCTACTCGGAATGAAAGGCACAATATAGGCAAGTGGGGCTGTTAGCACTTCAGCTGGTACTTGTTGACACAACTTTTACAAGCACGATAGTGGCACATGATAAGGCAATCCAACTGGTTTCTTAATTTTGTGAACTTTAACAATTCCGGTTTCCAATCGTTAGCAGGATTCGGAATCCCTTGAACTGAATTCCGGATTCCAAAGCTCAGGATTCTCGGATTCCAAAAGAAAAAATTTCCAGGATTCTGGAGATTCCCTGGATTCCGGAACCCGGATTGTCTTACATGATGGGGCGAATCATTGAAAGTCACTGTGAAGTTTTGTTTTCCAATTAATTTTTGACGCCTTTCCATTGTCTCAGACCTGGTTTCATTTGTTGCGTTTTGGCAGGAGCCGATTACTTATCGGCTCCTGGTTTTGGTCATTTCTGATATGCTTGCTGTTTGGTTAGAAAGACGTCATAAGCCTTTTTAAAGCAGGCATGGACGCGGACGTTTCACAATTTTTACTGGAAAGACAAGCAATAAAAACAAACAAACAAACAAACAAATGGTAGTTCTGGGTAGTTCTACCGTACGGTGCTTGGGTCAGCAATATTGTCTTTTATTGTTTAGTATTCTTGAATGCCATGTTTATTTTGCTTTTATATTGATACAAAGATTAATTTGTTTAAAGAACATTCCGCCGTCACTAACAATCACAATCGAGGGATGCATTTACATGATAGTTTAAAGGCCTGAGACGCCGGTTTCTAAAGGCCGCTTAGAATGAGAAACAGTACTTGTATGTTATGTATGAAGTAAAAGGTGTCTATTCGTTCAAAGTTACATTGCTGTTTTGCCAATAACACGACGTTATTCGACGTCTTATTGTGTTAACGATGAGGCCACTGTGAGTTTTGATTATCAGGGAAGCAACTTCAATTAAACTTTCAAATGGTGGTACTAAAGGTTTGAAATAATGAAAAACGAGTTTCAGTGTAAAGGTAAGATATTATAAATGAAAAAAAAGATGTAATATTTAGGAGCAAAGGTGGCACAGTTAGTGCGCGACCTTCGATAAAGGTTCTGAAGCCGGTTCTCTCTTCGTAGTTGTGTGCGCTTGATGTCTTGGCAGCTTTTACCTTACATTCCCACATTCCTTCGAGTTGATAATGATTCAGTAAAGAAAACTAAAGAATCCGCGATGCTCATTTCTTTGGTATAATAAAATAGGCATGCTGATAGTCCAGGGACAGCCTACACGTAGAGAGATCGTCTTCTGGAAGGTCGATCATCAAGAAACAAAATGTTTGAGACAAATAGTAATTGCAAAATCCTTAATCTCTACGCAAGACAAAATGGCATCATAAAGGTCGTCCGCCAAATGATCATGAGTTTTTCAAACGAAGCCGTTCTTATGCAACGTTCCAATCAAAAATGTTAATCAACGCGTTCTATAAAAATCAACAGATAGGGCCGGGAGAGCGTCTTGGAAACCAAACCGCTTTTCAAGTTATGCCACCCTCCACACAAAGCGATGATAAAAGCCATTGATGTACGTAAACTGTACTGCAAGGCAACCCATCCTACAAGCTTGATTCCAGTGGCTTGAAATCAATGATTCAGTGATGTTGTTGAGTCTCTCTGGGTCGAGCCCAGGAGTCAAAAGCTTCTTAGACCATGCGTTTACCAGATCAAAAGCTTCTTGCTCACTTAAAGAAGTGGAAATTTCAACCAGTCGGTCTGGACCAGGGATGTTGTCATACCAACGCGATAGCATCCACTCGCCGTAATGCTTTTCCACTGCAAATCGAGACATGTTTAACACCAAAAAATCTCGGCAGATAACAACGCTGCGAGGTTGACCTATTTCTCGCGCGTTGTGTTCCCGGGAGCTTGAATGTTTTTATTTTGAAATGTTTGCCATTTTCCGAATTTCTGTTCGTGAAACCACTCATCAATCGGCCGAATATATATCGATTAGTTCACCACCATAACTTAATAAAATGTGCTATATGGTGTGTTTAATCACCAAAATGATCGATTTGTCTTCGTGCTTGTTTTCTTAATAGCAAGTATGCTGTCTTGCATAAAATTATTATGTATAAGCGTCATGCTCATAAGGTTACGTTTTGACTACTAAAAAATTTGCTTCATAGAATTTTATTCAAGATTCCTAGATAGAAATGAAACTACTAAAATAAAATGTTCACTTGGTTTAAAGTGCACTACTCAAATCCGCGATTGGATATCGAAGTTTGGAAAAGTTACAAGCGTGACAAAAAGCGCGATATCTCGCGTGCACCTCGAATCTCCTCTCTATCTCTCTTATGTCTTAGTTTCCCCTCCGACGAGGTCCTTCTTGAGTCAATTGTAGGCTACGAGAAGGAAACCGGGGAAAAGACAAAATAAAGCGCGCGGAGCGCGGAAAACGATGTGGAGTGAAATGGAAAAAGAACTTGTAAGCAGGCAGTTATGTCATCTACCACCAATCTACCGGTTTGTCGTCTGGGAAGTGCCTCGTGAAATTAATTCAGTCAAATCACTTATATTTCAAAAATCTCGACCGTCTTCCCTATCACAATTTAACACATGCGTAGGGATAAATAGAGACTAGAGGTATATTTAATTTTAGGCAAATCAGATTCGGGAACTAATCGAAAGGGGGGAGAGTTATTAAAGGCTGGGATCTAAAATATACGGAACTTAAGTACTAAGGGACTCTAACTCGCGCAGTTTTCCCGAAGAATGCAGGGTTTTTCGGCTTTTGGGCTGGAGCCTGGAGGGAGTGGTTAAGGAAAAACGAAAAAAAAAAAACAACAACAACGTCAACAACAAAAACAAAAAACCGGACAACAACAACAATCACAATACTGTCATCATGTATATTCTCACCTTCAAACTGCGAACTTCGTGCAAATAATTTATATGTACAGATAAAAAGTAAGACATCCCTCGAGAAGGAATAGTTTCCTTCTGAGTTCCTACCAGACATAAAAGTGAGAAAATAAGGATACACATACAAATAAAAAAGAATCAGCAAATAATATGTTCCAACATTCTTACGGGGAAACTGGTAAAACAAACAATATGTCTACCTCAGTCGATTACTTTGGGTCTATTTACCCGTTGTCTCTAAATTATAATCTTAATTCTCCCTACAATATTAATGAATTACACCGCAGGCAAGTAAGGAGAAAATCAATACAGAATATTGGGATGTAGTTGATTAATAACTTAACAGCCCTTAAGTTCGTGTGCATAATATAATCGAATTTATCAAAATCTTAAATGTTAAGAGAATTTATATTTCTATTGGATAGACTTTCGCCATCCCTAACAAACCCCCCACATATCCAGACTTGTTAACTTTATCACCAAACATCGTTTGTGAAAAAGGCCATTTCAAATTCATACTTCATCACATCAGTCCTCTCTTTTCACCTTTACAGCATGACAGTGTATTTGTCAACAAAGTGGTCCGATGTTGACATGGCAAAAAGTCTATTTGTAGAGAGGGTCGTGGTAGTAGATATTTGAAAACGTCCATAATCTTCCAATAAGGCTATGATGAAACATGCTCCATATAGCCTATTTCCAATCCAGCAAGGGGCTCAATCTTTGAATCATCTCTTTGATCAAGTGACGCCTTGGGATAGATATGTTGTCCAGCTTTTTGGTACATCCCACAGCGGCCCGAGACTGATGATGCGTCCCTCCACGTGATTTCAGCGATCACATGAAAAACAGCACTTGGAAAAAAAAAGTACAGACATTTACAGTGTCCAGAACAAGTACCAACTCACTGCTGTACGCCAAAGTATGGGTTAACAAACGAAAATCCTTTGAATTGTCCCTGATCCATAGACTGAAGCAAATCTTTGTCGGTTGGCGTAAACTGCGGCACGTCCATGGTAAAGTCAGGATCAAAGTTCTTGGTGTCGTGATCCGACGCCTAAGAGAGGAGAAAAAGAAAACACTTCGCTCAAAAGAGGTGGCAGTCTTCTCCGAAGCAAGTTGTAGGGGTTCAGATAACGTATTTCTATGTTGTTGTCTGTTGTTAAGAGTTGTTGCGCAAAGTTCGAAACCGGTCAAACTACGTGCAAAGGGATGCAACAACTCCCAACATTGTTTTGCACGTAGCTCTAGGAAACTCGGACATCATAGCTTATTGATTCAAACGCTGATCTTCTCAATTTTTTTGAAGGGTTTAGGTTCAGTACTTAAAGGGAACCTCCACTCTTACTACAGAATAAGTTTAAATCGAATAAAATTATGTTGATAAACAAATTTGTTCGAAATTTGTCTTAAAAAAAGTGTTTATATCAGGAAAAGTGAATTTTAAAATCGCTTATTTTCACTTTCAAATTTCGCGGGCGCCGCCATCTTGAATAATTGTGACGTGTTACGGTTGCTGTATTGTTCTGACACAAAGAGCTTTTGTTTAATAACAATAGGGCAACCATTACACGTCACAATTATTCAAGATGGCGACGCCCGCAAAATTTGAAAACAAAAATAGGCGAAACTAAAAGTTATTTCTTTCGGATACAAACGCTTTCTTTAAAAATATTTTAGATTGACTTGACTGTAACAGTTATTTCCTGTGATTTAAAGTTATCTTTTGTTGAAGTGGAGGTTCCCTTTAAAGAGATAGACGTTTGAACTGGGCTTAGCGTAGAAATTCACTCACCACTGACGGTTTGAATGGAGGGTCTATTTTCCTCTGTTCTAGCTTTGTCCAGTTGATGCGCTCGAAAAACTTGTGGTTGCGGATGTTGGGATTTGTGCCATTTCTGTAACCTAGCCTTTCCACTGGAGCTCTTTCAAACAACTGCAGATAAAAAGGACACTGATTCTGAGTAAAGCGATTACGTTAATGTATAGTTTTAGAGCGATTTTCTTTAACCTCGACTAAATGTTTGGTATTCTAGGGCTGCTTAACATTTACGCCAAAACTCCGAGCGAGATCTTTAGAAAGTCCTTTCATTGCACTCTGTCTGAACCAAAGACAATGCTGCCTCACATTTTTCTCTCTCTTGGTTCCAGCCTTTTTGAATTTAACAGAGCCAAATAGCGATTCAATGTGCGGGGGGCTGGTTAAGTGACTACTGGGTACCCCAAACGCATTTTCCCAGCGCGTTTTACAACGTGCGTAAATTATCTGACAAAAGGCAACGCCATACTCGTCCGTGTTTTGTCCAAACGCACTGGTTTCGTGAAGAAGAAGTCACAGCCATTCCCACGTTTCATATTTAACGCATTTTCGTGTACTGCGTCGCTTGAAGCGCCGTTAATAACTGAAAGTTGTCAATAAACTGCAAACACGCCTGGTATATCAGGACACGCCCAGTCTAGTATGCCACGCAGTCTTGAGGTCTTGTACCTACCTGGCTCAACACGTCTTCTGCGGAGCTTGATATCCATTTTGGATAATGAACTTTGTCGCGGCAGATGGAATCGAACAAATCTTCTTCATCTTCACCGGCAAAAGGAGACTGGAGAAAACAAAATACAACGAACAACACGAGTCATGAAAAGTTAAAAGAGACGAGTCGCGAAATGTATCAAAATTCAAACAGCGCGAACTGGCAACAAATTGTATGAAACATCTAAGTAACTGCTTAAAACATGAAAAAGAGGGTGTAAATAACAGCAAAATACAAAAGGAGGCAAAGGTGGAAGAACTTGAAGAAGGTTGGAACGGATTGCAATTGTGGTTTTTGAAAACTCGTTAGCCTAACAGTTTTTCAAAGTTCATTCTTGATGTTTTTAACGTTAATACAATGCTTGGGGGACACTATAAAACCGAACACTTACTTTAGCGTCCTTGTCCACAATTTTTATCACCTTTAAGTTGCAGATTCATATTATAAACAAAATGTGAGCTTTAACCCTTTATGCCCCAATAGTGTCCAAAATCAATTTTCTCCTAACGATATCCATAGATTGTCAAGAGCAAAGTCTACGAGATCTTTGATCTTTTATCAAATTCTCTCAACTAATTCTTCAAGGAATTGTATGGAGATCAGTTTGGAGAATTTGTAAGTGGATATCGGGGCTTAAAGGGTTAAGGGAATATTGTTACGAGCTCAGTAACTGTTAGACACACGGAAGATCTTGGCTGGTTACTTCTCTTTCTCATAATTTAAAAGCTCCTTTTCAGGTTGGCATTACTGTCAGCGGCATGAAGGTACCTGTGAATAGTTTAAGACAATGTGATAATACCTGGCCAATCAGCATCTCGTATACAAGAACGCCAAAGGACCACCAATCAGCTGCCGAGTCATATTTCCATCCCTTTAAAATCTGAAACATATACAAAGTACGCAAGTGAATTTTAACAGAACAGTGCCTATACGCCTTAACAGCCGTTGTTCTTCCGGCCCAGGCTGAACATTCTTATTTTTCTACCGACATTAGGCTGAAAATATTACTGTATTATAATCCTTAAATTATGGCTTATGACATTGCGGAATCCGTTTTAGAATGCATTGGGACGTATCAATTACAGTTATACGGTCAAGTTAAAAACATAGAATTGTATTGTACACATTTTCAAAACAAAATTAAATCCTATTCAAACTGTCAGTCTCGGGTTTATTCGTAAAATATTCTTAAAATTTCGCAAATTGCAGCCTTGATATTCGTATAAAAAGAAAATTGTGTAAATCGAAAAATTTTGTTGGCATACCTCCGGTGAAATGTAATCAGGTGTCCCACAGAACGTTGTCGCTTTCTTGGACTCTAGAATACCTTCCTTGCACATACCAAAGTCGGCTAGTTTTATGTGGCCGTCTGAATCCAGCAGAACATTGTCAAGTTTTAAATCTCTGAAGGAAGAGAGCAGATTTAACCGTGTATGAGCTTAAAGCTACCAGAGACCTTCAGAGGGTTCATTTATTGTGAGGTGGGGATACCCAAAGCAACTTTAATGTCGCTTATTTGATTTGCTCTCGAGTTTCCGGGCTCAGTTTATTAAACATACGCGTCGGGTTTGCACCATATTCAACAACGAAGAAAATATAGCCTATTTTATAAATAAGGCTAAAAGGTGGAGCTGCCAAGCAGTAAAACCTCTCAACAAAGAGTTTTGTTTTTGCCCTTGTGATTGGATAAAAATTCTCGCGCCACTTTCTCGACCAACCACAAATTAAACCAAAACCAACCGCGAAGCAATTTCCCGCTCTTTTTCTACAGATCTGATTGGTTAATTGGATCATCAACATCTCTTGGGATTTGCTGTCACAATATTCAATTAAAAAATTCCTCTATTTATCACGTCCATTAAAACAAACCTGTAAATAATTCCTCGATCGTGTAAAAACTCCAAACCGCAAACAATTTCAGCTGCATAGAATCTGTGGGGGGAAAATGCAAAATAATTAGCCGATGATACAGAAAACTACTGGTCAGTAGGTGTTGTTTTAAATTGCGGAAGAATGGAATCTCATCCGGTTAGACAGTTAGAGAGCCTAATAGTCAGGTCTCTTAGGGTCAGGATCGTTACAGAGTTGACAAAAGCACCAAACTTTGCACAGCGATAGCTTATTGCAGTACCATGAATATTAGAGGGGGTGCCCACTGCAAATATGCCACTGAAGCGTGCTAAACAGGATTTAATTATTGCAAATTTCACCTGCTGGGGTCCCTGTGGTGTTTTGATTGAAAATTGTTATTTAATACCTTAAATTACTCTGAATTCTATTCTCACGTTGTAAACAACAATTTCACTCAAACACCTGGCATTCCCATCCTTTTTTGCTTATTGATTGTATAATTAAGTTGATTATTACTCTGCCCTTGAAGCAAGTCCACAGTCCGCCCACATTTTCATAAGTCATTTCTAAGATGGCCTCGTCTTTGCTTCATAACTTGCAAGTACTCAGCTTCTGGGGTCTCTTCTCCTTTTCTAATGTATTTCAATTAGAGAAGGCCTTATTGTGTGGCTTAAGCCTTATTTATCAAGTATTACTTGTCATTACATGTCACTTTAAGCTGAAGAAAGCGTATGGCATAGCGATTCACACACAAAATTTCAGAAAAAAGAAATTGTCAAAGAGTCTGTTGTATCACATATTATCAGGGATTTATGACAGCTATTCATGAAGAGCAAATAACGAAATGACAGAACCCAAAATAGTTCTTTCCTAGGGAGGTAATTAATTTTTCAGCTTAACATAGGCCTGGGTGCCTTTCAGTCTCTCTTTATCCAGTTATCTGCTGGACGCAAGTGCATATTTTGACAGAGAAGCAAGCACCGTGGCACAAGTCATATCATTTACAATTTCCGCAGTTTGTCTAAGCTTTACAAAGCAAAAACAAACAAAAAAAATCTGGTCTCGTAAACGAAAAGAAGAAACAAGTTAGCCTAAGCTTCAAAAAACAGCACAGTTTATCATGAAGCCTTTACATTTGGCACTGAAGCACTCATGTCCAAAAATAATGACAGCTTATGAAGTCGTAATAGTGAGACTCAAGTGGTACAAGATTGACTCAAATGATAAATGGTGAATGGTTTAGCTGCTGAAACTGTAGGAAGGGGGCCGGGCTAACTTTTAGGGCCTGTTTACATGGAGGAGGGGGACCCCAGGTAGGAATGGTAACCCACTTAGGTAGGTAACCCGCTTGTCCATATAATCTCTCATTTTAATTTGATCACGTTTACATGATAGGTGGGGTCACCCTTCAAGGTGGGTAGCCCGGTCTGCCACACCAGGTAACCCTCTCAGCTGAGGTCAAATTTTGCCATGTCAACGTTTCAAGATGAGGAAACCCAGGCTAGTCGGGGTCGGATTCGTGACACATCAAATTCGCGCAAAATTCACTTTGGCGCTGGGTGGCTTCACATAATTATTAAAGGTAACAATAGAAAGCCACAACACTGAAGGTTGCAGCAAGAGCACCAATTGAGCGTAGACGTGGTTTGCCAGCATTTTTCTTGTTTACATGCTTAGCGACCATTCAATAATCTTGAGAAACTGCACCCCAGGATGGCGGGGTTGTAAGACTGCATGTAAAGGAGGGTTATTTTTTTTACCCCACCTAAGCAGGTTACCTCACCTACCTGGGGTCCCCCACCTTTATGTTAACAGGCCCTAAGTCTCAGGAACCGTGAAACTGGTAATAAACGGGATACCTAACCCGGGACGAGCTGTGATACTACCGGCCATCTTCAAGAATGTCAGCATAGCAGCCAAAGAAGCCATTATATCGGTGTAAAACGAATATTAGATTGCGGTTGTTTCATGCGTCTCGTTTTGTGACTTTTTCTCTGTTCGTTTTTGTCACCATCTCTAAATATCAATCATGTTCAAAACACCCCTACTAACAAAATATTTCGTAAAGCTCTTTAGAATGATATTCAGCAATAAAAACAAGGTGTTACAGGTGTCTAGGCATGCAGGGACCTCATACACTTCTTTTTAAGGTCTCGGTAAATTAAAATTTTAGTACATTGCTCGATTTTGGTTTTTTTGGATTTTTGGCATGAGGGAGTCCTAAATTTTATTTTGGCAGAAAAAGAAAATCAGAAAGTGCTTTTTAACCCTTCTAAAATGAGCCTTTTCTGAGCTAACCAGCCAAGCGTGGACCTCGCGCTAAATCTTTAGAGCTGATTTTCTCTCACTCTATTTTAGACGCAAAAATCAAAATTCTCCGATCTCCAGTCGGGACAGGTTTTAAGCTATAGCTTTGAAACTTTCAGATATGATGGATAATGATATAGACTCAAAATAGGTGTGAGGAATTTTCCGATTTCCCTTTGTAACTCATTTTATGTCAGTTTCTTTGCGTAAATCGCGCTCGAGATTCGACTTTTTAGTTTGAAATGCCATAATTCCGCTAATACGAGACAAATGCAAATTTCCTCACACCCTTTTTTAGGTCTTTTATCTGTCAATCAGACGCAATAAAAAGGAAGCGAATATTTAACAACGCGAAAGGGCTGGAGCTTCAGCAGTAAACTCGATACCTCTGAGTTCGAGAGCAAAAAACTTAAGCACCTTTTGAAATTCGATGAAATAAAATCTTTTATAAGGTAATTTAGTCTTTTAGCTTTAACTTGATATATAACTTGCCTTTGTAGCGAAAATACTCGCGCGACTAGAATTTTTTTCTGTGGGCACCTCGTTTTCCTTTACCGAGACCTTAAATGCAAATGTGCAAAAAATAAAGAGTGTTAAAAATTCCTGGAGAGGCATGTTTTACAACCTCGTCCCCAGGGCTTAATAAAAAGGTAGAAAAAGGTAAAGCGACCATATCTTACGTCAATAACTCGTGACAGTAATAATAAGTGATAAACTTGAGGTCAACGGTGCGCTCCTTTTACCCCCTCTCTCCATTAATTCTCCGTTTTAGGGGTATTTAAAGCTAGTCAAAGTTACACAGAAAAAAGAGAAGTTGAAATAAGGAGGTGTTGACATCGGGCTCGAACCCGGGACCTCTCGCCCCGAAGGCTGCGCACTAACCAACTGTGCCACCCTTGCTCCTCCTTTTCCCCCTGAGGACGAGGTTGACACGTTTTAATCATTATCTCAAGGACAGGGTTACCAACGAAGCAAATTATAATGTAATCTTAGCTGCACAATTACAAAGTGGGCGCGTTGTCAGTTACGGTTCATGAGGTCGTTCATGTGGCATGTCAAACTTTAACGATTCTGTCGTTTAGGATGTGATACATTTGCGTTTTATGTTATTGTATGACATCTTTGAAAGCTGGCTTTGTGATCTGTTTAAATTGATATGTAATGATATTACCACTGGCAAGTCTTAGCAGTGACACTGATAGCCGCACAGTCCGCACAATGAACATGGCCACACTTAACGTGTGGAGACTGGGCACTAGTCAGTATTATGTACATGTAAAACTATTTTGAATAGTGTAACAACAACTAAACATTACCAAATTAAAAACTTAAAAATTTGCAACAAATGTTTTTTTAGCCAAATCAAACAAGAAGAGTACTCACCAGAGGGCACCCAATCTGCTATTATGGGTGAAAGTTAACCCCCCCTTTTATCTGTAATTTGGACCATTTGTAACGGGCACCCCCTCCAGTATTAATCAGTAGGTGCTAAGGAAGCTCTGTGCCAAATTTGACACTTTTGTCACGTCTGTAACGATCCGGCCTATATTTTGCACTAAGAGACTTGACTATAAGGGCTTATCGCCGTCGTCGTTTCAACGAAATGAATTCATTCGCGTACCTGGATCGTGGTTCGTCAAATTTGCCGACTGATTGTATATGGAACATAAGATCACCGCCTCCAAGGTACTCCATGACGAAAAACAGGTGATCCTGCCAATCAATCAATCAATCAATCAATCAATCAACCAACCAGTCCGTCAATCTGTCAATCAATCAGTCAGTCGGTCAGTCAGTCAGCCAATCAATTAATCAGTCGATCGATCAATCCATCCATCAATCAACCAGTGAATCAATTGCTGGTTTGCAAGTGACGTCACGGTGGCAATGTTGGCGGTCAAGAACAAAAGCATTTCTCTCCTCTGGGAACTAAACTCTATTTTGATGTAAATTCCTGGAAAAAAATTCTATTGTTTTGACCTTCAACATGGCCGCCTTGACACGTGGTTGCAAACCAAGAATTGATAACTAAGCGTTAGCGTATCTACGTCCTTGTTTACGTCCTCTAACGCCTAGCCGTTCAAAATTCCGTGTAAACAGAGCGAAAATGTTGAACGGTCCCGTGTGAACGAAGTGTCCGGCCCAAACCTATCACTTTTAGACGTTCTCGTTGCCGTCATCGTCGTCGTTGCTAATAGAGAGCTTCAGATTTGAGTGCGAGGACGACTACGATTTAATTTTACGTTTTCTCGCCTATTCTCTACAAATAGACACCCCCGGAAAACTTCATTGTATTTTTTTTTTCACCACAAAAGTTAGCACGCTTGTTTCCGTTGAAGGAGGTAAAACCCTCTCCTGATCGCTAAATGATTAAAATTTCTAACATTTGATCACTTGTTTTCGCCACTACGACATTCTCGCTAAAACTCGTGGTTGACTGACAACGGCTACCATATTTTCCCGCTACAATTACGTTGGTTCGCGCGAGCGCACAACTTAATAATAGGGAGCTTAAGCAACAGCGTTTTTGAGCGACGGACGTCAACCGGAAGTGGACTTTTTGAAGCATTGGGCTTTGGTTTGGTTGAAACCCTTAGGTAAATCGTCTTTATAGGAGAAAAGAAACTCAGCAATACAAATTTGGTAGTGTCCAGGCATATAAAAAGGGAGAAGGCCTCTCTTCCGGTTGACGTGTGTCGCTCAAAAACGTTTTTGCTTAAGCTCCCTATTGTGAAAAGCTAGTTCTCGTAGACGTCCTCGCCTCAGAATCTAAAGCGCTTTCATGGTAGACATATTAGACGCAGGCGAAACGACCGCAAACCCTCTGTCTCTAATACCTGGGACTGGAAGGCAGAATGAAGGTGAGTGAGGAAGGGATGTCTTGTGGCTAAAGCCAGGACTCTTCGTTCCACCATTGTACACTCCACATCATCATCTTCTAACACGACATCTTTTTTCAGTGCCTTGATGGCAAAAGATTGCTTGGTCTCCTTCAACTCGCAAAGCAACACCTGTCGAGAAATTTGAAAAATAATTAAATCAAAGCATCTTCAATCTAAAGTTTATAACTGATAAATAAGGACGCATCAAATTTCGGCGGTTTTTCGCCCACTTGCCACATCGCGTCGAGACCTGAAATAAAAAAAACAGCTGTAACAGTCTCCGGCTTTCGGTGCCAAGTGAAAAGCGATTTAAGATTTGATGAAAGGTATACTTGCTTGTATATCTTTAACAACCAAGCCGCACGACTTGCACGCGACGTACTACGCACGAACCACAACCCACAAGCCCACGCGATTAATTCACCCTCGAGAAAAGGAAAGCGAAAAAGGGCAACCCTTTGGACACGATACCTTGCCAAAACTGCCTTTTCCCAAAACTTTGAGGAGGTTAAAGTCGTCAATATGGTGGATTTTCTGTTCAATCCTTCTGACGTCTTTGCCAGCAATGCTGGAAGTTCGTTGCGGAAGAGGAGGAGAGATCGCGTCCCAGAGAGCTTCATACACGCCAACGTCATCATCGTCGCTGTCTTCGTCTTTTCTTGAGGTTGGGGAACTCTTGCCTTTTGACCCGCCCGGTTTCTGTTCTTGGCTGATTTTACGCTTTCTGATGTCATCCTGACAGGGGCAAATAAAACCGGGTTAGTACCCAAACTTCGTGCACTGCGCGCGCCACTTTAGACACGAGCAAGAAACTGGGCCGACTTAACTTTCGCAAAGATTTCTGGGATTGTTATGGTGGACAGGCGAAAAAATTGGTCAGTAACGAACTTTGCCGTCACTGGACAGTTAGGATGTAAAACTTCGTGACGCAACGTTTTTTGGAGGACACAAACACAAGGCGGTAAGTTTCTACTTCTCGGTCTTTCAGAATTCAATCCCGGGAAAATTCAATTGTATTTGAAAAGCTGGACAAGTCAGAATAGTTGCGAAAGTACATCATTGTAAGTTACAGGAGAGAGGGTGACACCAATGGAAAAATCAGTGAAAGAATCAATTTGCTTTCTTTCAAACTCTTTCCGCGACTACTCAAAGCCATAGATGGCCTTGTGTGGACGGTCACAACGTACGTGTGAACGTTAAGCTCGACACATTTTTTTCGGTGTAAACAAGGCCTAAATCGAACGTGATGCTTACCTTAGATTGAGCAACAGCCTCTGCAAGCAACTTTTGGTTTATTCCACAGAGATTTGGGACGACGGATTCACATCTTTTGTGGCAGTTCATGTTGCAATCTGCATAAGGCAACAACAAAATAAGATCAAATGGGGATCAGGGTTTCATGTTCCTTTAAGACTGTTTACAGTCTCATGTTGTCTAGCCTGTTGTTTGGCCTTGCCGCGTGACAGGTTACATGGAACGTTCCACCCTTTCAATAATCGTTGCGAAAAGTAGAATTTGATTTGGTAGTTTTTTTAGAACGTGTGCCGCACCAAAATTGGGGGACAAACATAGCAAGAAAGACTGCCCCCTATATCAGGGCCTTAAGGCCTACGCCAAACGTCAAACTTTCACGAGAAGAACCAAACTTAGTGAGTTAAGTTCATGAAAATTTCGACGTCTGGCTCAGTCAAGTTCGTCTGAATGAGTTTGGATCGTCCAACACGTTCTATCCGTCTGCTTCAGACGGATAGAATGTCTCAAAATCGTCTTCGGGCAAACGTCGGTCCTTACACGCTACCAAATAAACAAATAAATCAAAAATTTGTATTATAATGTATATTTAGCCTCTTTCGGGCGAGAATTTAGCACTAGCCGGTTAACATTGCCTTTTGGTCTGATTAAGAGCCAGTCTCTGTAAGATCCTCATATCGAGTTTTGCCCACAAAATGGATTTCGCTCATAATAGTCTGGGAGCAAATGTCATAAAATAAGGTCCCGTGTGAAGTTCGTGCTGAAAGCAAGCACCTAGTGTAAAAGTGTTCATTAGGTCCTACTAAACATGAAAAGTTTTGGTGCCAGCTTTGCCACTTGTTCAGACGGCTTTTAAGGGGGGGTTAAATTCTGACCCATGAAATCCAGCGTGAAAACGAGGCTAAAACACATAATTCCTCATAACTTTGTTAATAATACACGAAAATACCCCAAACTTGCTCACATGCTTGGGCATGATCCTCCCTGTTGATTTATGCTAATTTACATAGGTCACGTGACCTTACGCATGAAAGCGAGGCTGAAACACATAATTTTCCATAAATTTGTCAAAAAAGATCCTTATCATGCCAAACTTGCTCACCTTAGTCAGTTAGACATCTTGCATCGATTGGTGCCACTTTGTAGTGTCACGTGACCCCATACATGGAAATGAGGCTGGATTGCAAAACACGCCAAAGGTGAACACATCATCCAGGACAATAACGTTGACTCATTGTAATGCATATTAATGCTGTATGTATAGCATTTTAATGAAAAAAATAAACGCTAAAAAGGTGTAATGATAATGTATTTCGTGTGGCTTATATACCTTTATTATGAGCGATTTCTACAATCCTATTTCGCACAAATTCCTGTGGATTCTTAACCTAGGGGGCCTGGGTGATTGTGAGCCTGAACTATTGGTCAGCGGTAATTATTTGAGTGTCCGCCATGTTGTACTTACAGTCATCACAGTGCTTGTAGTATGACGGATTTTGGCCGGTCTAATGCCCCTTTAGATTTTAAGCTATGTGTAATCTGCCAAGAAAAAAGTACAGCCAATCTTGTTGAAAATCCAACTTCGCATCAAAAGCTTTTAGAAGCCATCGAAGAACGTTCAAAGTACGAGGACATCAACTCGAAAACAATGTGGCTTGTGCTTAAAGATCTACCACTAGAAGAGCTTAAAGAAAAAGCAACATGGCATAGGTCGTGCTACCAAGAAACCACCCACTCAGGAAAGATCAAGAGGGTAAAAGAGAGGTTTCAGAGAGAGGTTAGAGGGCCAAATGAAGCTCGAAGAAAGACAAGTGAATCGCTTCAGGTAATTGCTAGGTGTAATGGCTTATAACTTTAACTTTTTATTTTATTGTGTTTTTCATCTTGGAATCGCCGTAAAGCTGGTAATGACATCCTTGACATCTCAAAACATTTCATTTCATTTCACTAACCAGGGTCTTCTTACAAGGTCGAAAACCGTCCCTTATGACAGCAATCTCTGCTTCTTTTGTGAAGAGAAAGCGAAGTACCAGAACCCTCTGCATTTGGTGTCAACATCATCTGCTGGTAGCTCTCTTGATAATGCAGTAAAGCAATCAAAGGATCCTAAACTGCTCGTGAAGCTCTCGACGGCTCTAGACAGCACTGACGCTCATGCCATTGATATTAAATATCATAAAAGCTGCTGGGCGAAGCATGTGAGTGGGGTCCTGCGTAAAACTATCAAAGATGACGAGGAAAGGTCAAGAAGTGAGACAGCGGCTAAGCTGGAGTTTTTGAACCTTACCCAAGCTGCCCTCGATAGCGGAGAAATACTCAACATGGCACAGTTGGAACAGGCTTTTGATTCCATTTCAAACGAGAACAATAGTCCAAAGACTCTAAGTCGACGTTCAGTTAAAGAGCTTATCCAGAAAGAGATAAAGGGAGTTGAGTTCCATAAGCCCTCCAGAGCTAATGAGCCCGAGAGGGTCAGCGTAAAGCAGTGTAGAGATGCCGCTATCCATATCGTAGAATCCACAGCTGACAGTGATGAATCTATGAAAACTCTCTTCGATGGCGCTCAATATTGAGAAAGGCTATTAATCGAAGCGAGAAATGGGTCTTCTCTGGCTCTCTGGATACAATGACACATGATCACTGCCCCGAAGAGCTTACCTGCTTCTTTAGGTGGATAATCCAAGGTCCCAATAAGACACTATCTGATAAAAAGTGCAATGAGGTACACAAAAGAGCAATGCAATTAGCGCAGAATACAATAGCTTTGTGTCTAACGGACAGGCAGGTTGACAATAAGAGGTCAAAAGCGGTCTACTGCACTAGAGAAATGCCCCAACACCTCGCAGTTAGCTTAGCAATACACCAAGCAGTACGAAGCAAAGAGCTGGTTAATCTCCTCCATGGATTTGGCATGGCTGTAGAGTACAATCGCTTGTTGAGGGTGGAGTCACAAATTGAGAAAACTGTCCTGAAGCGCATAGAGAGTGAAGGTGGCATGTTTCTCCCTCCGGATATCGTGAAAGGACGGCACGTATATTTTGCTATTGATAATATCGATTTCTCAGAGGATACGCCGGACGGGAAGCGTACTCTACACGGCACAGCAATGGCTATTTATCAGAAAGTGGAACCCCAAGATGAAGAACCTGTATTAAGGTACCATAACTGTTCTACTAAGAAGCATGATGCACTCATTTAATCCCAAGTGCTTGATGAGAGGGGGATTAATTAGATAATAGACGTTTAATTTTACTTTTATTTTGGCTTGACTGGTCTGTGTGATTCAGGTTTTTCTTTGTTTCAATAAGACTAGCTAGTAAGTTAAAAGCTAATCTCATTTCTAGGATGTAGGATAGAAAAGATCCCCTTCTTGAACAGCATTTTGCTTCATAAGTAGCTGTTGTTGCGTTTTGTTTTTCATTTTGATAGGTTAGAGGAGCCAAATGATTCATGCCGTTCTGTAACCGAACTGCCCGAATCGCTGACATCTTTAATGCCATGCGTGGAGCCGCCATCAAGGCCCCCTTCTCCTGCGTACCCTACATTTGAGCTGTCATCAGAACAAGAGTTGCCCCAAAACATCCGTGATGAGAATGCTACCTGGATAGTGTCTCGTACTCTTACAGGCCATGATGCCCAAGTGATGATGATAATGATCAGCCTCCTGTACCCATATGGTCAGCGTACAACTCTTTGGTAAATGAAGCACTACCTGTCACACGTGTCGGTGCTCCTCCATTGTTGGCACATCCTGCTCATGAATGGAGCACGCTCCTCACAGTTCTGATGCGTGCTCAAAATATCTCTGTTAGAGTAGTCGGTCCCGGGAGGAAAACAGTCATATCGCTAGACCTTGGTTTGTATCTGCCCGCTAAACGACTACAGATGGCCCGATGCGAGCTCAAGAACATTCTCCTTCGACCAGGGGAGCTGCATGTGGTTATGGCTATGCTGAGGACCATTGGGTCATATATTGACAGTAGCGGGATAGACATGTGCTGGATCGAGTCGGAACTTTATGGCCCCTCCACTATTAAACAGATAATCGATGGCAAGCATGTTAAGCGTGGTAAAAGAGCACACATGATCACCTTACAGGCTTTATTTTCCTTATACCTGGAAGCATTTCTAGAAGGCTCTCCTGATGTGCGTCGTACCCTCGAGGAACTCTCTACGAAAGTTGGAGATGCGTGCAAAGAAGGCACTAAGGAGAACATCCAGACGGCGCACCATAGCTCTACCAACGCGATCCAGTCTTCTGAAGTAGTCAAGAAGATGTCTGATTTTGACGCTGCGAATGCCACAAATCCTCTCTTTACTGTATTTCGCCGATACATGCGCATGGTAATGGAGATGTTCGCATTCATCCAGGC